TAGAAATGCTCTGCCTCCAAAGACTAGAGGACATGAGGCTCCTCAGCTCACAAGGTTGGATCCAAACCAGCTCACTCGCATGTCTGGAGAGGAACCACTTACTGGTCGATGGAGTCAACAAGGAGCCAGATTACCTCCAGAGCCTTATGTCGAAGCAGAGCCAGAGAAGCTCAATGTGTCAAATACTAATAGAAGGGATACTACTACAGGGCTTCAACAAGAACCATCCACATCTCGTAGAGTGGAAGTTCCTCCAGAGAGCCTTAGGGCTCATCCAATAGCAGAGGAAAGGAGAGCAGAGAGCTCCAATAGTAACCATGAGCAGGCAATGGTGAAACTAGCTGAGAAAGCTATGGATATGTGTGGGAAGGCCTTGGAGTCAGCGCAGCAGGGAAGGAAGACTAAAATCAAGCCAACCCAACTATTTGATGGCAAAACTCCCTGGCTTGACTACAAAGCCCACTTCCAGAATTGTATTGAAAGCAATAGATGGAATGACGAGGAAAAGAGGCAGAATCTCACCAACCAATTGAGGGGTGATGCTCAGCAGCTGGTCCAAGAGTTAGAAGAAGGACACACTTATGGTGATCTTTTAGAGGCCTTAACCAAAAGATTTGGACCAGGGGACAAAGCCTCTATGAACGAAGCCGAGCTTAACACTAGAGTCCGGAAGCCGAAGGAATCCTTACAGAGTTTAGGTCAAAGTATCCGGAGGTTAGCTGCCTTAGCCTATCCAGAGATGCCTCGTCCCTCCCAGGACAGACTTGCTCGACGGAGCTTTGAAAAGGCAATAACAGACGATGATGTTCGGGCTGCAGTGCATCGCCGAGCCCCAAAGTCTCTTGATGAAGCCATTGAGGAGGCCCAGAAGGAGGAAGCTTACCAAGAGTCGGAACGTATCCGAAGGGGACTCAAGCCAAAACAGTTGGATCATCACATTTCACTTGTTACCAGCGACCCTGTGGAGGAAAGGCTCCTCAAAATGATGGAGGACATGAAGACGGAGATGATGAAGGAGATGAATGAGGCGTTACAGCTCTTCAAAGAGCAAAGAGAACTCCGAGCTCCTCGATGCATTACTTGTAGACGATGTGGAGAGGAAGGTCATATTGTGAGAAGATGTCCTCTAGTCACCTGCTTCAATTGTTTGGAGCCAGGGCACCTCTCCATTGATTGTCCTAAACCAAAGAAGAGTAGAGATGCTCCAGGAATCCACCCAGTATGTTTCCTTGATGTCAGAGGTCGAGCAGTGGTAGATCCTGAGAGGGCTGAATCTGCTCAGAAGGTAGAGGCTGATGTTGAGATATGTGGAGCCCGTGTGAAGTGCCTAGTAGATACAGGATCAGTGGTGTCTTTGATGAGTCTACACAGCTTCAACCGAATCAACTACCGGAAGAGACCACAACTGAAACCAGCCAAAGATGTCTTGGTGCAAGCCGATGGATCCCCTATAGCAGTATATGGCTTGTGCTCCATGGAAGTGAAGTTAGATGGGAGAAAGACCCCTTTGGAGATAGTGGTGGCCGAAATTAGCCAGGATGGGATCTTAGGTACTGACTATCTATTGGCGAGCAAGGCTGTGATCAATTATGGCTCCTTACAGATGAGCTTCAATGACTCCAACAGTGAAGGAATCCAGAGCTGTAGTAGCTCCCAACAAGAGAAGCCAAAGGAGCCAAGAACCTTCATTACTGCAACCCACAAAAGAAGGAAGAGACAAAGAAGAGAGCGAAAGAAGAAGGAGCTTCCAAAGAATCCTGATGAGCTCGGTGATACTGTGTGGCCCCAGAATAGCAGAAGTAGCAAAGTTGACTCTCCTGAAGTGAAGAGCAGACATGCCTCTAAAAGACCCGATGTAGGAGCGGAGGAACCTCGAGCCCTAGTAGACAGCCGAGAGAGACCTACACTCCTCGAGAAGGGAAGGTCAAGTAGGGGGGCAAGACGGTCGGGTGGTAGCGAGTTGACAAGAGAGAGGCGAGCCTACAAACCAAGAGGGGTATCAAGTGAGCAGCGAGAAGAAAGACTACATTACAGAGCGAGACCCAGATGTCAAAGAAAACAGCCGACGTACTTACCAGTTTGTTGTGTTGGTCGAGACAAGATGAACTGGAGAAAAGTTGACTCATCAGAGGAGCCAATGAGGCTCCCTCAAGTGCGTGACAGAGGGGCGACGACAGAGGCCCAGTGACTCTTTTTCTAAATAAGACAATACAAAGTGTAGATAGATAGTAGTGTAGATAGACTGTTGATTGAGCGAGTATTGATTATAATGGTGTAACTTTTTGAAAGGAGCTAAGTGAGCTCTTTACTTGTATTTATTTTTGTAGAAGTTAAGCTTATATTGTGTGATCGTGGGCGATCAAGCTTAGTAGGGGGGAGTGTGGGAATTTTTAATTCCCCCTGAGTAGTACTAGGGTTTGTGAAACGTTTATTTTACTGGGTTTTATGTTATTTCATCTTTATTTCATGTTCTGTCCACTGTAATTAAAGAATTGTATTGTAAAGTGTCTATGTGCAGAATCTCATCTAGGCACTTGGATGTTTACTGAATCAGCCGACGGCCTTGGAATAAATTTGCATAATTAGGCACTCAGCAACAGAGCTCAACCAATCAGATGGCTTCATTTGAATTTACCGCCAACTTAAGTTGTATTTTCCCATGATGCAACCTGAGATGTCTGGACTTTAGCGTGAGATCGTGACCTGTAAATCAGAGCTTACCAAGATTTTGTACAAGCAGGACCTCGTCAGTTTGGGGCATTTTATGTGCGAGCGTGGCTGATTACAACTGTGGATTATATTTGGATATTATTTGACTATTTGCTGCTATTGCTTGATGTAAATTGCGTGCGTTGCGACAATTGGGGAAAAGACAAGACAATAGATAGTTCTTTGGTGAGTGACAATTTGATTATTGAGTTTGACGCCATATTGCCGTCCGCCATTTTGATTTCTTCTTCCCAGAGTTCCCTGCGGTCGGCCATCTTTATTTTTTACGGAAGTGACGCCATCTTAAGGAGTGATTCCTTCTCTGAGTAGTTACAACTCTTGTCTAATCTCAGTTTGATTGATATTCGAGAGTCGTGTCTGCTCTGAGGACTGTCAGCTCTGAGTCATTACTACTCCATTTGCCCGAGGATCGCCAACTCCGAGTAATTATGGCTCTTGTCTAATCTCAGTTTGATTGATATTCAAGAGTCATATCTGCTCCGAGGACTCACTGCTCCGAGTCATTACTCCTCCATTGACTCCGAGAATTGCCAGCTCCGAGTGATTACTCCTCCAATTATTAAGTGTTATATCTCCTCTGAGTTATATTTGGTCCGAGTAGTTACAGCTCTGTCTAATCTCCGTTGTGATTGATATTCGAGAGTTGTATCTGCTCCGAGGATTGCCAGCTCCGAGCGATTACTCCTCCATCTAGTTGAGAGCCATACCTACTCCGAGGATTGCCAGCTCCGAGTGATTACTCCTCCATCTAGTTGAGAGCCATACCTACTCTGAGGACTCACTGCTCCGAGTGCTTACTCCTCCATCTATTCTAGAGTGGAATCTGCTCCGAGGGTTGAGAATACAACTCCGTCTAATCTCAGTTTAATGATCGATATTCGTGAGTTGCTTCTTCTCTTCCTCCGAGTTATTGATGATCCGAAATTGATACAAGTTGCTGAACTTGATGTACCCTCCGAGGTGATTTGACTCCTCCAGAAGTTAGATACTGAGGTTACACTACTGGAACCAAGGTATTTCTGTGTTGCAAGGTTTATTCCATTGGAGCCAAGGTTACTCCACCGGAACTAAGGTACTCCGAGATCGAGAAGTAGCAGCTCTGGTCTAATCTCACCATCTGATTGACATTCCAGAGGTGTTATTTCTCTGTAGAGGGTGACGAGGTTTCTCCTGTGAAGTGGCGACTCCCGAGCAGAGTGCTCCAGAGCCTGGACCCCTTCCAAGAGACAGAGTTTGTGTCGGAGCCAAAGTTACACTACCGGAACTGAGGTGCTCCAAGAGACACAGAGTTTGCGTTGATTTCTCTTGAGACGAGACGACTCCGAGCTGAGATACTCCGAGCGTGTGAATCGTTCAAGAGCAGAGGTTTTTATCGAGAAGTGGCGACTCCCGAACAGAGGTTGCTCCAGAGCCTGGACCCCTTCCAAGAGACAGAGTTGTGATTGGAGCCATAGTTACACTACCGGAACTGAGGTGCTCCAAGAGACACAGAGTTTGCGTTGATTTCTCTTGAGACGAGACGACTCCGAGCTGAGATACTCCGAGCGTGTGAATCGTTCAAGAGCAGAGGTTTTTATCGAGAAGTGGCGACTCCCAAGCAGAGAGTGCTCTAGAGGCTGGTACTCTTCCAAGAGAGAGAGTTTGCGTGGTTTCCCCAGAGACGAAGTGACTCCCGGAGCTGAGGTTGCTCCTTAAGCTGAACAAACTCCATACAGAAGATTAAGAGACGTAGTGACTCCTAGAGCTGAACAAACTACAGGAGGAGAACATAGAGAGACGCAGTGACTCTTAGTGTTAAACAAGCTCCAGAGCAGAGACGACTCTTGAAGAGAAACTTGTATATTATATGGACATTTTGTTATTATATTGTAAAAACTTATGTTAGAATAGATTATAAAAACCCTGTACATAATTGTTTTGTGGAGCCATCTTCTATTGGTAACTGTCGTACCACCAAACCAGGTCGACACCCTTGAAACACCTCCAAAGATCCCTTTTCGTCGTCCCAGGCCTTTCCCCAGTATACAGGGTGCTCGGTGAGACGGCCCAGGCGCGACAATATCATTTTAGACCTTTCGATACCATGATTCGGAAAATGATAGTTAATGCAAACTGAACAGAACATCATTATTTCTAAACTTGGATTAGAACACTACACATTCTAATATAATTGGTAATGGTATTGCCCATTTTCTATAAAAGCATTGAGGTCAGGGTGCATGTTCGGAATTTTGCTGCAACCCTCAAATTTGAATCACCCCTTCCCCACAATGTCTACATCTCTCACTTTTGCACAACGAGTGTACTAATGTACCTAGAGAGGAATGAGGAGAAGAATGTTTTGATAAAATGTACAAAAATAAGAAAATTCAGTGAGGAATGCAGCAAAATTCCGAACATACACCCCGGCCTTAAATGACTCCCTAAAGTAGCAGCTGGCACCTTTCTTATTTGGTTTTTACTTTGAATTTCACTCGGCCTGTCCGAACCTTTATTGGTCATTGTGTATTGATAAATCCGAACTTTCATTTCCTATGGTTCATTTCTATGGATTTACGGCAAGACGAAGTCCATCAATAGTTTAATCGATGATTTTGTTTTTTATTTTATTCTTATTTTGTTATTTGCATTACACCTGCTCGAGCGGGAAAACTCCTTACTTTTCGTCTTGTGTATGTTACAGATCTAGGGTTGGGAATTTGACAGTGATATGATAATCCGGATAAAGGTTTTATTACTCGAGTCCAAATACACTCGAAGAATAATAACTCTCTACGTAGATAGCGCAATTGTCCAGAGTCTCTTCGTTCATTCATTTCGTTACTTTGGTAGATTATCAACATTGCTTGCATGTTTTTCTGCATCCTTCTACCACCAAACTGCTCATTTGACACATATCGTTCAAGGTCGCTGTATCACAATCCGCCCTCGTGTCCCTACATAATTCTGAAATAAAATGTACGACATAATTTCACTACCGGGAGTATTATTGTAATTTGAAGCTATTTCTTTCGGTGTACGTGAGTAGTTATAAATGACGAATAAAATGAAAACATTCAAATACAGCAAGGCTACACAATAAGATCTTCATGTATTTCAATTTAGAAATGTGAAAATAATTTTTTTGATCATATTCTACATTTCAAACAATTAAATTACTAAAACAGTGATGATGACATTATAAAACTTGATTTCAATCAATTCTTTTCTCTATTTTAAACACGGTGTATAACCCAAACGCTCCTACATGCACGACGGAGCGTTTCATTACTGAAATTAAACAAAGTAACGCTCCTGAGTAGGAAAACTGGCTGGCGGGAATGATGAGCCGTCTGACGATTTCCCCAATAATGGGAATAAGAGGTATGAGTTACATATTTCGAGTATACCATTCGATGGGTGTGATATTCATGTTGTACGTGGCTGGCTGTTGACGTTTGAAGCAATTAGGAAGAGCTATACGAAGCAGTATAGTTATCAAAATTCAAAAACGTATTTGTCATTCTACCGGTCAAAACCCCTTTTGTCGATACATGTGATTAGTTGAGCCAAGATTAGAGCACCAACGTATATTTTAGTCAAATTCCAATGCTTCAACGCACCATACATTATCGTAATAGTGATTTGATGACCGAAAATCCAGTCTTAAAAATGATGACATTCTCATATTCAAGAAACGCTCCGATCTGATTAACACAGTGAACTGGAAACGCTCCGGTAGTCTAGATCAGTTTAGGAAATATATAGCTTGCCTTTCCTTTTCAGGAAGAGAAAGAAAAGATCTATTATACCCCTTGGCATCAATAGAAGAAAGATTAATTCACATATAAATTTTAGTTTTTTCTATAGTTTTATGATTTAGCACATATGTAGGCATGACATCATCTAATGTATAGGCTTAAATCAGCTAGTTGCACGTTTAGCACCACCAGGTTCAGATGTTTCAATTTGCCTAACAAGTACAACACGTTTTTAAGAGATAGATTCGATTCGGGACTCTTCTCTATTAATCTGAAAATGATATCAAAACAAAATGGTAAGAGCGTTTCTAAAATTGTGTTCTAAATCGACGGAGCGTTTCGAGGAAAACAAGCGATTTCTCGAGAACAAGTAATGGATTTGGACTGGGATTTTAGGAAATGAGAATATACGAGTTTGTGATCTACTACTTTAACAGAAAGATTAACGTTTTCATAGAAATACTAGTTTAATTCGTAATTTGTGGTCAAAACGTCATCTTCAGATTCGTTCGATCTACACTACGGAGCTTTGATCAAGCAAATAACAGTTTACCACCAGAAGTTGAATAAATAAGATCTTTGCTCACGGTATTGTTCATCGAATGGTACATAATATTTCACCATAACATATGATATGTAAGAGAAACGAGAGAAACAATACTTACGGTCATAGTGGAATCTTTATGAGCCGCCATTTTATTTCGCTCCGGAGCGTTTCCGCGTAAATGTAACGCTCCGTCGTGCATGTAGGAGCGTTTGGGTTATACACCGTGTTAAAGATGATCGTTTGTGCAGACAATTGTATTTTGGATGTTCATTTTCATATATATACCTGTAAGACCAATCTATTACCCTTTAGCATCCGGTTAAGTTTTTATAAACTTATAGAAATAGATTTTGATGGAAAAATAGAGTAAAATATATGCTTTCAATTGTTCATTCTAAAAGTAGGGTTGGTATCTATTTGACTATTCCATTTTTTAGTATGTACATTCAAATATGATCACAGAGTGATTACAAATTGATTCTACTTCATCTAAACTGTTTTTTAAACATTTCCAAATTCTAAAAAACAAATCGAGAGCATACCAAAAAGCGTCATATTTATAGTGAACCACCATGTAGACAAGCTCTTGCGTTGTTACATGTTGGATCCCTTAAAATGCAGATTAACCATTTGTAATGATTTCATTATTTCTACTGTGAATATGTTACACCACTATCTCTGAGATATATGATGTCAACATTTCCATCAAATAATCTGCAGATACTGTACATTTATAAGCTCCATGTACGAACTTCTATACTCAGTCAACCACTTTTATTTATGTAAATGATGAAACACGAGTAGGCAACAGAAGAAATAAAACTCATCTCAAAACTTAGTTGATTTCATTTCTAAGAGATGAATAATGTCGTATATATAATCTCACAAAAAACTAAAAAGGTTTTGAAAAGCGGCCGTTGTGGATAAGCGGATGCATTTTACTACGGATACTTTAATGACTTTTTGTAAATGATAGATTGATCCTGTAAGAAGAAATGTCTAAAATTAACTGCCTTACCCAAGATATATCAAGACTTTTCCGTTTACATTCTGAGGCTATGCAGATATAAGTCCATCAAACTAAAGTATAGATGATCTAACAATACCACATTTTAGGCAGTTTGTTAATCAGTGATTACTTGTAGTTTTAACAAATTGTGTGGTCTCTTTTTCTGATACTTCACTGGCACCTTTTCAACAATACCACCTGTAAAAAGCCAAAGTTGACTCCGTTGAATGAAAATATTATCAAAACTACTCACCATAATAACATCGCATACAACTTCTTTCGCAGTTTTTCCTCACAAGGAATTTAATACAATAGCCAAGGCCGATTAATTCTGCACACTGCGAATTGGTCCAGTTGTCACCTCCATCTTCAATCGCATTCACACAATTCTCTAATAAGATAAACAACCATTTGTAATGATATACGTGTAATGTGTGAACAATCCCCGGGATTGTTATTTAATTAACGTTTCGTCAAGTACTTACATCCGGGATATATAAGTGAGAATAAACGCCATTACAAATGAGCCCAAAGTTTTATGTCTGGTTGTTATTGAACCAAATGATCAGTTCGCACCATTGATATGTTTTGTGCATATCGTGCGACTTGCAACTGGTTTAGACCTCACAGTATGGCACTGTAATATCCTGGGCTTTGCTGTTGTCACTGGTGATCCACTCAATTACGCTGGTTACCAAAACGGTTCGTTTTGGTAACAAAATGTCGGAACATCGAAGGTACGATTTTTCTCGTTTCCTTATTACACACGTTGTCACAGTGGTTCTAGGCAGAATTCCCACGACATTTTTAATGCAAGCATGTATCATTATTATATCACTATCTAGCTAGCGACAGTATGATTGGTCAAAACCGGGTCACATGTCGTGGGATATCTGGCGATATTCAATGGCAATGCTAATCAGATAAGACAACCGTGAGATATCTAGCGATATCCCACGCTCCCGGGAATTTTCAAAGAATTTGTTTTCGTTCAGTGTAAATAATTTAGTTCAGTGTAAGTCAAAATGGCAGACGAACCGAGTAGATTCGTTAAAATATCTGAAGACTTAATGACTTAATAATATTAGGGATGTTTAGCTAGACAGTGATATAATAAAACAAATATTTCACTCTATTTTCGGTGAATACCTGTAGCACTTTCACAAGGTGATATTCCACTTGCCCTTCGGGCTTCGTGGAATATCACTTGTGTAAGATGTACAGGTATTCACCTCAATAGATTGAAATATTTGTTCAGTATCATATGTTTAAGAAATTGTACATATTTGCGAACAAATAGCTCAGAAGACAACAGAATCGTCGATTTACTTCCTCACTTAAGTTACATAAACGGTTTGGGTTAAAAGTGCAGATCTTAACTGTTTTTCGAAAAACCGTTTCTGTAACTTAAGTGAGGAAGTAAATCGACGATTCTGTTGTCTTCTGAGCTATTTTTTCTCAAACGTGTACATTTTCTAAAACATATGATACTGATGCACGTTGTGAGAAAAAACATCGTAGGGATTCTGCCTACAACGCGTGAAATAAGAAAAACAGAAAAATCGTGCCTTCGACGTTCCGACATTTTGTTACCAAAACGGTTCGTTTTGGTAACCAGCGTAATCGAGTGGATCACCAGTGGTTGTACTAAACATCGCTTACAATTAGTCATAAAATAACCCTTCATCTCCGTACACCCCAAACTTGAATCTGATTGATTTTTTGTAGGGCTATTTGAAAGACAATGTATACCAAAAACAATTTTCAGACAATTGCAGACCTAAAGAAGGCAACCACTGCCACATGTAATGCCATAATAAGGGTTGAATGGGGTAAGGGTAATTGACGATTTTGCCATATGAATCCAACTCTGCCTTTTGCGCAATTATGGTCATTTGGAGCATGTAATGTAATGATGACAATTCCTGAACCAGTTGACTGGTTGTATTGAAACTTTCAAAAGCAAACATGTAGAACTATCCGGAAAGTAAAGATACAAATGCTCTAATTTCAAGAGATTTGCCTGTTATGAGATGAAATTGCTCCAGAATGTAGAATGACATTGTAACAAGTAAAGATACAAATGCTCTAATTTCAAGAGATTTGCCTGTTATGAGATGAAATTGCTCCAGAATGTAGAATGACATTATAACAATATATCCTGAATCTGTCATGACTTTCAGTTTCAAAATGAAAAAGTTATGGTTGTTATGGTAACGGGAGTCGAGGGTAAGTGGAGCGACGTCACAACTGTGTTCTACAAATCTCTTTCTAGGCCAGTCAATTGGTGAAAAAAAACAGCCTAACCTAGGACAAATTGCAATAGTTTGCAAACTTAGTTTTAATTGTTGATCAATATTCACCTTATATCATATCAAAAATATAGGAAAATATAATTAGTGGACAAATGTGAAATTTTACTTCATAAGTACCCCCTACGACCCACCCCTAAATTTGACTATTTGTTTTAAAATTTTTTTTTATCTATAATTGAATAGTTTTTTTCAAGTCTTCTTGTTATATTATGATAATAGAATGACAAAACATAAATTTTTACCGAAGTAAACTTTCATTTGAGGCTTAGAATTTTTTGTTTCACCCTCAACGACCCCAAATGAGTCATTAAATGATTGACATTTCATGTATCTTTTCTTATATTTCTAGACTGGTGCATTCAAAAATGATTAAATAAAATCATGGTGATACATGTATATATGGACATAACATATATGGGATACCAGTATCATCAGTGGTATATTGGGGAAGAGAAAAAATATATAAGTTTTACATTTTCGCCCCGCCCACTTTTGGGGTGACCTTACTTTTGCTAAATAATTTTCAAACTATGCAGTAATTCCTAACAATTCTACAACTTAAAGAATGATTTAGACATATATCATCCAATATTAACTTTTATTAGATTTTGGGACTCCTGTTTTGGACAAAATTATAACTGCAATTTGAAAAGTCTGGAAAATGGGGTATTTTGTAAGGCTAATACTGTATGTTTTGACATATATTTATATCAAATGTGCCAATTATGGGCCATTGCACTTATATATGTGCTTATGTGAAGGTATAATAGTGTATTTGTTTAAAATGAAAGTACAATCACTGATTTAGAAAGATTTGTGAAATCTTAAAATACTAGTATCTCAGACTGCTACAGGGCATTGCAGATTTTGGACTTCAAGAGAGATTGCGGTTGGCAATTAGTCATCATAATTTATATTTGCACATAATCCTCTACATTCACCACATGCCATGGAACAGTCCATTCCATTCTTTCGACATGTGCAGTGCATTGTTGTGCAACCTGTCTTTCAATTACATTTGATCACTTCTAAGAGTGAAGAAGGTCCTGCCGGAATATGTTGTTTGTTTGATTCATTGGTTCAGGCTTGAAGAATATGTTGTTTGTTTGATTCATTAAGAAATCTTCTTTCTTACATTGGAGTTTCATTGTGTTAATGAATTGGATTACAGTCCCGGTGTTCCCTCCATTTCTACGAAGATGAGTTGCATCTTTTGTGCTAGGGCCATTTTGGTACCCATCAAATACTATTTTAGCATTTTGGTACCTCATCTGCACATAGTATACATATTGGCTTAAAACGTTCTCCCATGTAAAACCTTTTTGCCAAGGAATGCGATGAAGAAGGGCACCTCCATCAATCACATGTTGAACATCTTTGTCACTTGGCCCTGGTAAGGAAGATATTTTTGGTGTCCACAATGCTTCTGCCAGATGTGATTTTACCGCTGGTCTTATTACACCTTTTGATTCAAACAAATCCGGTGGAAAGGAACAAAGCTCATAACCTAGAGGCTCTGACAAATCACCAGATCGTGTACCAGCTATGATAAGGCGTTGAAAAAGCAAAATAGGATCTATGTGTATTTCTTCATTGTTAACCTTGACTGCAGTTTTTGATCCCATGGTCACAGCTTGGCTTTTTCTTTTGAAGGAACACTCAAGATACCTTTTTCCCAATCATAGATGCCACAATCACGTTGCCTAATTCTTTTGCGTCATATGCAATGACAGCAGAAGAAGCTGCAACTCTTGTTGCGATATTACATAATGACTGTTCAGGAAAAAGGGATTTCTTTCAACAAGGTATTTCAGGATACATTTAGCATCCGTTACATCTTTGGTGATTCTTGTTGGTATTGCCCACTTGTGGCATATGTTATATCAGTGAGTTCTTGCATTGCACTGCTTATCTCTCCACATGCAGGTGAGGAAAGAATCCACACCAGACGCTGAACTTCAGCCATGCCCCAGCCTCTCTTGAGACATCCTGTTGACTTGATGCTTCGCATCAGGCATTGCTCAATTATGAGATCTGCAGATAGTCCTGCCCATGACCTATCTGATCGACGAATGACATGTAGCCCAGCCCATTCATAAAATGGGCATATACCTCTGGGCTCTGTTTTTCAAGGTTATTGATTTTTTGGAGAAAGATATACAGACTTTAGGTATAGATTGTGACCTGCTGTTGCAAAATATGGCAACATCATGCAAACATTGGAGATGAAGTGTCCAACTCCCAATCCTTTCTCCTTTTATGAAGTTACTAAATAGGTCGATCATATCCATGTATTGCAACCATAGCTTTGCTGTTTTTAGGTTTTGAAGTGAGTACTTCTCAGCTTGAAGCTTTTCTCCACAGATCATATCCATGTATTGCAACCATAGCTTTGCTGTTTTTAGGTTTTGAAGTGAGTCCTTCTCAGCTTGAAGCTTTTCTCCACAGACTGTTGCAACATCAATTTTGTCATCATTGTCATGAACAAGATTTATTATCTTATCAAGGACAAGATGCAATTCCTTCAGGTCAATATGGGTAGTATCATTCTCTACTTCTACAAATGGTTGTTCTTGTGAATAATTTTGTTCATTGGTCTGATCAAGATCAATGTCATATATCTGAGCTGCTAACATAGTATTCAATGCACTATCAATCAGAAGGTGGCCTCTAACTGCCCTAGAAACTGCCTTACCAGATAACATATGACCAACTGTATTTTCAGCATATACCAAGCTTAGGACAGCATCTTATCCTGACCCCTCCATGATGTGGCCTTCAGAGCCAAGAAAACTCATCTCGGTATGAAACCCCCCTAGTCTTACAACCATTTTGTGAACATCACTGTCTTCTGGCTCATTTTCTACAATTTTGTTTGCTTTCCACCAAAGTGGCTGATCAAATCTGATGACAGGAGTGCAGTTGTACCGTCCAGCATGAGATGCAACAAACTTCAAAGTGGAGTAGATACATGACATGTCACCTGGGTCCATATCTATCAAAGGTAAAAACATGACTGAAGATTCATCAGGATGTTCCCCCTTATAAACCACCTGCATAAATCCTGACCAAAGTGGACAAGGAGTCTTAAAAAGCAAGGATGATTTCCACACAAGATTAAAGCCTGTTAAAGGTTTATCAAATGATTGTCTCACAAGCTCTTCATACCTCAAACTACTAAACATATCATTGTCATTTGAATAGTAGTGAGTATTGATGCGACCAATTGCCTCTATGTCTTCTGAAGATACGTCGTGTCTGATCACTGGCCGAGTTGTTCTCACTTTAGGTGTGACTGTTGCAATAATGCCCATTCCATGGAACGTATTCTTGCCATCGAGAGTTGGAACGTTGTGATCTACATTATCTGCAACATGATCTACAACATGATTAGGAGTAATGTTAGGTATGTCTGTGTTTTGCATCAATGCTGCACTCCTTTCAAACTTCTGGACCTCAGAATATGAGCAAGTAAACCCATGTTTGTTAAGTGTGTCAATCAAAAATCTTGACTGGAAATGATGATGGAGCTGCACACCTAGACTAAGCTGTAATGGGGCCAAAAGGGCATTTGGACGAGTGGCCTGCATAATAGCTTGTCCAATTGATGCTACTTTGTTTCTAACATCTTTATCAACAAACAACTTGCTCAAAAACATCGACAAAATGTCAGGTAAAAAGTCTAATGACTCATTGATGGAGGACATTGTGTCATATTCAGGATAAGTTTGGGGAGATTGCTTTTTGTCCTTTATGGCACTTTTTATCAAACTTGCTGCAGTTTCTATAATTTTCTCTAATTCATCTACTTGGTCTCCTTTGTGTTGATGAAAAACATGCAATATTTTGGCAGCATTGTCAGTGAAAGGTAACAACATTTTGTATTCGTTGGATATCACTGATGATAAGGTTCTCACCAAAGAATGCTTTCAGCTCTTTCTTCATGTATTTAAAGATATAGGGTTCAATTTCCCTGTCATTTATGAACTCTTTCATCTTGCTAATAAGATCAGTGACAGTTATTTGTTCATCATCATTCGCCTCAAGAAAGGTGACAACTTTATTGAAAGCATCTTGTCGTTGCATGTCTTTAGGGCGTCCACTCATTCTTTTCATTTTTGGCTGCCTTTCCCATCACTCAGTTGAAACTGTTGTGGTGTGCCCTTGCCTGATCTAAAGTTACCACTACCTTATGGTACACTGCATCTGCAGATGGTAAATCGTTAGTAAAACTAATGCATGATTTGACCATGTCACACTAGCTGATGTTGTTACAATATACAATATATAGAATAAATATATGTATATTTATATTAAATAGATATTATTTATTCATATATTCAATGTATAATTGTTATTTTGATGTTCATTTTGTATTTTTCTTTTTCTACACCTCTATTCAAATATATTAATTTGGAAAAGCTAATTTTGCAATAGATGAATGGTTGGATTGGTCAGGTGTTTATTGCAACAAACGTTTGAAGTCTACTTTGAAGTCGACCCTTGAATTTTAGATGGCGCTAGTGTTTCTAAGTTTCATTTTAAAACTGTTTAATGATTAAATAACTATGAGATAGTGTTTATGGGTCAGGTAACCATGTTGTATTTGTAGTATTATCAAATTAGAGTTGATTTAAGCTATAGAGATATGATATCTCAGTTGTTATTAAGTAACGGTAATTGGGCCCTAATATTTCATCTTGCATCCAACATATTATGAGCTTTTTAACAAGACAGGGGAAATAACTCCAATAAAAAGTTATGTACAAGACAGAATGGGTTTATATCTGTATTTTGATATCAAATTTGAGGACATATGTGGTATATAGGAAGTTATATTGCAAAAGTAAGGTCACCCCAAAAGTGGGCGGGGCAAAAAATTGAAATTTTAAATATTTTTTTCTTCAACAATATGCAAGTTTAGGAGTCGGTATTCCATATGTGTATTACCCGTATATAGAAGTATTACCATGAATTTTTCCATGGCTCTTGGATAAAGCAATTAAGAAATATATACATTATTATGAAATATTTTGGCCATATGACAACATATTTTGGTGTATTTGGGAGGTAAATTGTCAATTGTTGGCACAAAAAAGCATTAAAAGTAGATTTAAATCCACTCTGAATCTTTCCCATGACCTGATACAACATAAAAACATGTAAAAACTATTCAAATATGGAGAAATTATTTTTTCCCTTACCCCTAGTCAAAATTGGGGTGGGGGTACCTAAGAAGTGAAATTTCATATTTGTCCACTACATATATTTTCCTATATTTTTAATATGTTGCTACAAAAATATCAATTCACCAATTAAACCATGTTTCAAAACTATTGCAATTTGTCAGATGTGAAATCACCAATTGACTGGCCTATTCCTACTCATATGATCTTGGCACTCCACCATCTATTCCTATATTATATCAAATTATGTACCACAACAGCCATAGGGATTAGTAATGTTACATTATTTGATCATTTCATATTACTGCTATCATCGAATATTCAGTATTTTCCCCATTATCTATACATTCTTGGTGTATCTTGACCGGCGGTTCAAAGACCTGACAAAATTGCTGCTGTCCATCTCTCAGATTGCTGATAACATTGGCTTCCAGATGAGTCTAATTTGCATGTTGACCTTTTACAAATATTGCTTTCAAATGGTCATTAAGGTAGAAGTCTAAATAGGCTTTATCAGGTGAATATGGGGCGTTGTATAGAAAGGTTTAATGTCAAGACACTCCATTGTAAGATTTGTTTTTTGCTTTGTGAATTGGTGCATTGTAAAGATGCAATATTGACTTTCCTACTAATGGTCAGGGACCATTCTTCTAGGCACATGGATAATATTTCTTTCATTATACTGGTAAGTGACATAACATAGTTCAAAAAAACACAGATAGAAAATACAACAAAAAAACACTGTTTCAAATGGTTGTCTTTTAGCAATTTTTCACTTTTTAGCGTTGTTCTGGAACTGCTCCGCATACCCCTCACATCCGTAACCATAACAACCGTAACTTAAACACATTAAGACTATATGTGATGAAAGTTGGTAGATATATTGTAATATTATTCCCCTACAATCTGTAGCAACTTCATTTCAAAAAACCCAAATTTCTTAAAATAAGAGCATCTGTATCTTTACTTTCCGGACATGTAGAACTATCCCGGTGTCTGCAAAATTTCATTGATGTCATTTGTCTAGTTTAGGAGATATTGCCTACTTCAGTGGTCTCCTTTTTTCCGATCACCTTGTTTTTTCCGACATTCATTGATAAAGTTGTTTAATCAAAACAAAAGTAATAGCACAAAAATATCAAACATTTGTAGGTCGTAACAGTTAATTAAGGGCATATTGTGTAGAAATGTCAAGAAAAAAACTGAGGGATTATGATTAGATATTCGCCCATATTCTGCCGTAGTCCATAAATCATTACCCATAATATATTTACCAGCTTCGTTTCTTTTTTCCAGCTCCATTTCCAGCCCAGTGAAGAGACGCTTGAGCAAACCGACATCTGGAAAGATTAAACTCAAAAGATTATCATTTTTAACGTCACCCCCTAGATTTTTCGATTTTACTTTTTGCAGGATTTATGTACCTGTTTCTACCTTGAGCTCAGATATAAGACACTTTTTGGCGTAAAAATCAAGGTGATTTGGGGTAGAGGGGCAAAGTTATGATAGCCGGAAATTGATTGCAATAGAAACGAAATTCAAAAAATATTGATAGATATCTTGTTTTTCTAAGGCTGTAGAAAATACAGTGATGAGTATTGCTCTGTTTGATAGATAATCATTAAGCAGTGTACATCTTGAAATATAAATGTTCAACAAGTTGACTTAAAGTTGTTTATCACTGTATTCATATATGCGTTCTTTAATACTTCGATACTTTATTTTGTACCAGAAAATAACATGGGCAGGTATAGCATTTTTCGAAATATGTTTTCTGGAAAGAATAACCTTAAATTAATGGCGGGTAATACGTTCCAAACTTTTGCTCCTTCGACTTTTATTGAATTTTCTGTTAAGGTACCGTGGTATTCTGGATTTAAAACATTTTTTTGAAGACACTTTTGGAAACTATGGGCTTTCAAACCATGGGCTTTCAACTATGGGCTTTCAAAAATGGTGATAGAAAATCGACCGCACTTATTTATGGTCCAAAATTGTACTATAAGTTTGACTGTGCATAAATGTTTCGTAAAGAACACTTACCTTCAGCAAAAGATCCTACGGCAAAAAGCGTAAGGAGAGCGAATGTCAATGTAAAATACTGCATCCTGGATTGTTTTTTCAGTCGTACTAAAATCTTCTTGCTATTAAATGTCTGACCTGCCTGAGATGCCTTATGACCACACTGGTATTATTTTTGACTATTGACTCAATGCTTAACTGTTGAAAAAGAGCACTGGCGCGTGAAAGGCTTGACATTTAAAACTGGTAGTCAATAAAAAACCGGAGTCTATTCGTTCATTCATTTAGTTACTTTGGTAGATTATCAAGAACACTGGTGATCCACTCGATTGCGCTGGTTACCGAAACGGTTCGTCGGAAATGTCGGAACGTCGAAGGTACGATTTTTCTTTTTTCCTTATTTCACACGTTGTAGGCAGAATTCGCACGACATTTTATCACAAACGTATATATGGTAGTATCATATGTTTAAGAAAATGTACATATTTGCGAACAAATAGTTCAGAAGACAGCAGAATCGTCGATTTTATTCCTCACCTAGGTTACAGAAACGGTATTTCGAAAAACAGTTAAGATCTGCACTTTTAACCCATACCGTTTCTGGAACTTAGTGAGGAATTAAATCGACGATTCTGTTGTCTTCTGAGCTATTTTTTCGCAAACATGTACATTTTCTGAACCATATGATACTGATACTACACGTTTGCGTGCAACCGTAACCGGTAACCAGCGTAATCGAGTGGAATGCTTGCATGTTTTTTGCATCCTTCTACCACCAAACTACTCTTTTGACACATATCGTTCGAGGTCGCTGTATCACAATCCGCCCTGGTGTCCCTAGATAATTCTGAAATAAAATGTACGACATAATTTCACTACCGGTGTAAAAGAAATTATGGTCCTTGGGGATTATGGTCCCCTCTCTTAAAGGCCCTTACTGGCCCTGATTGTGGTTACGATATTAGAACATGACTGTATTCTCGCCTTCTATAAACTGTAAACAAAGTCAACATTTCACACGGGGTATATTCGCTATCAAATACCCCTGGTAATACGTGTATTGTGTGACGTCATAACGGTTGGTCGTAGTAATCGCGGACCATCGAAACATTTTGGTGAGTTTTCATGTTCGAATCGTAATATAGACCTCGGAGCAGGGGTAATATCGTCGAATACACCCCTTGGGGCTAGGCACAAAAGCTTTCGAACCCCTTGAAACGTTTGTGCCTAGCCCCGCGGGGTGTATTCGACAATAAAACCCCGTCTTTTCGGTCTATATTTCTTAAATAAACCATTGATTGAGCTCTATCAATACTTGTACATACAAATGTATACAAAAATTCTAGTTTTGTATTGTATTTTTTTGTTTACAACCAATAAGGTGAGCAATACCTTTTGGGCATATCCCGTAATAGATACGGTCGTTATTTACGTAATTAACATTGAAGATGGACTCAGAAACCCCTCGTTGAAGGACCCCTGTGTTCTTTAATGTGCACTTATACATAAACATACAAGTACACACCGCAGTCTTTTGTACGAGTTGTGGACCACTCAGTCAAACACCCTTAAGTACTTCACGCAAATAAGCAAATTAAGCATTGCCTGAACCGGGGAATCTACTAATTCGAGGTGATAAACACAGAACTTCAAAATTCATTTTCTTTTCTTTATTAACACAACAACACACTTTGATGGGAACTATTACATTCGTCAGTAACACTTCTTAAATTAACCAATCAAACTGCAGGGATTTCAGCAATAGTATAATAACACTAATTGCATCCCTCGTGTAGAAAATAATTCAAGACAACTTGAAATAATTATTTCAGTTAGACTGAATGTACAGTAATCTGACTAATTTGTCTCTTGATCCACAGGCAGACAGGCCTTAGCTCACATAATTTAATAAATAATAAGTAAATATTATATAAATAGAAATGTATACCTTGAAACTAAATCCTGATCTAGCAATCTGTTTCTTGGAAAAAGACTAATGGAATTCAGTTCTCTTGTCGATTTCATTCTCATGAAAAAAATAAATCTTGGAGATTTGTTGAATTTTCTAGCAGATATCGGCTCCCCCTCCCCAAACTCATTTTCTCTATTTATGGCCATCTAAGTTTGAACATACAGTTTGTGGTCCAGGTAAACAATGATTACATATTCAGATATTGAGTATTTTTCAACAACTCAATAGATGTCAAACAGCATTGTATAAAAAGAACAATATTCATTGAATTCTAGTAAAATACAGAAATCAATTTGCTCCAAAAAGAACACGTTGGGGCACAATGATTTCTGTATTTGACTTGAATCATTGAATAATACTGACTCTGAGTTACAATATTCTGTAATAAATGAACACATGCATCAGAAATATTGGGAATGGATACACTACATAAACCAGGAATATACAAATGGCTGGAAAAGAAGAAAAATTTAACCTCCAGAAGTTGTAAACATGTTCATTGATCATACTGGCTCAATATTCTACAATATCCTAATTTTAGTCCTTATTATGTGGAGTGAAGACTTCATTGAGCTGCTGAGTGACCCGTATGAATGTTGTCCGCCTGCTGAGTTCCTTCAACTTGCCTGCCCCAACATAAGTGCAGCATGAGCGTATTCCTCCGAGAATGTCTAGGATGGTACCTTCTACATCTCCCTTATAAGGTATCTCTACAACCTTTCCTTCGGAGGCTCTGGGAAAACAGAATAAATAGTTTTGAAGTGTGGATGAAAAATGGTGGCCATTTTGATTTTTGCTTAGACTCATCAACGGGAATTAGGCCAACTTTAAATAATTGGGTAAGTAGCATCAGAAAAATGTTGCTAAAATAAACTAAGTTCAACCAGAACAACGGCAACGCAAAGCGTAGCGAATCCCATCGAACAGAAATGGCTGGCATTTTTACAAACGAAATGAATAGCAAATATCATAAAATAACACACATAAGAAAGGCCACCATTTTCAAAATGGTTGCTCACTAGCCAAGTTGTCATCAGAAGTAGTAATACGCTTTTCTTTATAGTATTCACATACCAAATATGAACAAAATCGCTCCACTACTTTTCGAGTTATAGTAAAAATGGTGGTCATTTTTCAAAATGGTCGCCTTCTATCAAAAGTGTCATTAGACAGTGTGCCATGCTTATAGTATTCACATACTAAACAAGAACAAAATCGCTCCACTACTTTTCAAGTTACAGCAAAAGTCGTAAAATAACTAGTAAAGGCCGAGTAAAATACATTTAAATGGCGGCCATTATTCAAAATGGCCACATTCTGCCAAAAGTGTCATTTGACAATGTACCATGCTTATAGTATTCACATACCAAATATGAACAAAATCGCTCCACCACCGCTCGAGTTATAGTAAAAAATGTTAAAATTGCGGCCATTTTTCAAAATGGCCACCTTCTATCAAAAGTGTCATTAGACAGTGTGCCATTCTTATATTATTCACATACCAAATATGAACAAAATCGCTCCACTACTTTTCGAGTTATAGTAATTAAAATATGTTAAAATGACGGCCATTTTTCAAAATGGCCACCTTCTACCAAAAGTATCATTAGACAGTGTGCCATGCTTATAGTATTCACAAACCAAATATGAACGAAATCGCTCCACTACTTTTTGAGTTATAGTTAAATATGTCAAAATGGCGGCCATTTTTCAATATGGCGGCCATTTTTTCAAAATGGCCGCCTCCTACCAAAAGTGTCATTAGACAGTGAGCCATGCTTATAGAATTCACATACAAAATATTAACAAAATCGCTCCATTACTTCTTGAGTTACAGCAAAAATCGTATAAAATAACGAGTAAAGGCCGCCATTTTTCAAGATGGCTGCCATGTGCTTCTTTAATATCTACATTTCTAGCTTTATCAATGTCCTATATAATTTTTTACATTTAAAACATATTGCTATTACAGATTTACATATTGCAACTAAATTACTGTAAAATCGGCACTAAAATGGCCGCCATTTTTAGATGAGCGGCCATTTTGAAAATCGGCTTTCGAGCAGAACTTCTACCCCCATAGGGTATATGTGTACAAAATATGAACAAAATCGGGCCAACGGTATTTGAGTTATTGCCCGGACGGACGGACGGACGGACGGACGTACGGACGGACGGACGTACGTACGGACGGACGGACGGACGGACGGACGGAGGCGTTCCCTATATCCCTCCGAACTTCGTTCGATGGGATAATTATTCACTGAAATTCTGTGAGCCAAAAAGAAATAACTGCTTAAATCTGAGAGATTGCATGGCAACCAACTCACCTGTACTCGGCAACACCGCCAGCATATTTCTTCATAGCGACCGCAGAGCTCATACCATAGAACTGCTTTAATTTCTTGCCATTCCTTTCAATAAGCTCACCCCCTGATTCTGTATGTCCAGCAAACATTCCTCCTAACATAACATAGTCAGCCCCAGCACCAAATGCCTTTGCAACGTCTCCTGGACATGTGCAGCCACCATCCTGAAAGGGTTTGAAAACATTTGATTTACAAATGAGCAGATGAGCCTTAGCTCCATGGCTACATTCACAATCTTAAAAGGGTTCTAAAACATATGCTTTATAGCAAAACCTCCAAGGCATTGTAACATTCAAAATCCTAGAATCAACTGATAGATATGTATTTATATGGATAATGAAGACACAATAAAGAATCTTGTTTTTTTTAATTTTAATCTAGGCAATTCATTATGTGCATTTCATCCTGTCTCTCTGCAGATCATAAATTGATAATTTATGCTCAGAGATAGAAAAGATCTTGTTTACTATGACAATCACCATGCTATCATACTCTACTTCAATTTACTGTCACTCCTCCTGCTCCTACCCAACAACTATTGATGTGCTCTTATTTATACTTATTTATTTATTTATTTGCGCTATTATTATATTCAATTTATGTTTATCAAGCAGTATATACACCTATTTTAGGTGTCCAATGTAAATAATTTGTATTTTGATTTATTGTTATATGAAGGAAATAAGAAATAAATAATAAAAAAAATCATAAGATATCTTATAACTTCCTTAAACAAATGATAAATCATTCAGTACTATGACCAATGTGAGAACACATTATTACTTACTGAAATAATATGTCCCCCAAGACCATGAGCGGCATCAGCGCACTCTATTACTGCACTCAGCTGGGGGTAGCCAACACCTGTCTTCTTGCGAGTTGTACATACAGACCCAGGTCCTATTCCAACCTGAAGTTTCACATAATACATTTATATGTACATACTGAGCCAGGTCCTATTCCAACCTGAAGTTTCACATTAATACATTTATATGTACATACTGAGCCAGGTCTTATTCCAACCTGAAGTTTCACTTAATACATTTATATGTACATACTGAGCCAGGTCCTATTCCAACCTGAAGTTTCACATTAATACATTTATATGTACATACTGAGCCAGGTCTTATTCCAACCTGTAGTTTCACACAAAAGATGAAAGGGTCGAGAGATTTGAGGCAAGACAACAATCAATGGTAACGTTACAGTAACAAATTGTTTTTTTAAAAAAAGAAATTCTGAAGAACTTTCACATGGTACTTAACATGAGATTCACCATAATAAGAAAAGTTTTCCCATTTTGAGTAAACACTTTTTACTTACCTACTTAGCCTACCTTAATGATAGCTATGTACATAGTGGCAGGAAATGAGTACCTACCTTAATGATGTCAGCACCAGACAAGATCAACTCCTCAACCATCTCTCCCGTCACTACATTCCCAGCCTGGAAGAAATTCAGAATTATACATAAACTAGGAAGTTTTTCAAAATTAAAGACTGTCCTTTGTTACACACTAAGGTGTTAATACCAATGTAATTATGTGGATGGGTGGTAAAGCTAAAAATCACTCTTGGAGTTAATTTCTTATTTGCACTTCCCAAAAAGTGTTTTGTATGTCTCATATAGTTTAGTGGTATGGCTATACTGGAGAATGACCACAGAGTGGCAAATCACATTAAACAGGTTATTCACCATTCTGAAATATGCCACAATTTTCAAGGAAAATTACACCATTATTAAACTTGTTGCCTTCTTGAAATAATCTGACCACTAATATTTGAGTTACTTTCCAGATGGATGGATTGACAGATGAAGAATGGAGCTTAAAACCTGAATGATTGTTAGAGATGTCACGGAACAAAAAAAATCGGAACGGTTCGGTTCGGAACATTTTGCTTCATAACGGAACAATTTCGGAACTGTTCGGAACAGAGTGACTGCGTGTATAAGATGAAAATAAGTTGATCATCTAGGTCTATTTGGTAGCGAAAAGCTCTTCAAAACTCTTCAATGAGAAGGAGTGAAAAGAATGAACCTCTTTTGGTGCAAAATAATGAAAGAAAAATGCAGTTTTGTGGAGATTTAAGGGCCAAAAGTTGTTCCGCAGATCGGAACAAAATCGGGTATCCGTGACACCTCTAATAACAAGAACACTCTAACATCTTACCATTATTGTATGCTTAGGGAACTCATTCCTCACATCTCTGAGGAAATGTACAAAATGTTCCGAATATCCATTTGCAACATCGAGACAGATGAACTTAACTTCTGGGACTGCATCCATAATAGCCTTTAATTTTTCGAGATCTCCTTTACCTGTACCTGAACTGGCTGCTACATGCTACAATTGCAGAAATATTTCAATACAGTAAAACCTGTGTATATTGAACATTTTTTGCTGAGAAAAAACAGTCAGTGTAGGTGTTCACTACAACCAGGATTTGATTTCACGGCATTTATTTTTGTATATAATATGAAGATGAAGATTGTATTAATTGAAATATACTATCATCTATTTCTGAAAGGTGGGCCTGGCCAGGGGCTTATCAGCAGTTAAGAGCCGAATTTTTCATCAAATGTGAATGAATCTGCATATAAACACAGACAACTGGTCCAACATAGGACTTTTACACTGATATTGTTGAGAGTTGCAATGAATGTATTTCAATCTTCCAATTTGTCAAAATCCTCTTTGAATACTCTTGATAGTTCACTTAATGACACTTCTCTGATTAAACTGTCCGAATGCTATAATTGGAACAAGAGCTTGCAATACTAAGAAGTGGTAAATTAGAATTTGGAAATAACACCAAGTTGTGTGAACAAGGAATTCCAAAACAGCTGATACTGTAAAAGCAAAGAGAATATCCCAGATGTGAGTAGAAATAATCTTGATTTACCTCATTAAAAATTCACAATTTGAAAAGAGTTTATCAACTTTGGAAATTGAATTTTCTTTGAAAATGTGACTTCTAGGTCGGGGAGATTCCCCATAGAGCCCATGTTGTAAAACCACAAAAAGTGAAATATCTTTTCTTGTGTTGAGCAGATATTTCCTTTTACTCACATATTTTAATTTGTATAACTATTAGATACATAAAGTGAACCATTAAAACTGATGCATATTCAAGTTTAAGGGAATTATGTAATACCATGCCATGTTAATTCCCAGAATCAGCCACCTGGTGGTGAAACTGGTAACTACCTACTCGCATCTGAGTAATTATGTAACTCATTGCTGGCTAAAGCTATTTTTGGAGGGTTTCTGCTGGTGACCAGCAATTTTGAAGGACAATTAAGCAAAATTGCATGTTTTCACATGAGCATAAAACAGACTGTATCAACACGCTATGCGCTAAGTTAAATGCCATTTGTGAAGCCAATGACAAAATATTTCAATTGCACCCTATCAGGTTCCTCTAATGACCCCTGGAATATTTGGTAAGATAATTGGTACAGATTATGTGACAGTTACTTGACAGCAACCCGAGATATCTCGGGGTTGGTCAGACAAGATTATAACGTCATTGACGAAATATCTCGGGGTTGGTCACTGGTCAGATATGATTATGACATCATAGACAAAACATCTCGGGGTTGGTCAGCAATGAGTTAAGATCAGGTATATCATTTTGGTATATCATTATTTGAACATATTTTATGAAACAGTTTATAAGTGTAATTACCTGAACATGTAGTAATTGGATCAAGATTTTATATAAATCATAATATGCAGATTCATGAAAAAGAGATTAGCCCATACTTACTGGTAAGACTGTGGGATTTTCTTTGGCAAATTCTTTCCATGCTTCTAAAGAGTAATGCTTGTGTATGGTTGTGAAACATTGGTGCTGGAAACATTTAACAAATATTACATTTCACACGGGGAGTCATTGGGGACACATAAAGGGGATCGGAGAATAATGGAGAGAGTATCTATGATAGTAATGTAATGCTTGTGTATGGTTGTGAAACATTGGTGTTGAAACAATAAAACAACAAATATTATGCACGGGGACACATAAAGGACAAGAGGGAATAAGGGAGAGAGTATCTATGATAGTAATGTAATGCTTGTGTATGGCTGTGAAACATGTATGTTGGAAACAATAAAACAACAAATATTATGCATGGGGACACATAAAGGACAAGAGGGAATAATGGAGAGAGTATCTATGATAGTAATTTAATGATTGTGTATGGTTTTAAAATGATTGAGTTGGAAACATTAATACAACAAATATTACGAATGGGGACACATAAAGGACAAGAGGGAATAAGGGAGAGAGTATCTGTGATAGTAATGTAATGCTTGTGTATGGCTGTGAAACATGTATGTTGGAAACAATAAAACAACAAATATTACGAATGGGGACACATAAAGGACAAGAGGGAATAAGGGAGAGAGTATCTATGATAGTAATGTAATGATTGTGTATGGTTTTAAAATGATTGAGTTGGAAACATTAATACAACAAATATTACGAATGGGGACACATAAAGGACAAGAGGGAATAAGGGAGAGAGTATCTGTGATAGTAATGTAATGCTTGTGTATGGCTGTGAAACATGTATGTTGGAAACAATAAAACAACAAATATTACGAATGGGGACACATAAAGGACAAGAGGGAATAAGGGAGAGAGTATCTGTGATAGTAATGTAATGATTGTGTATGGTTGTAAAATGATTGTGTTGGAAACATTAATACAACAAATATTACGAATGGGGACACATAAAGGACAAGAGGGAATAAGGGAGAGAGTATCTATGATAGTAATGTAATGATTGTGTATGGCTGTGAAACATGTATGTTGGAAACAATAAAACAACAAATATTACGAATGGGGACACATAAAGGACAAGAGGGAAAAAGGAGTATCTATGATAGTAATGTAATGATTGTGTATGGTTGTGAAATGATTGAGTGGAAACATTAATACAACAAATATTACGAATGGGGACACATAAAGGACAAGAGGGAATAAGGGAGAGAGTATCTATGATAGTAATGTAATGATTGTGTATGGTTGTAAAATGATTGTGTTGGAAACATTAATACAACAAATATTACGAATGGGGACACATAAAGGACAATAGGGAATAAGGGAGAGAGTATCTGTGATAGTAATGTAATGCTTGTGTATGGCTGTGAAACATGTATGTTGGAAACAAAAAACAACAAATATTATGCATGGGGACACATAGAGGACAAGAGGGAATAAGGGAGAGAGTATCTGTGATAGTAATGTAATGATTGTGTATGGTTGTAAAATGACTGTGTTGGAAACATTAATACAAAAATATTACAAAGGGAAACACGAAAGAGCCTTCTTATCATAGAGTTGCTATGGTTACAATAGGACTGGTGCGGAAACAGGTTGAATATACTATTTGTTTTGGGAACAATGTGAGTCTGACTACCAAAAAGGTTAGAATGGCAACAGCAGATTGGTTGTGATAACAATTACAGTTACTATGGCAACAAACTTATTGATATGGTAACAACATGGTTACCGATAGGCTGTCAGGGTAATCTTTTGCAAAGTCCTGCCAAGCTGCCACTGAATAATGTTTGTGAATATTCACAAAACACTTATGCTGAAGAAACAATAGTTGCAATTTAACATATTGTGCTCTCAATGATATACATGTACTGGTATAAATGTTGTGTTATAATGAAATATTGACCGAACTGTTCAAAATATCCAAATTTCTATTCTCAGTCTCGGATAACAAAAATATGATAACAGCTGAAAGTAAATCACATCTTACATTTCTCAGCCATATTTCATAACATATACTCCCAATCTTTATTATTCACCTGTCCGTTTGCTGCTCAGGTAATATTGCAATTATCACATTTAGACAGAAATTATCACAAGGACAGAAATTATCACATATTTAAGTAGAATACTACAGGTTGCTCTGTTGTTTGTTATTAATAAACAGAAATAAACAAGAAAATATAATATGTGCTGTTTTAATCATTATACAGTATCTGAATTCTGAATAATTTACTTATATTGCTGGTATCAATCTCTGTTTTAAAATAAGAAAAAAATGAATAAAAAAATATGTTTGGGATTAACTAAATATACATAAACATAAATATACAAAGTTCCTGATACTGGTACTGGTATATAGATCGGGTCACAGAAGAGATTGAAGTGTAATTTAAAAAAAATCAAACTCAAAATAAATGTTAAATAAAAATTAATAAGATTCACCTTTCCCATAGCGCAGGCCATCTCAAATGTGCCTGTCGTGTCCATATTAGCTGCCATAAGGGGGATGCCATCATAAGTCTGTCCTGAGTTACGGAAGATAAAGGATCTTGTTAGGTCTACCTGGAATAATATACATTAGACTTCAGAATTCAGATTCATGCTTTTTTGCAATCAAATAGTAATATTTGTTTATGGCAACTTTCTACAGCATTCATGTCTCAGATCAGATAATAAAAGTACAATATGATATCATGTGGGGGCATGGCCGGGATTTTAAATTTGACGATGCAAAAATCAATGGTTGAGTTGAAAACATATCTGAAAATATATATTTCAGTACAATTTATGGTGAGGCATATGTCTCATGTCTGGCTTCATCCTTGTCAATAACTAGAACAACTACTTTGCTGGTCTATAATGGGTTAGCTCCAGAGTCATTAAAGACTAGAGTGAGTGTTACAATGTCTGTTAATATGGCATTCTTTTATTTACCATATTAGAATAAAAAATAAAGACCTCAATTCTATAATATATGGCTATGACATTTCGTATTTTTAGTTTTTGCTATGATCTCAATGACAATTCCCCATATGGATCCCTGAGTAGACCTATGACCTGACGAACAATTAAGAACGAATTTTCTTAAAATGTCTGAAAAGACAAACTTGTTTATGTGTGGAGCGGCTGTTTGCATTGATTGTTACCGTAAAGGTGATGAATCATTTTAAAGAAAAGAGCAAAGCTGCAACAGTCCTGCATGCAAGGAATCAAATAAGCCAGCAGGAGTTATCATCCCCCCTTCCCAGGCGTACATGTTCATTACTTAAGCAGATTTGCTATGAAACCTTCACATGTTATACATAAACACAATGTAACAAAAACTGCATTATTCAAGAGTACAATGTAATTGGCTTTTTGTAATAGTCTTGCTAATTGGCATTTTCTCTAAAATGGCTGTCAAACATGGTATTGAAACGAGCCCGGCCCTGTTTAGAAAATGTTGCTATAATCATATATAATTGCTGCTGTGCTGAAGTAGCAATTTGCTAGGGTCATTACAGCATGAGTACCATAATCTAACACAAAACGAGAAATTTCCAACCAAAACATACCAATTTTATCATATGTCCATTATGTGTATCTTAATATTCAAAATCAGGATTTATTCAGTTGCCAAATAATTGCACTTATAATCGCATCCACCTAAGAAGTATCTTTTAAGGAGATTTATCTGGATGCTCAGATATGTACAAGTACACAAGACAATAGACCTGAATTACGTAAATTACTGTTCATAAAATTTATAAATAACCATTGCACTGTAGAGTTGTCTGATTCTTGCACAATTCCTGTCCTTAGTGCTAGCTTTGGCATGGGCTTAGAGCTATCGCATCCCCCCACCCCCATAAACAAGACACACAGTAATAAATATAACACTTTGAAGAGCAAACTGGCCACCATGCAATTTACCCAGCATGGCCAAAACCTAATCAGACCTTGGCACTAGTCTGCTCTTGCATCTGTAAACATTTCAAGTTGACAAGGTTAGCGGTTTTCCTGCAATTTTGATGACAAGAATTTATTTGTAGTCTTGAACTTTGGGAAAATTTAGATAACATTGTTTGTGACCTAATTTGATGACCTTCGACCTTGAAAATTTCACTTTTTCAGACCTCAGTAGGTGTTTTGTAATTAAGCTGACCTAAATTTAAATCCAAAATATCAATTTAGAAAATCAAATTTTTGACCTTTTCAAGGTCACTGAAGGTCAAAGAAAGGTCAAATCTGAAATCTAAGGTCAGATTTGAACTTCTGAGAACTTGCAGATGTTTTTAAAAAAAAAATTGGTCAATTTGGAGCAAGTTGAAAAATTCAAAATGGCCACCAAATTGAAAAATTCAAAATGGCCACCATGTAATTCAGCCAGCATACCCAAAACCTAATCAGACCTTAACAATAGTCTGCTCTTGCATCTGTAAAAATTTCAAGTTGAAGGGATAAGTGGTTTTCCTGGAATTTTGATGACAAGATTTGTTGAAAAATTCAAAATGGCCACCACGTAGTTTACCAAGCATGCCCTTAACCTAATCAGATCTTGGCACTAGTCTGCTATTGCATGTGTAAAAATTTCAAGTTGAACAGGTTAGCGGTTTTCTTGGAATTTTGCTGACAAGAATTGATTTGTAGTCTCAAACTTTGAGAAACTTGGATAACATCATTTGTGACCTAGTTTAATGACCTTGACCTTCAACCTTGAAAATTTAACTTTTTCAGACCTCAGTATGTGTTTTGTAATTAAGCTGATCTAAATTTAAATCCAAAATATCAATTTAGAAAATCAACTTTTTTGACCTTTTCAAGATCACTGAAGGTGAATGAAAGGTCAAATCTGAAATCTAAGGTCAGATTTGAACTTCTGAGAACTTGTAAATGTTTTAAAAAAAAAAATTGGTCAATTTGGAGCAAGTTGAAAAATTCAAAATGGCCGCCAAATTGAAAAATTCAAAATGGCCACCATGCAATTCAGCCAGCATACCCAAAACCTAATCAGACCTTGGCAATAGTCTGCTCTTGCATCTGTAAAAATTTCAAGTTGAACGGATAAGTGGTTTTCCTGGAATTTTGATGACAAGATTTGTTGAAAAATTCAAAATGGCCGCCACGTAGTTTACCCAGCATGCCCTTAACCTAATCGGATCTTGGTACTAGTCTGCTCTTGCATCTGTATAAATTTCAAGTTGAACAGGTAAGTAGTTATCCTGAAAATTTGATGACAAGTTTTGGTTTATGTCCCGCCCGCCCAACAGCACAAGACGACGACAATATACATGATATAGCACTTTTTCAAAGTGCGATAAAAAACAAAAAGCAATGTTGTTAAATACAGTATGTTGAAAAAATTTAACATTTAGTATATAGTAGTAAGTTTCATATATTTGGGCCTCGTTTCACTCGCAATGAAATTGTAGGAAATTCTCGCAAGTCCTTATAAGTCCAATATGTGGTTCTATTGGCGTCCTCACCCTCACTCTACTTTACATGTATCTTCCAATATGTGATTCTATTGGTGTCCTCACCCTTAGTCTATATGTACTTTATCTTGATAAAGTAGACTGAGGGTGAGGATGCCAATAGAATCACATATGGGACTAATAAGGACTTGATACAGCTTCCTGTGGCAATGATGCAACACCCCCCCCCCCCCTGACAATTGCTGGCTATGACCCTGTTTGGCACGGATGCTTGTACATGATAATCGTGTTCCAATGCAGGCCCGTAGCCAGGATTTGCCAAGGGGGGGTTCAGTTTTCAAAAATTTCCAGGGGGGGTTCACATTTGACAATTTTGGCCCAAATATGGCTAAAATCACTTGAAGTGCTCAAAATGGTGAAAAACTGCATGCTTTTGAAAGAATTTTTGGCCAGGGGGGGGTTCGCCCGAACCCTGCGAACCCCCCCCCCTGGCTACGGGCCTGCAATGGCATATGATAATCTTGTATTGTCCATACTGCTGGTTCCTCTGACCATGGGCACAGAGTATATACAAGTTGTCTTAATCTCAAAAGACATGGCCTTTCAACAATCATAATCCCAGTTCATCAAATAAAATGATGAACTGGGACCATATTACTTCGGTCCAAAGCCTTCTCTATATTCCGGCTTTGAGGAGGAAGATTGAGCTGCCTTAGTATTATAAATATTGTAAATCATTGTGTCACACGCACAGTAAATATGGCATAATAATATGAAATATACCTTTATGTATAGATTTGAAGAACATCAGCTCACATCCCCGTCTGAATCTATTGTTATATTTGATTTCTTTAAGCGAGAATAATTTCAAATGTTATTCACGTCCAGAACCGGAAGCCATTTTTAGCTACAGCGAGAAAATTTCACCATGTGTCAAACTCCGAAATGAAATTTTGAAATATCTAAATCCAGACAAGCAACGCTTCATCCTAAATATGATTAATATTCTTAAAAATATTTATAAAATTTATTAAAAATGAGTTCTACGAAATCAATGAAGTTTCGTCTAGCTGTAAGCTAGAGACTCGAGTAAGGACCATACATTCACTGGGGGGTATCGTGATGCAACAACACCGTGTTGTTGCATCAAGATGGCCAGACTTCCGGTGATAGATTTTCGTACGATAAGTTGTTTCCCCAATTTAAACCCATTTCTAGGACGAGTTTCTCAATAACCATACACGTGAAGTTAGCGCATGATCTATATTTAAAGAAACTGTCATTAGTATACATGTAGCATCATCAAGAAGCAAGAAGTTCACGGTTTTAGTTCCTCACTATTGATGCAACAACACCAAACCGAAGATGCAACAACACTCCTCTAGATTTGAGCAATGATGCAACAACACCAATTAATAGTATAATTTCAGAAGACCAAAAATCTCGAGAGGAACAGATTTTTAAATGCAACTATTGCAACACCGGGCCAGTACCCATTTGCGTTCTTCTCAGGCATTCAAAATACATGTCCTGCGGGCGAAGATTCTTTATATGTATTTTTTTCAAAAATTTATACTTTTAAATACAGTATCATAATGTACTGGAAGTTGTTTTATAACATAGTTCAATCGCCTTTAACATTGCAAGCTATAGTAACCCAATTTATTATCATAAACCCCTGTTCCATAGCTTGATGACCCTGATACCAGTTAGTATCATTCAAAATGGTAGACAAACATCTTTCGTTCTCGGTAAACACGACAAGCTATTGGAAATCTTGCACAGCGCACATGTAGAAGTATTGTTCTCTTTGGATTCGTTCTCCCCGATTGAGTAAAAAGGTAGGTAATTTAGGTCCCGAAAAGGTAAATTGATAGGGGTACAGTAATCCCAGATTCCCCCTGGGCCCTCGGGAAATATCATAATGTGTCCGGAATAAAACCAATATTGAATCCCTCTCAGTAAATAACCTCTATATAATAGCATTGTATTACTGCAATATCATTAAACCAACACTCATCGGAAGTTATGGCGTTTTGAAAACTCAAAATCGCTAAATTTGGTGCCCCGTGTTAAGTCAATGGGCAAAAAAAAAATTTTGAAGTGTAAAATACGACATATATACGACCGAGTACAGCTTAATTTAATGAAAGCCTTTAAATGAAGGGTACCTCAAAAGCAATCTAGCTTCAAAATTTGGGCACAAAAATGTCTAGGTCAAAATCTAGGTCAAATTCAAAGTTTTCCTTATTTTTGTGATTCTGACACTACACTTCAATTATATTCTTCGAAATTGTGTATACATGTAGCCAAGAGTGTACTAATAGTGTTAGCCTTGAGATATGGTGTCCAAAAAGTAGTTCAAAATAAAAAATTCTCCAAAATTAACGTTTGAGTTATGAATGAAGAATAGAATTTTCTCAGGAATCAGAATCTGCAAACCAAATTTCGATCCGACTTCCGGTTCGGAAGTTATGGCGTTTTGAAATTTCGAGAAAAATCGATCTGATGGTATCCTGATAGAAAGTCAGAGTAGCGAAGAAAATGTTGAAAAATCCATCCATCCTTCCTTCCTATCCTATCCTACCATTCTATCCTATCGTTCCTTCTTATTCTATCCTATCCTTCCTATCCTATCCCTTTTATCCCTATCCGTTCCTTCCTATCTATCCTTCATATCCTTTCCTTCCTATCTATCTATCCTTCCTATCCTTTCCTTGCTATTCTATCCTATCTTTCTTCTCTATTCTCTCCCATCGTTCCATCCTATTCTGTCCTATCCCTCCTTCCTATTTCATCCATCCATCCATCCATCCATCCATCCACCCATCCATCCATGTTTTTCTGGATGACTCGGCTTAAAAAAGTCCAGATCTGGAGTCTAAAATTGAACTTGTTCAATTTCCAAAGTCTAGTTATATTATTCTTTGTAAACAATTTCCATACGATACGGTAAATCAAGGGGATTTAATTTAGAAAATGAATAATCTTTATTTTTCAGATACAATATCAATGAGGTTGGCTCCCGGGGATTCAATACTTAGCCTATGTATTTAGTTTACCTTGTATATCCTTTTTACTTTGATAAAGACAAATACATTAAGGAATCAAACAAAATATGTTTCATTCATGAACCACGCACTCACGCGTTTTATTCATGTCCCGACCAACACCTATAAACAGAACATAAAACAGTTTCTCTTGATATTCAATGATACATTATATTGGCGTTTTTGCATCAGCACATTGGTGTTGTTGCATCATTGATAATAAACAGAGTGGTGTTGTTGCATCAATAGTGAGGAATTAAAACCGCGAATTTCTCGCTTCTTGATGATGCTACATGCATACTAATGAGAGTTTTTTAAAATATAGATCATGAGCTAACTGCACGTGTATGATTATTGAGCAACTCGTCCTAGAAATTGGTTTAAATAGGGAAAACAAAATATCGTACGAAAATCTATCACCGGAAGTCTGGCCATCTTGATGCAACAACACGGTGTTGTTGCATCACGATACCCCCCAGTGACATTGTAAACTGTAGAAGACAGGTGTGAAGAAAATCATTACCTTTCATTTGCTCATTTGAAATTAGTAATTTATCAAACCGAAATAATAAGGAAAAGTACTATGATGAGATTTATGAAAACAGAAAGCACAGAAATTAGAAAATGAAACTGATTCGAGTGATTGAATGGAAATTAAAATTCCGCGAAAATGCAACCTTGGAGAAAGTCAGAAAAACATCACTACATACCTCTGATCTGCTTTTTAAAGTTGACCTTTTAGGTCTAACTAATACATCTTTGAAGTCTAGCTTGATATCATTATCTATGCGAGGCATTTTTGATCTTAAATCACGAATAACTCAGGAGCAAATAAAGCCGGCTTGGCGGTTACCGGAAATAGGGTTTTGACTAACGAGTGTCAACTATCCGTCTTTTCAGCAAAAAACAAGAACTTTTCTAAAGCAATGTTTTGTCCATTTATGGAATAATTATGATATTCAAACAAGAATGAAACATGCAATACTGACGATATATAAATTCTTCAACACTAGAAACTCTTTAATAGATTTGTCATATTGAAATCGTTGCAAAATGGGCTTTGACAGTAGTGAAATTCTCCACTTCCTTTTTGGAAGTTTTGTCTGCAGGCTGATTTTTACTGTTTATGGAATTTACCAAGATTCTACAATGCTAGTGAAATATACAGATGTAGACTATTATGTTTTCAATGACGCTGCTCATTTTGTATCAAAGGTAAAATCATTTGGAGTATCGCCGGCATTTGGCACCCCTCTAATGTGTCGCTGCTTACTCAGTTCGCTTTCTTGAAAGCCCATTTCGATTCACTACATGTAGAGAGCTATGAAGAAATGCAAAATCCAAGGAGGTCTTGCCACAACACAGATTAATAAATTAGGAACTCTGGGTTAAAATTGATCGAAGTCCAAATCTTTAAGATGAGTCATGCCGGCTGTTATGTAATTTTTAATTTACTATACTCTATGTAATCTTATGATATTTATTGTTTGAATCTCAACAAACTACAGGTATGCCCTATTTTAGACAATGATTTAAAAATAACAATGCTTTTATTACATGTACATTGTATGTATTTCCAGGGACTGTCACCTTACATTAGGAGAACATACAGATATACACCACTACTAGCATTCATTCTTGCACCCAATGTCCACATTCATGAAATATTTGGAAAACTTTTGTTTGTGACATGTGACATCCTAACAGGATATTTGATCTACAAAATTGTGCGATTAAGAAATTCGCCAACTCACGTTGCCATATTCTGTGCGTGTCTGTGGCTGTTTAATCCATTGCCTATAACAGTATCCACACGAGGTAATGCAGAGTCGATTATGACGTTCCTGGTGTTGTTGACGCTGTATCTTATACAAACAGGGCAGAATACACATAGATGGATGGCAGGTTTTACCTACGCATTATCAGTCCATGTGAAGATATATCCAGTAACATATGCATTGCCGATATTCTTGTATCTCAGTAGGAAAGAAGACTGTCTTGAATTGATGCAGAAACCAACAATAAGGACATTTTTTAAATTGATTTGGCACAGAGAGAAGATGGAATTCATCATGATTGCCAAATTGACATTCTTCATCCTAACAGCTTTGTTTTATATGATGTGAGTACAATGTCCAGTCTATATGCACCAAACGACAAAATGTCACAGACAATGAAGAAATATCTGATATATTTTGTAGGCTACTTCAAAACAACATGAATTTTTGAAAAAAGTTGTGCACCATTTTGAAAATATCCTGAAAAATTGCCATGTTTTTGCCAACCTTTTGGCCTCTTTCATAAAACAAAAATTTATGCATCCACATGATGAAGGAATCCTGAAGATTCACATTAGATTATTACTTTAAACTTAATATTTTGTAAGCACGAAAATAAATGTACAAATATATATTCATTTCATTAACAAGTGTTTATCATATTTTCCAGGTATGGATACAAGTTCCTACATGAGACATATTTGTATCACTTGACAAGACGCGACATTCGCCACAATTTCTCCGTTTATTTCTATATGCTTTACCTCACGGAAGGTTCTGCATATTCATTGGTGCTAGGCCTTGTAGTATTCCTTCCTCAGGTGGCGCTCCTACTTGTGTTGTCATGGAGATACTATGACGATTTACCATTCTGTTGTTTTCTCAACACATTTGTGTTTGTGACTCTGAACAAAGTGTGTACATCTCAGGTTAGTTATGTAATTATTTGATTTAAGCTCAATAATACTTATTTTTATCATCAGATTTGGACATACTTTATAAATGAATAAACTACAGTAAAACTTGTCAAGAGGGAACATATTCAGTAGGCCTACCTAAAATAATGTTCAATTTGGGAGGTGTTCCATTTACAGAGGTTAATTTTCATTAAGTAGAAGCTATTTTGTACTGAATTGAAAAGTGTTCCACTTATGGAGGTGTTCCACTTTACAGGTTCCTCTGTACATGTACATATGAAAGGAAGCATGTTAAAATGCTTTCAGCCCAACCCTGTCTCCTCTTTGGAAAGCAGCATGGTCACTGAAACAGATAGAATAAATCATACATTTATTATTGGTAAATCTTAGATGTAATTGCACTCTCACTGAAAGGGTAATTCTTCAAATAATGATGAATCTCATACATCATCAAGTATGCTGCTTTATTTTCTAAAGGCTCTGTTTTGTAAATGGGTTCACAATTTGTGAATAAGTCTTCATGCTTACTAGTTGATAAATAACTATTTTTAACATATTTTATTGCAGTATTTCCTGTGGTATTTATGCCTGCTGCCTGTCATCATTCCAAATTTGAACATTTCTCGGAGAAAAGCCATTGTCATGGTTACTGCATGGTTCCTTGGTCAGGTGAGTATTATACAATTTAGTGAATCACGCATGATTGCGTTAACCAATCAAGAGGAGAGAATGTGTCTCCTTATAAGGGGATATGGGTAATCTGCCAAACTTTTGCCTTTTTCTGGTTCTCAATTTTGTGCATGTACAAAAGTGTATTAGCTTCAACCCGAATTCCTCCTTATGAGAGGGATGTACTAGAAAATTTGAAACACTGGCTCATTTTACTGAAAGAAAAACTAAAATGAGTATCTCTGCAATTTGAGATTGCTGGCTCTGTGTATATTTTTACTGTGGCCATTACATACTTATTTTCTTTTTTTTATATATCTGTTTCTTGCAGTTGTAACTCTTTCATATATTCAAATTACATGTATATTTTCAGGTTTACTACATTTTAAAATTAACACAATCTAGAGGGCATGCAAAAAGTTTAAGAATGAATATTGAATATCATATGATATAACGTTAAACCATGTCTTGTATTGTATGCTCATACTTGTTAATTCCAATAAAATTTGTTCATAAAAAATCTTTTATATTTCCAGGGCTTGTGGCTTACTCCTGCATACTTCCTTGAGTTTCAAGGTCAGTCAACATTCCTCTACATCTGGATAGCTGGACTGGCGTTCTTCCTTATCAATATATGGATCCTAGGAGTTATTATTCAGAACTACACAAACAGGACAGATCACCTTCAAAATATTGCTAAATATCTCAATTTAAAGAATCTCAAATTCTGGAAAAGACTCTTATAATGCTTATTTAAGATTTGGCAAATGAGTGTGTATTGCATCTTGGATTCCCAAGGTATGATGTGTTCGAAAATCAAACTGGGAAATGAGTATTTATGTATTGCTGGTTCAGTAAAACCTACCGGTATGTACTATATAGTTTTATAACATACAAGTTTTTATCTTATTGAATAAATATACCTTTAAATACTGTAGTTACTCTTGGTCTCAGTTTTATATTAAAATATGCCATAATTGTTTTAATTATTGTTTAATGATCCTGCAACATATCACTTGTCATGAGCAAATTAATAATATACACATAGTGAGCGTTTGGGAAACCTTCACTTTTGGTATGTATCTTTAACATTGAAACTATGCCTGTCACATCACATTTGCTAGGGCAACTGTACAGTCTAATATTTCTACGGCTAATAGTAATTCTATGATCACCCGTGAAACAAGTTATTACTCTGGGTATTATTTCCCACAGGGACACGTTCGGCCTGTAAAAACAGAGATAAACCCTACGATAACCATGTAGATTTTCTACGCCGTATTTCTTGATTTCGAAGACTACGGTTGCCATAAATGTAACTGAGGTAATACTGTAACGTGAACAGTACTTCACCCTCTATACTACGAACTGAGCAACACATGGATTATATTTGGATTGAGAAAAGTTGATAAAAAAATTAAATAACGAGCAAAATGTCATCACCTGCAATTTCATGCACTTGTTAAAAATCCCGAACGCTAATCGCCAAACACAATATTAGGGCCTTTCTGTAAGTTATTTATATAAGAGTCTATGGTACATGTATTTCATAGTCGTGAATTATGTAATTTGTTTTCAATCAAAGGCGTAGTTGTGATAGAACAGTCGTTTTGAAATACAATTTAAATCTCCCGCAAAAATGACTATTCAATTTTGTCAAAATCTTGGTATATGCTGGAGCAATGAAACACAAAAAGCTAGTTGACACTTATTAGCGTTGTTACTTGATACACGGTCTTCATTTATTTTTATCTGATATCAAACATGGTATGTTTTGTAACCCAACTCTTCCTTTACCAACACCATATAGTTTTCCTCTACTCAAAATTCGTTTGAGGATATTGTGCATATTTTTATTGATGGACTTCCAATAATGCTCACAAAAATTATGCATGTTTTGATATCATAATAATATAGAAGAACTTTTTGTCGTCCACACTATTTATTAATTTTATGTCAAGATTTATATAATGGTACATTCACCTAATTTTAGAGACGTTCTTCTTTCTAATGATATATTCAAACCACGAGCTAACAAACTTGTCTCACTTTAAATTGTTCATATTTAATGATGTCTACTTTGATGACATTGAAGAGATTTCTTCATTTACATGTATAGGGTGTCTCAAAAAATGTACCCAAAAGTATACCAACACCATAGACAAACCAATCAATATTTTCAGACATTTTTTGTTTGGTCTTTTAGATAAAAGATGAAAGTTATTTTTCCCTATACACAGTTTTTAATTCAGTTTTGCCTTTTTGATACTTTAACCCGTTACCTTTTACACCACATATTCAATGTAACCTCATATTTCGATGACAGTTTGCTTCCTTACTACTACATTGTTCATCACGGTCGATATTTCTGGTGGAATGTTTTGATTTCTGTTCGGATGCTGGTCTTAAGTTGTTCTAGGTCTCTTAGTTTGGGTCTAGCATAAAAATGGACCTTCAAATAGCCTCAGAGAAAAAAAGTATGGGCCATCAGATATGGTGAATAGGGAAGCCCTTACAATGTCTTATAGCCCCCTTATACAGAGAGGTCAGAGGTTCAAGAAACTGCATTGGCTGCGATTGGCTTGTTGTGTGTGTATCGATTTGAGACCACTGTGTTTTCGTTTGGATATCATTTGGTCTCCAGGCTAGCCTGCCTAACTCTGGAAGGTATCTCCTGAATCATTTGCCAATAATTGACCTGATTATCTGTGTTTGTTCTGCCATCGTCATCCTCAAACATCTTTCTCTGTGGCTATTTTTGAAGGAGTGTTTAATGCTCATTCCAAACAAAAAGACCTAGAACACCCAAAGAGAAATCCAAAACATTTCACCGGAATTATTATCAAATGTGATGAACAATGTAGCAGTAAGGATACAGGCTGTAATAGAAATATGCGGTTACATCGATTATGTGGTGTAAAACGTTAAGGGTTAAAGCATCAAAAAGACTGAGATAAAAATGGTGTTTTGAGGAGACAACTTTCATGTTTTGGCTACATGACCATGCAAAAAATGTCTGAAAATATTGATTGGTTTATATGTGCTCTTGATATACTTTTGGGTACATTTTTTGAGACACCCTATATATGTGAAAGTGTTTTCACATATACATGCTCAAAAATGGTCAATTGCATTTAAAGATTTTGCCGTAAAACGTACTTTTTCTGATGAAGGTCGGACTACAAGACCAACCGCTAAGACCAGCATGTGATGACAGATGACACAAGAAACAGAGAAAATATGTAATCGTATCCAAAAAAGTTAATTCTCTCAATTATCTGCGCTATATCTACTACAAAAACATGCACACACACACAGTTGAAATGTCATCATCTGTTTCCACGTGTCACCGCGTCACTTCAAGTATTCACTGTCAAGTTTACTCTAAATATGTAAGCGTAAGTGTAAAAAGGTTAAAGGCCAAAACGTATTATTAGCACAAAAAAATGTTAACCTACATATTGTAACCACAAAACACAGTGAGAATAGAAACATTTAAAAGTACAAGGAAACCTTGACTAACCTAAAACCAAATATAAGCAACCCCCGGGAAGCAACTTTAGAAACTTTTCTCAGAATTCAAAATAAACAATAGACTATATTATATCATATTTTATTGTATTTTTATTATATTGTATAGACAGAGGTTATAAGTTGAGAGGGATTGGGTTATTAATATACAATCACGTCCGTGGGATGACCTTTTTATACCATGACAATGATTAAAATATTAAAATTAAATCAATTCCCACATTTAAATTGTAAATTTAAAAATTCGGGTGAATACATAATACCTTAACCAAAAATGATATTCAGAATGAAAACGAGGTGTTTTACTAAATTGACGCTCAATTCAAATATTTATTTCAAAAATATAACTTCCAAAAATAACAATTACATACAATATGCAGGATCTATAAAAGATGTACAGTATACGGCCGTATACGAGGCAAAAAACTAAATATAATTTTTATCAAGTGCTTTATAATCTTTACCCATCTTGCATTGTAATGCCTTATATTTATTGTCTTGTATTGTAATTGTATTATATTTATTGTATTGTTTGTATTGTAATTTCTATTGTAATTTTATTATATTTATTGTATTGTAATTGTATTATATTTATTGTATTGTAATTTTATTATATTTAATGTATTGTATTTGTATTATATCTATTGTATTGTATTGTATTTAAATGTATTCTAATTGTATTGTTTTGTATTGTATTGCCTGGATAACACTAAGACCTCTTATTCTTCTGATGTCATAACAACACATGTCGAGGAGCAAATTGATATTGTATACCGATATTCTGACATTGAAAATAGTTGAGGACGCCTGCACTCTTACAAGCCAGACCCACCTCAAACACTATGGGACAGGAAAATCCAGTTTCAATTTCCTGAGAGTATCAAAAAGTCACGTATACACCAGCTTTAAAAACTTAAAGAAAATGTGTTTTAGATATTTAAAGAAAACGTCCCATACTGAGCGTGGTATTTTTAAAAAATAAACAAACCCCATGTTAACTCAATCATTTGCCAGGTGTCCATTAAATTGGCCCTAACACCTCCATGGTGTTCTTTTTTATAAAACATAACTGTAACAAAACTGACAGGTAGAGAATATGTAAGGTCGTAGCATAGTAAAGATCGTAACAATCTCAAATGAATCTTCCATGCATTTTATAACATTATATATACATTGTATATATGCAGAAAATGTAGTGATGCTTTTTCGACTTCATATTCTGATAGCATAATACCAGATTGGGTGCGTGGAGTAATGTACATAGGCGTAGCCAGGGGAGTGCGATGGGTGCCCCCCCCCTCGCCCTTGTATGACCAATAAAAAAGCATTAGGTAGAGGAAAAGAGCTTTAAAATGCTTTTGATTTGAAGCTTCTAGCTTAATTTTGAAAGAATATACATAAATTTTTGTAAAATACAAAACAAATCTTTTTTGGCCCGCTTATGCCACGATCGCACCCCCTGACTGAAAACCGAAATTCTATTGGCGCTCGCACTCCCCCCCCCCCCCCCCCCCCCCCCCCCCCCCCCCCTTGAAAGCTGGCTACGGCCATGATGGACGCATGTGCACTTTTGTCCAAGTCACCCGCATGTCAATTATGTCATACGTCAATCAATTGTCACATGTCAGGAAATGGTTTTAAGTGGCTCGATGCATAATGACACGTGAACAAAAATGAAAAAATGAACTGGACTGTCAAAAAGTTTGGAGGTCAAACCTAATCAGGCACGATTAGGTGAATGACACGAAGTTGTCTCAGCAAAACCAACAAAGCATTTTTACATTTTTTCTTATGTTCAACAGCTAATGCTCACATGAATCTCAATCTCTTTGTGATGGCCATGTTGGCTATTTCACTTACAGGGTAACACGGAAATGCATTCACACATAGCTAGGGAAGGTGTGTCCGATTCCAGCCAATCCGAAGAGAGTATTCACATAATGAACAGTGTGTGAAATGGGCCAAGGCTTTAATCCTTAAACCATCTCTCAAGTTAATCCTCAAGACTGGGTAGATATAACACATTAGTTATTGAGAACACAATTCGGCAATGACTCAAATCAGAAAATTTAAGTTTTGAACTTCTTTGGACGATTTTGCACTAGAGCATGCCTCGGGCTGGAAACATTTAGACGCTATGCGTGAACATACAGGGTGATCACTAAGTTCTGGGAATTTATCTATCATTTCATTATTTTTCAACCAATTTACTTGAAATTCTCAAGGTAAATGGGGAATGTAATTTTGGTTTGGATAAAACAGTCTCATTGTCATCTGATGTCACAATGGATACTTATTGTTACTATAGCAACATGATGAATGGCGTAGCGGGTCAAGTAAAATAAAAATGAATTCAAATTTTGCTTGATCCAAAAGTATGGTTAATAAATACCTATTTGGTGGACATATTTCTGTGATGTTTTATATTTTCAAATACTTCTAACTTAAGTTTCTAAAGTAACATCTTTATTGTTATATAAGAGTGTACTTTGCTCTATTTTTGTATCATTCATCAGCAATCCAAAGTTACAATCATGACCAAAAATAGCGGGTAGTTATCTTCCATTATGACTATGCTCCTTCCCATTACTCAAGCTGCCCATACTACTCTTGACGAATTGGGGATCACACAGGTTATTACTGCCCCATATTCATCAGGCAGTATTCCCCAGATGAAGCACCATTAGGCTTCACTACATTTTGGGGTGCTAAAGCATCATATGAGAGGTCATACGTTTGATTCCAATAAGGGACTGATTTCAACGGCTTGAGCAAATCTTCAAGGGATGCCAAAGGGAGGACTGGAACACATCTTTATGGACTAAGTTTGTCAACAACGCATATGCGTCCAGGCTAATGGAAACAATCATAAATGAAATGGTCCTCTCAGCAATGAAGAATACTTCTGAATAAATGACTTCAAGAGTACTGTTCTGCCTCTAGTACAAGTAGTTTGAAGCAACTATCTAGGCAAGATGAATATGTTTTGGCAGGAAATTTTCAAATTAACATCAGTCAAAATTTGCTGACCCGCGAACCACTTTTACTTTTTTTGTAATTACAATAAAATAAATTGTAGATGTGATATGTATATGAAACATTGCTTGTCAATTCAGAATTATACAATGTACACCTGCTGAAACTTTCAACTCAAATGGTTGAGAAATCTTGAAATGGCAGACCAATTCCCAGAACTTAATGATCACCCTGTACATATGTGATAAAGTAAACCCTTTCTTTGCAAAGAGTTGAGAGTCATACCAAAAAAACTAGAGGGTAGCATTGTCGTGTCACCCTGTATCATAAATATTGAAAAATATGTTGAACTTTGTTTAATAACTACATGATAAATGAATGATTTTCGACCAATCAGTGATAATGGTTTGCCATGATTGACATCAGCTATAAACCAATGAATAAATTGCTCTTTACTTGAATATAGAATCATGGTACGATGGGAGTTTATACCCCTCTTTGGGAACATGTTACAAAATCAAATCGGACTTTAACATTCACGACATTCTTCGAAAAGTGTCACACAAAATGTGTAAAAAAATGTTTTAGACAGATGTTTCTTTATGGGCGATAAAAAGGTTTAACCCAAATATTTTTTATTTAAGTGTTCGGTAATTTGATGTGCAACTATTGCATTTTGAAATCCGAAGTTGATAGATTGATTAATAGTTTCAATTGAGGATAGCCATGAGATTGCATAGAGAAACCATGAGACCTCTTCAAATATTGCTGATATTTGCATTTACAGGTAGAAGTAATCTTCTTTTTCAATTACCTACTAGTATCTGAGAAATGTGCATCTTGCTCAGAATTAAAATATTGAATAATTTTTATTTTTCGCAAAATCTAATTTAAATTGACACGAGTGGCTAGTTTTTACCATATACTGCCATTTTACTACTTGAGAAGCACTACATATAATTAATAATTAATGAAGTTGCATTTATCAAAAATATATTTCATTGAAATCAAAATTACAGAAAATCTAATCTAGCACTATATAGTTCGATTACTTTTTGTTTCACATGCCGCAATACATACACTCCCCTCCATAAGTTTGGCAACCTTTTTTCCCCCATTGAACTACGTGTTAAAGCCTCTTTACCTTTGCATTTTTATTTACTTAACCTGCGATGAAAATACTTATACTATTGATGGAAACGTAATTTGACTTTAATTCCAATACCTCCAAATTTTCTCAATTTTTTTCCTCAATTACAGTAGGTCGAAAATTGATGATGAATTTGATGAATTTTTGAAAATCGACATTCCCATGTTAACCAATGGGAAATGGTAGGTTTGCCGCAAGACATATGACAGAATATCCATCCATTCTAGTCCTTGCAAAAAATACGAGTTAGGCAGATAATTGAATTTGCTATCTTTATTTAACAAAAAATTGATATGTTTCTTCAGGTTCAACAAAGTTATAGGGCTTTAAAGTCAAAATTGTTTTTCAAATAACCTCTCCCATTGAAATAACACAGGAGGCGAAAAATTATTTTCAAAAGTGACTTTGAAGCGCTGTAACTTTAATATTCATCAAATAAACTAAACACTTAGTGTTCAAAAAAGTAAGACAATTCAATTTTCTATATGAAAATATTTTTTGCTGAATCTTTTACTGAAAAGATATCCTGATTTCTGATTTGCCCCGAACCCTCCATTTCTCATTGGATTACATGGGAATGACGATTTTCAAAAATTCATCAAATTTATCATCAATTTTCGACCTATTGTAATTGAGGAAAAAATTGAGAAAAATTTGGAGGTATTGGAAATAAAGTCAAGTTACGTTTCCATCAATATTATAAGTTATTTCATCGCCGGTTAAGTAAATAAAAATTCAAACGTAAAGAGGCTTTAACACGTAGTTCAATGGAGAAAAAAGGTTGCCAAACTTATGGAGGGGAGTGTACGTACATGTGGGATGATAAAAAGATCCCATTGAAAGATCAGTGTAAAACCTACTTTATTCTTATTTTAGTTAACAATGCGATATCACACACGATCAACAAGCGTCAGGCGCTGTCTGAAGATCGTTGGTTCTGTGATTTTGAGACAGATATTTGTGGGATGAAACATGAATCTTCCTATGTGAAGTGGACACGTCACGCTGGACGAACTACTTCAGCAGATACTGGTCCGGATAGTGACCACACCCAAGGGACAAATGAAGGTAGGATATCTCGATCTGGACTCTTACAAAATTTTGGCAACTCTAACCCCCCTTTGGATAACGTGATAAAACCTCTTTATGTTTGAATTTTAATAACCTGTAATATATAATTTGGAATTATTTCCAATACCTCAAATTTTTCAATAATTACAATAGGTGAGATCGGAAAATGATGTTTGAAATTGCTTTATCTGAAATAAAAAAAAATTAAAGAAAAAAGAAGAAAAATTATAGGACTCCATAGTCAAAATCATTTTTCAAGAAACCCCCATTGAAAATAACAGGCAAAAGGGTGGAGAATTCAATACTGTAGAAATATCTTTTGGTGAATTTTTATTGAATATCCAGATATCTGAGTTGCCCCGAACCCTCGATTTCACATAGGTTTACATGGATATGACGATTTTCAATAATTTCATCAACTTTCGACCTAATATAATTGAAGAAAAGGATTGGTATCGATATGGCGAACTGAATTCAACATTGAAACCATTCTGTAAAAAACACGGTCCTTTATGTAATGGTCACTGATTGACAACAATTTAATGCGAAAATTATTTATATATTTTTTTATAACTGTTTTTATTAACATATTTTGATTTTTAGTGCAATTGTTTTTTGTTCCTTTCTACCTATTCTTGAGAATGAAATAAAACAGCTTTCCGAACCTCGTTGGAACAAAATAGCAGATACAAAACATTATCTTAGACCTCTTAATATTAAAGTTTTAGAAAGGAAGATTTGGTTGAAAGTATTCAAAAAATTTAAACAAAAACTCCAAAATAGATAAAATTTAAAACAAACTTTTTATTCATTTACAAAATACTTTTTCTAAATCAACCAAACTTTCCTTTGTACAATTACAATATTGAGAGACCCATACACGTTGTGTATATGTCGTTTTGTTCAAATGAGGTTGGGATAGATGTTTCGTTTCATTCCGAACATGCATTGTTTGATACCAAGAACAAAAGAAGTGTCTGATGTGTTTTCTAAAACAATATAGAGAAAAATATATAGATATCTTTCAAATGAAACGGTTACCATTCAAAAGATGGTCGCTAGATTGACGATGTGTAAAATTTTCACAATTTGTTGATGACTGGTTTAAGAGAAACATGTGTTCAATTCAGTTCGCCATATCGATACCAATCCTATGCAAAATTTTAAAGGAATAAGACATCTCCATCTTTTTCGTAATTATAGAACTGACAATATCAATGTGAAGACACGGGATTCAAACAGTATAACCAGGACGGGACAATACTACTTATCAATTGTATTAAGATCATAAGCCGTTTGCGTGTATATTATTTTTCTGCGATTACAGGGCACTACATCTACCTTGAAACCTCAGATCCAGCTGTAGGCGGTGACAAGGCAAGAATTACGCTTCAAATCAACCAGACCGAACTTCAGCATTGTCTAAGTTTCTACTACCACATGCATGGAGAAGGGATTGGGGACTTCAATGTTGAAACAGGCTTGGCCAAGGACGTTCAAACGGTCTTCTCAAAAACAGGTACATGCACGCATGTGTGATATGAGATTGCAATGCTTGAAGAAAAACACAATTCGAGGTTAAAAAGGCACATCTATAGAGCTCTTGGAGTAACAATAGATATAAAATTCCGACATGTTAAAATTAGGAGTCACTGGTAAGTTTTAGGAGAAGGTAACTGTTTGTTACTTCATATTTTGTCGAAATGTCAAACCCTAATGTCCAAGGCTAAGTGATTTAATTCGAAGAAAATTAAAAATAATCAGAATCGGGATTTAACCTCCGCCATTTTGAAGGAGAGGCCAACTCCTTATACTGACCAATAGAAACTCAATAATTAATACATATGTAAGAAATGACCAATCATTGAGCTATAAATCTAAAAAAAACAAATTAGTCAATTTGCATATTGCATAACTTTCAACTTCAAACGCTGGGGCATATGCCTGGAACGTCGTGATCAACTTTCTGTACTTCTAATAGCACTCAAAGTATACAATGTATATTTATATAATAGTTCAAATTCATTTTAGGAGATCAAGGCAACGAGTGGCACCTTAAAAAGATCAACATGCCCATCGGATCTTACCTAACGTTTGAAGCCACAAAAGCGAGGGGAGGAAGGAACTACTTGGGTGACATAGCATTAGATGACATATCACTAACAGTCGGGGAATGTTCGAGTAAACTTATGACAGTGGATGTTTGGGGTTGTGATTTCGAAAAGATAACTTGGGACGATCCCTCTGATGAAACCGGCTGTGGCGAATCATATCGAGGAATGACACAGTTGAGGGATGACAATTTTGATTTCACACGTCTAAACAAACAAACACAATCAAAGCACACAGGGCCATTTACGGGCATTAAAGGAGGTATACAACATAATATCATCCTTGGTTCTAGGGTATTTCACTTCTTTCCTTCTGAATTTAAGCATAAATGAAGTCCTTTGAAGAAGGATGACATAATATAATCTTATAATATTTATTCTAGCCTTTGAAATCGGACTACCCTCATTCAAAGTCTTGATACAAGACATGCGTGCAATTCATTGGGCCATGGAAAAATCCTTTGAAATGTAACTGATTATGGCACCAAGAAAAATCACCAAAAATTGAAAAACTGATATAATTTAGACAATCCAAAGAACGAATTCAAAAACATTGCATATTTCGTTAAATTGTTTTTCAGGGCATTTTGCATACACCGAATCTTCTCCTGTGGATAACAACGATAGAAGATTGGAAGATGCAGTAATCCGATCTCCAAGATTTGGGAATGATGGAGTTCAAAAACTCTCTTTCTTCTATCACACTAGGGGGCTTCTCGTTGGAGGTCTTAGAGTTGTAGCTCTTGACTACAATCTCAAAATTATTCCATTCAGTAAGGTTTTTATATTTTTAACACAATATTAGGTGGAATATTAATTGCACTTTTAGAATTCATGTTTATTATACGCAAAATGTCTTTCCATTTTGTTCATGGATCTTCGTTCATGTTGGATATTACTATAATTGGTGATGACAATTAGTCTTTGTAGAACACAAAATATGCACTTTTAGGGTGTCAGCGTGTATGTCAAAAAACGAAACAAATGACACACTGCTAAACCTGTAAATAAAACATTTGTGTGAGTTGAAAAACTTTGCGATTAGATGACCATCGAACAATCTCAGATGAAACTCTTTTGATACTGGAACATTTTCGAAATGGAACATTTTCAGAGGAGACAAAGACGTTCCACGTACACAGGTTTTACAGCACACATATAAACACCCTGTTTCATCTTTATTATGTATTGTGTATACATTTACATTTTCATGTATTTTTTCCAAGCTTATCCGAAATTGGATATGAAATCGTCAGTGAAATGGAAATCAGCTACCTTTGCTCTGCCGAAAGGAACGTCTGTTATTGAGTTCCACGTCACGCTACCAGATAATGAGAAATTTTGGTCTTCCGATATTGCTATTGACGAGGTTCTTGTTACTACAGGTATGTAGGTCATTTCGGTTATTTATGTAGGTCATTCAATGTCATTTTCAACTTTAAGCTAGGTTATGTATGTTTGTGTCAGTATGAATGTTCAATTTAAACTTAGGCGATAACTGATCAATTCATAATATTAAAAACGCATTCAACTGCCACGTGACAATGTTAACCAGTTTTCAATGTTTTAATTTAGATATTGATATAACAACTACTGGGATTAGGGCTAGGCCTACAACGACAGAAGAACCTGTAACCGAAATCGTCATGCAGACCAAGGACTATATCGGTAAATGTTATATTAGTTAAGTAAGGTGAAAAAGTCAAATGTGGGTCAACTTATTAAGATCACTTTCGTGAGACAGTATAGAATCAAAAATAATGTTAAATGTTGCATAAAAAAGTATTCTTAGTTTTCCATTTGTACATGTTTTACTGATTTCCGTTTGTATCTTCCAATGAAAAGTTGAGGGTGATTCACTTCCTGTCCTCTGGTATTGTACCTTTGAGAGACTCGGATGGGAGGATCCATCAGACAGTAATGGTTGCGGTGATGGGCAGAGCGGCATGGAACAGCTTTTGGAAGATGATTTTAACTTCACCAGAACGAATAAGGACACTCCTTCAAGAAATACTGGACCTTCTAGTGGAAGCGATGGAGGTAGGGAACAATAATGATAAACAGAACTGTGGGTGTATTTCTCAAACTTTCCGTAAAATATAAATGGAGTGTAGCAACTTTTGGGCAACTACTTTCTTTTAAGACATTTCTTTGAACCAACTCAAGAAGTAAAGATAAAATTTGCATCTATTTTTAATAAAGGCCGGCATTTGAAGCGTGCTTTGTAAAATGGCCATAAAATCGTGACCATTAGGTAAGACCAATGAAACTCTGTAGAATAAAATTTTGACTTTCAACCCATGATGAATGATTATTATTTACATTTCGTTGGGTAATTTTTTGTCTTACTCTATCACCCAACTTAATTGCCATATATGGACACGTAGAAGAAAAGTAGAGGGGATATGTAAGAAAAAAATCACAAATAATCTGCACTTGAAAACATTGATCTTGGCATATTGAAATTTTGCAAACAACAACGTTTTCGTTATTTAACATTTTAGGTTACTTTGTGTACAGTGAATCTTCGGTATCCTACGGAATCTATGACAGAACCAACAAGGTGGCCATAATAAGGACCCCACAAATGGCTAGTGGCCTGCCTAAGTACTTATCATTTAAATATCACACATTTGGCGATACGATAGGAACGCTCACAATACGCGCGTTATCAGCAGACGGCTCAATCCTTCAAATAGGTTAGTTTCATCAAATTATCAATAAACAATTGTATTGTATAACATAAACTTTATTGAGAACTAACAAAAGTTTTTGTCGTGCTATGGTAAAATCGTAAGCGATAATGATGTTTAAACAATAAACGTCGATTTTGTCATTTGCCATAAGATATTTCATTGGTATTAAATGTATTTGAATAAGAACGCCTACAAGATATTTTGTAAACTGCGAACGACAATGGTTCATGAAGCAGTATTTGGGTGAAATTAATAAGGATATTGAGTCCAGACCGATATCTGGAACAAATTGTAAAACGCATACCATTTGATTTTTATTTAAGATATGGATCCATTATCGATGAGATCTTCCCAAATATGGAAGATGGTGGAGGATATAGAGTTACCAGTTGGAACAGCGACTGTTGAATTTGTTGTTGTTCTCCGCAATGACGAAACATTCTGGACTTCAGATATAGCCTTGGATGAAATATACATCAAATACGACCCAGGTAAATTAACGCTATCCAAGTAGAAATAATCATGAGTTACATTATTACATATTTAAAATTTACTTTACATCGTTCTTTATGCCATCCATTTCTTTTCTTCAACTAATGATGTTGCGTACTGATCCGCCTCCATTCTTTTTAATCTATAAACATATAACTGCAGATGTTCCTTAAATCCCTTTTGGTGCGAACACATGCACGTACGTAACCGCATCAAACAACACAGGTGTTAATGAGTGTTTCGGGTTAAGTCAAGCAGTTACTATTCGAATGAATATGTATGTGCAAATGGCAATGGGAAAGTGCCTAAAATGGTTACGACAAACGGCAGTAAAACGAAAAGACCTGAGAACACTAGAAAATAAACCCCAACTATCCCAAAATTATAACACAGATAACAATCTAACAATTTAAATAAGTACATGAGTACTTACTTGTATTGTATGAGATATTACTTTCAGGGACTGTGACAGAGGCATCACGTGGGCAACCATCATTCTCGTGTGATTTTGACAGTGGAATCTGTGATTTCCTGAACGACGAGTCCGGGGACCTCAACTGGACGAGGAACTCAGGCAGTACTGCGAGTTTTTCAACGGGGCCATCAAGGGACCATACATCTAGATCTGGCAAGTGTTGTGAATGACTATACTATTAGTGGCAATAATATATAATATTACAAACATTAAGGCCCCCTTTTTCACAGTTAGAGATGAACAAGATATTTTAAATAATAACTGACTATCGTAAATAATCTGAGTCCAAACTTAAATCTTCCAATAAACATTGTAACCATAAAGATAATTAAAACAATAGTTTAAAACTCATAAAACACTGCCTCTTTGATAATACATATACATATCTCTCTATCTGGAGTCTATTGCTTTTGCCTGTATTCTTATTCTTATTCTTCTTAGCACGATTTCTCAGTAACCAGAAGACTAGCTTAGAGTAAATCTAATTACATGGTCAGTTAGGGTATGTGACCTAGTTTCTGAGAAATGAGGTCAAATTTTTATCTAGGTCAAAGGTCAAAATCTAGGTCAAATCTAAAAATTGTCAATTATCTTTGTTATGGTTAATTATTTTTTCTTAATTTTTTTTTCATCGTGTAGCTAAGAAGGAGCGCTTTTAAGTGAACTAATTTTTTTTATTGTAACTTATAAGAATTTTGAGAAATTTGACTTTAAAAAAAAGTTGAATTTTTTAAATGTTCCAAATCGATTAAAATTGGTATTATTTAATAGAAAATTGTCTCAAGATTCTGAATCTGAAAACGAAATTGTGATCCGACTCCCGGTTCAGGAGTCATTTTGAAATTTTGAAAAAATGATTTGATGATATCCCCATGTCATGTCAATCGGACCGATATATTTTTATTTCTCATTAATATCAAAGTTCAAATTAAGGTTTTAATATAAAATTTTCTCGGGATTCCGAATCTGAAAACAAAATTGAGATCCGACTACCGGTTTACAAGTTATGGGCTTTTGAAATTTCAAAAAATCCCACCGCTGCCACCAAATTGTAACAATCTCAACCCTTTCATTAATATTAGATCTCAAAATGGTTTTGAGATAAACAATCTAAATCTGGAGTCTTGAATTGAACTTGCTCAATTTCTCCAATCTAGTTATTCTTGTATTATCATTAACAAAAGTTTTTCTTCCACTCGTTATGTTTTTTTTGTTTTACAGGATCTTATGTGTATTTAGAGTCATCTACGCCAGCTAAAAAAGGAGATAAAGCCCGATTCAGGACGCCACTAATGGACATAACAGTACCCACATGTTTTACTATGTTCTACCACATGTATGGTCTCCAAATTGGTACCCTCAGTGTTAGAATACCAGAAGAACAACAGATACTATGGGACGATTCTGGTATTGTTTTTTTATATAAGGTTTGGGAACTTCGAGAAATTAGTTTGTCCCACACAGATTTATCCTTTGTGACTGTTGGTTTTAATGAACAGTTTAATGACGTGTACTTCCGCGTGATACTATATCTTTACCGAGGGAATTTCAAGTTTTTGTCAGTGTAGACATAAAAAGTTGCGGTCCTCAAACACCTGCAGTTTGTAAAATGAAATTATAAAAGTGTTTTTGATGTTTTAATTCTGAAAGACTAGGGTTAAAAGGAAATTAACTAAATCATGATTGCAAATTTATTTGGTCATAATATAAATGAACATGATGAAATAATGATATCGTGTGTTTTTGAACATAGGTAATAAGGGAAACGAATGGTTAAGAGTCCAGATTCCACTGCCACGTGGATCATACGTCATCGATATAGAGGGTGAAGTTGGAGATGGTTACCTTGGTGATATAGCATTTGATGATGTTGATATCCAACCTGGAAAATGTAATGAAATTGGTGAGTATGTTATCTCAAAAGAATATGATTCTTAAAAAAGGAAAGATGAACAATGTTGCAAATTGATTGACTATTGCATTGAACTTTTTTTCTACAAATGACACCTGTACAGTAATATTCAACTTAATACAACGAATACTTTAAATAAGAAGCAAACGACATTGATAATGCGTTAAGGCACATTGTGGAATATACGAGTGATCTACTATTTCAAACGGAATTACTGATACATTTCCAGAAATGGCGCGCAATTTGGTACAGTTTGATTCCAAATCCTTTGCAGCTAAAAGAAAGGCCTCTTTCCCCATGCCTATAACACCATATCCGCCAACTAGAATGCCTACAACAGCACGCCCAACCACTGTGATTGAAGATGGTATGTATTTATAGAGGGTAAAGTGGTACTTTGGCACAATCACTTCGAGATCAAGTTATTCAACCAAATACTTTATTCCGAAGTATTACTGAAGAAGGTTATAAACACAGTTAGCATTTGTGAGGCATCTCTCGATATGTGGCCCAGGCAATCAACATGGAGTTGTATATTAAATGGTATTGCTAAAATACTAAGTAGTTTGCTGTTGAGGATTGCCGTTGTTGGTCACCCTGTATTTATGTATATTCAGACAAGGAACTCTCGAGGCCCGTTTTATGGTATTGCACATTTGAGAAGGCAGGATGGGACAAACCTTTGGACAGAAATGGATGTGGTGAAGGCCAAGATGGGATGTTTCAACTTGATGGGGATGACTTTGATTTTTCCAGAACCAAAAAGGGAACTCCTAGCGTAAACACTGGACCTTTCCGTGGCAGCGATGGAGGTAAGAGGAGGGTCGAATACACCATAATTCACAGATAAAGCTTTATGTAAAGATAAACCTCTAGAGGTCAATCATTATATTAATTTTAATAATATTAATATGTCCATCGATGATTAACGGGATATCTCGATAACGGTACAGAAGTTGCCAATCCATCTATAACAATAAGGTTATCGTATCTAATATATTATATGACATACCAGGAAAGAAATATGATTTACTAATTGTTTTGCCTTACAAGTGTATGCCATAAATTTCAGATTATTCCAGAATATTCAACTTTACAGAATACAAATATCATATGCTTTATGTACCTCTTAGATAGCATGCATACAAATACAGGACCTCGATGGGCAATTATAATGGTCGAAAGAAAGTATACTAAAAGATGGTTGCAACTTAAAATATACTAAATCGATATATTGTTAACTTTATTTTACACGAGTTCTGTTATATTTCTAGGATATTACATATATGCCGAATCGTCAGCAGACGATAATTTAGATAGAAGCGGTGAAAGGGCAACTATTCGAACACCAACTCTTTATGGAGATATGAACAAATATCTATCATTCAAATACCATACACGAGGACAAACGATCGGAAGCTTAACCTTAGCAACAATATCTCAAGATCTGAAAATCAGATCATTCTGTAAGTTGATTAGTTATCGTATCCCTTGAATTATTAGATAATTTTTTAAAATCATACAACGTGCACGCTACAGAATTTATTACCATTCAAATTGGGATATAATAATTCAATACATCGGTAGAAAATAATTTTGAATCTGTAAAATCACAGCATCGAATTTTTGGAATATGTTCTAATTATCGCATCTGAAAATAACAAATTATTCCATCTTATATGTTAATTCTTTAGCAATCCCGAGCTTATCCATGACGTCATATGATGGGTGGAAGACGATACGAGGAGTAAAACTTCCAACAAAAACAATCGCGGTTGAATTTACCGTGACCCTCTCTGACAATCCAGCCCATTTTTGGTCAGGAGATATTGCACTTGATGAAATAAAGATATCATACGACCTTTAGGTAATTCTACAAAAATCTAACCATTGCCTTCATTTTCTTGGGAAGGAGCTAAGCAGTTTATGAAATCCTAACATTGGTTCTGGGTTCACTTGAGGAAGTGATCTCGCCAAATCGCCAAAAGTGGCAGACAAAATAATTATTCCTGATAAAATCCTTAACTATAAATCAAATGGAATAGCTGACAAATTCAAATCAAATTACAGAAATATGTCGAAAGTGGTATTTGGACAGTGTAAGCGACAGCCATTTTGAATGTTTTACAACCCATTATGCTTCCTCTGCACGCATTTTTATTTCAATTCAGTTTTCTTTGATAAATATAACAAGAAATTGCAGTGGTGACAAATATTCAATCATACGACCAATTGATTTGCTTATGTTTAAACGTTTTTGATGTATGTCTTTTTTTAATATATTCCAGGCTGACAGAACGAGCTTTTCGAATTAAGGTGACGTCGAAATCCTAGAGGGCTAAGAGGAAATGACATCATATGATGTGGTAAGACGAAGAAAGCAGCATTAAAGAAGCATATGTATATATATTCCAAAGTGGAAGGACTGTCTTAATAAACACAATATTCTGAAAAGTATTGGTCATCTAAAGTTGTGTAGTCATTGCAAAACTGTCGGTACAATTACCGGCAATAGTTTTTTGATGCATGGGCACAGACTTTAATATTTCTGACGCGTGATGTGTAACTATGGCTCATCCTGTTATGACTAAGATTATGACTAACTTAGCCATGAGAATGCATGACTTGTATATTATATACGCCATACTATGATCATTTAATGTTACTAACCATAGTGTTCTACTTCTAAGTAGAAGATACAAGATACAGTATATATCTCACTAATTCAATATGTAGACATGACAGTGCAATACTTGTAAATACTATCGCTACTGTCAGCCAATCAGTATAGGTAACCTCCTCAAATGTTAATGCCTGTGTTTCTGCAGGTTGTTTTAATATTGTCTTTTAATTTCAAACATACAAACTGTTTTTCTAGATTACTTTAGAAACTTCCTTTCTATGATTTGTAACCACAATCTTTATGTAGTTAAATAAATAAACTTCTACTTAAAGATCAAGAAATCGGTAAGCTTAGTTATTTTTTGTTCAATTTTCTCCAATGAGTTACTTCGTATCTGGTGAACAATAGAGGAGTTTCTAAATAGCTTTGAAATCTCGCAAATTCTCGTTTTATGTGATTTTAAGAGATTTGCACTTTTTACCCCTAATGACTTACATTTCTTTATTTTTTATAGCATATTTGAATTCAGTGAAGTGTTTTCTCCAATAATAGCATTGATTCCGAAGTTATGTCATTTAAATCATTTTCCATTACTTTAAAAAAAACTTGGGCCAAATCCCCATTGATGCAATGCTAATAGTCTTTAAAATCTTGGTTTATTCGTATTTATTTTCATGTTTAATCACAATATGCACATTGGCAGGGTCATCCAATAGAATGCCACTCGTGATTCGACCAACACTTTTGATAAATCATGAAATCAAGTTACTATTGCAAGTTTCTAGCAATGGAAGTTTGGCCCACGAAAGTCAAATACAAACAAGGGAGACATCTATTCTGTAAGCGGCTTTATTCAGCTATATAGAAACTATACTATTGAACGGAGGTTGATCATTTGTAATCTGTTGACTGTAGATTATGTGTTCCGCACCAATTGAGACCTAATGCTCTATCTTTATATCTTATCTTAAAATTCAAAGACTTTTTAGGTGAGATACATCCTACTGAGCTAGGATTGAAAAAGACTAATGAATCTGATATGAGTGCACCTTATCTTGATCTTCTTATTAACATTGAACGAGACAACAGCTAGTATATATTGTAAATTGTATGACAAAAGAGATGACTTTAATTTTGACATTGTTAATTCTCCACATTTGGATAGCAATATTCCACTAAACCCAGCATATGGGGTTTATGTATCCCAGCTTATTAGATATAGCAGGGCGTGTTCAAAATATCTAGATTTCAAATTAAGACACCATATTTTAGTGATCAAGCTGTTAGGTCAAGGTTATACTTGTAACAAACTTTAGAAATCCTTTCTGGGCTTTGCTGAAAAGTGCAAGTCATTAATTTCGAAATTTCAAGTTTTACCACTTGAGATACTGAAGGATGTAGGAATGGCATAATAAATTGGCAATGAACTCACAATTTTTTCTCTTGGCACCTTTTGAGGTGGATCCCGGCTATGACATTAATGGTTGAGAAATAGGGATCGAAACCAGCCATAGTTTTCTCCTGATGACCATTTGTGAATTGTTGTTTTATGGATTATGATGACGGCTTTGTGAACGGATGTTAACCCTCGGAATTGCCTATGGACTCGAGACTGGATTTTTATCTATCCCACATCATTTGAGACTGAATACTCTATCTTTTATGAGTACTATAGTATCTACAACTATTTTTGATGTTATGAGTATTGGCTATCAATTTTTCTTCGACATGTATTGTAATGACTTCAGTATGAATGAAATGTCCCTTGGTGTTCTGGTCCTGGATTGTATATTGTTCTCGATTGGAGGGGGAGGGGGATGTTAGAAATTGTTTCTTTTCACGTTATATCATGGTTTTGGGATATATAGGGTCTACTTTTCTTTTGACAGATTTACACTTATAGTTTGCTTTTCTTGTTGGGTTTCTTTAAAGTTTTTAGTCACCCTTCCCTTTGGTTGAGATCAAGATTGTAGCAAGAGTTGCAAGTTGCCACTTTAACAACAGGATGACTGATGAAGCTATCACTGGGGATATTGTCGATGGAACAATATATTTAAGGTTTTAAATAAATTATGAAAAATTACCGCGTAAAATTTTAAACCGACAACTTTGAGTTTGAGAAAACGTTTTAAAACAGGTCTAAAAAAGGTTAGCTATAATCTACACCATATTTATTCATTCATAGAGTAGAAAATAAAGTTGACCTTCAATTGGATATAAAAAAATGTTCATGAATTATTACTCAGTTGATGAGGGGGATACGTACATATTTGATCCTATTAAGCGACGCATTTTGCTTACAACATGTTATCTATGTGTTAGACTGAATGGAGAGTTCCACTAAAAACAGTTTACTACAGTTTTAAGTTTACTACTTTATATATATCACTGGGAAATAAATATACAACCGATGACTTAAAGCAAAATCCGACTTTTTTAAATTCATGATATTTATTGAAGTGTCACAAAAAATATGTGAACATTTCTGGCCAGATGTTACTCTTCGAGCAAATATGGTTTAACACAAATATTTTGCAGTGGGCTATTTGATGTCGTAAGGAATCGTATTGCATCTAAATATATGAAATTCATGGATTATTCGATATATTATTGTAATATAGGATAGCAGCGAGATTCTACAGAGTGACCATCATGAAACATTTTCAGATCTTGCTGATTTTTGCAATCACAGGTAATTTACATTTTCAGTAAAAAATATCTGAGAAGTTTGCATAAAATCATTTTGGCATGTTGGACTTTATTGTGTAGTCTTACCGCATATATCTACATAGGTTTATTGGACTTTTACTTGGAACTTGTATATGATTATAGTGATAAAAACTGATATTATATGTAGTTTTGATGATGAATATGAATTTATCATTAAAAATACGATTCGAATGATCTTTTTTTTATTAATCTCGCACGAAGATTGACATTTCATTTCTCAGACCATCCCTTTAAATAAAGGATAAAGGGTAACTAAAAATGCGAATTTAAACACGAAGAACCATTTTCAATTGTAGTTACCCAAGCGCTTTCAAATGTGGCTAACAGGCAAAAGCGTCGGTCGCAGTCTCAAGGACGTTGGTTTTGTGATTTTGAGAAAGATTTCTGTGGAATGAAACACGACTTGACACAGGTGAAGTGGACTCGGCATAGTGGACCAACCATTGGAACAATAACTGGTCCGAAAAATGATCATACCCTTGGAACAAAGGAAGGTATATTGATATGTACGCCATAACTAAGGGTCTGAGTTGGACCTAAAATTTGATTAGAATATGATAAGTGGGAACATTCTGCCTAATGTAATGTCTGAAACCTTTTTTTAACACTTAGTCGCAAGGGGGTCATTTTGACCCCCTCCCTCGGCGATTTTTTATCCTGATTTCCATAATGTTGGTATTGTCGTAAACCTCATTCAAATCGAGATCAACGAGACCTAAGGGTGTAAATCTTTGACATTTTGTGATAAATCGTCAATTTTCTTTCATAAGTTGCCAAAAATGTATAATATTCTCAAAAATAATAATCTCTTATCTTTCAAATAAAACAATAAAACATTTTTCTATAACTGAACTTATGCACTTTAGGTATCGCGAAAATTAAATTATCAACAATTTCTTGTCTTCTACATTCATTTGAAGGTGTACAACAAATACCAATCAGTGATTTATTAAGAAAAAAGATAGATGCTTGGTATTATTCCAACAAAATTTCGGTCCATGAGTTTGCCTAGCAACCATCTACCAACGGCATACACATCAAACTTGTAGTGAAATTGAAAAATTGGGGGAGAATAGAAAAAATAACAAAATTTTGTTAAAAGGTATCATTATTATTCTGTTATCACAGTTGGCAGAAACACTCTGGAGCATAAAAAATCCAAAGTTTTCATCAAAGTTTTTAAAAAACGTCTTCTCTCAAATTCGTGAAGAGAACGCGATTCTTGGCGATTTACTTTTGATTATTCAATAACGCGTTCCACTGATTTTAATGGGTCTCGCGATACCTACTATCTTTTAAAGTAGATAAGTTCAGTTCTGGAAAATAGTTTACCTCGAATTTCGTTTTTTAGCACCAAAAAAATTATTTTGAAAACCAATTGACAATTTTTAGCAAAATGTAAAAAAGTCCACCTCAGGGTCACGTCGACCTCGATTTGACCTTTGTTGACCTTTTTTCTGAAAAATGAATACTTTTTGGAGAGCTAATCGAATAAGGTTTACAACAATACCAACATTATTGAAATAAGACATTAGTCAAGCAATAAAAATTGCAGATGGAACGGGTCCTATCCCCTTGCGACTTAGTGTTATTAAAAAAGGTATCAGACATTTTTCAAGAATATTTCTCACTCACAGTGGTATTCTATGTTTGTCTCAGTACAATTTTCAAACATGAAAAACGGGTGATGGTACTAAACCAGGATTTCTTTGAAAACAGATAAAATTACCTGGTGAAACCTACGGATCTTAATGATTACCAAATGTTGTGTCAGATGGCCAATCTCAGATGGCCTGATTTTAAGAATATTCCTTTGTCCCTTAAAGAGTTATTCCCTATGTTTGTCTCGGGAAAAAATTTTGGACACCCTGTACATAACATTTCAATGCAAATATTTTAAATTCAATATTACTACTAAATTTTTCTCAATAATAAGTCATTTTAACGAATAAGATTAGATAGAATCATTCATGCTGTACAAAATTCATTTAATTTTGTGATTTCTTTTCCGGACAAAGGCGTAGCTTTTCCGTTGGCTATTTGGAAAAGTTAATCAGCTTCTATACAACAGGTAATCATTTTAGAACCCCGGATTCAAAAGTTAAATATTAATGTGGTATGTTTCTATTCAGAACCATTGACCCGTTTTCTTAATTTTAGTACTTGTGGTTAAAAGCTTCAAGGAAGTCTATTAAATTGTGATTAATTGCACCTTAACCCTGAAACATGACCTCATTTACTGAGGAGCAAATCACCTACAGTAAAAAACTAATTAGTAATTCTAAAAAATGATTTCGTTTTATCTAGACTTTTGCTGGCTCACATCAAATCAGAAGCAGTTTATGATGAAATTAACATAATCTGAAGTCCTACAACATATTTCATGTATTGTATTATATAAAAATACAATATTTCGAAAATAGTTCGATATCCTAACAACTCAAACGTTAGCTGAGCCCGAAGAATTTTTTTAAATAATGAAAGTCTTCTTGAATAGCACCGTGTATTTTCGCCATGTTGGACGTCGGTGGACTCAAGTTCCGGGGTAGAGGGAACGACATGTCCAATGAATACTCACCTCATTTACTTAGTAAATATAGTGGTCAATGTCAAAACTAGCGTGGCAAAGGCTAGGTCGTGGTAACCTGAATATGTTTGTATATATTTCTTGGCTTGAAGGAAAGAATTACACACACGAAGATTTGCGTTTTCGGTATTTCGTGACTTTAATAATAATGTAAGTTTCATATAAGTATTAAGATGTAGGTGAATGGAAATGCTTTTTCCAATATCATATTTGAGAATTTCTATAATACGTAATACTAATAATTTCTCCTCGAATAAATGTATTTTCGGTTAGTCATAAAAGTGCTTATGAAAAACAATTGTTCATACCAAAAAATCATGAGAATTCAAAATAATAAAACATAATTTTCTTAAGATATTTTTGAATGTTTAAGAGTGTTTCCCAATATTGACAATTTCTGATTTTCCAGGCCATTATATCTACCTTGAAACCTCGGATCCGACTAAAGCTGGAGATAAGGCGAGAATTATGCTTCATATAAACCATACTGATCAGTACCACTGCCTTAGCTTCCACTACCATATGTATGGAGTAGGTATAGGCATCTTCAATGTGGAGACTGTCATCAACCACCATATACAGTTGCTGTTTTCCAAGAAAGGTATGCATTTCACGCTTATGGTAAACCATTTTATTTATAGCAATGGTAGGAAAACACCCAGTCGCATTCTAAAAAATGGGCCTCAAAAAATAGAGCTCATTTTTGAAAGATAGGTTCCAAATTTTTCCTTCTTTGTTTTCAGGTCCGCCTATGAAATGTATATTATAATAGAATATAAATTTAAGTAATTAAGTAAAGAATGCTAATTTCAGCCTTCCAACCACTTTCACTGGACAATTCCTCAGTGCTTCAAAGCAGCTCAAAGCCGAGAGGGCTTGAGCGCCGGCACATTCAGGCTAGGCGATTGGGCGCCGTAACCACGAGGTTGCGAGTTCGAGACGCGTATGCTCCTTGTGTTTATTCATCTAAGCATCGTTCCCTCATACTTGCCTGACTTCTATTTTAGGAGATCAAGGCAACATGTGGCATTACAAACAGATCAGCATGCCACTTGGAACTTATTTGACATTTGAGGCCTCGAAAGCCATTGAAGGGAGAAACTACCTTGGGGACATAGCGTTAGATGACATATCACTAACAGTCGGAAAATGTCCAAATACAATAATGACAGTCGATGTCTGGGGCTGTGATTTTGAAAAAATAACTTGGGACGTTCCATCTGATGAAAATGGCTGCGGTGAATCATTTCGAGGCATGACACAGCTGAAAACTGACAGATTTGATTTCACACGTCTAAACAAAGAGACCCGATCTCGGCATACAGGGCCATTTAACGCCAGTGATGGAGGTATTTAAAGCAAATAACATTGATGTACATACACTATGGCATATTTTCTGTATCAAAATTCGATTTTTTTCCCTTATGTGCGATGCTGAAATTATATATTCAATAACGAACATGAAACTGTCAATATCGAATATATTTTGTTGGTTTTTGCATCAAAATTATGTGATATCGCACATATTTTACGGGAAGCAAAATCGAACAACTTATCCTTATTAATAAACTCAATTTGTGTTTGATGTCAGCATATACATACATTTTATTTGGAAAAATATCAAACGTTTATCTTTACATCGAATGTAGAAACTTTTCATATCGTATGTTATGCCCGTGGCCAGCTTTGGGTAGGGAGGGGGGGGGGTCGAGCCCCTTCCAAACATAAATTTCTATCATGCTTAACCAACTTTGCATTGTTATTACAATGGTGTTTTTAACAAGACACCAGCGGTGACCCCTATCGGAGGGTTCCCAAAACTTTGATGCACATGCTGCATATGTTTGATTCAAGATTCAATAATATTCGACTTAATATTTCTATTTTCTTCGATTTAGTGCATGTATATTTTTTGTCAAAAACGAATTTTTATTAGTCTTGCTTAAAAGACCCTGTACTCCCCCCCCCCCTTTATCCTTCTCTCTGTATATTGCAGGTAAAGAGAGTGAAGGTAACGGGGGGATACAGTCTTTGAGCAAGACTAAATTTTTATGTGATTTTTTCAAAATATCTATTCGATTTAAGTAAAAATATATTCAATTTTCGCATGTAATATTGTAACGAATTTTGATATAAAAAATACACCATAATATACATATCATAAACGTATAGGTTTAGACTAGTCAAATGCTATTGTTGACTTTACTTGCGACTGATGATATTCATGGAAATTGGGATCTCCATAGAGTTTGGATTGAACCAAGCAATTTTATATGCTGTTATTGTGTCTCGTTATATTTGTTTTTAGAATATTTTGTATACACGGAATCCTCACCTGTGAATGACAATGATAGAAGGTCAGAAAATGCAGTCATCCGATCTCCCTTATTTGAAAGTGATGGAGTTCGAACACTCTCCTTCTCCTATCACACAAGAGGGATCCTCATTGGAGATCTGAGAGTTGAAGCCCTTGACTCCAATCTCAATATTATTCCATTCAGTAAGTTTTTCAATATGATGGAATCTTTTGAATGAATGTGAGACATACAAATATGTATATATAGTCCAAATTACATATCAACCATTCTATTGAGTACCTTCGTGGTGCTCATATTAGTGTGTGCCAAAACCCCAGAAAATCACAAAAACCTATGTTGTGGTAGCTTACTATGAAGTGACCCATTATCATTATAGATTGGTCCATCAACTATTCATTTTTACTTGTCTGCACTCAAAAAGGTGACACGAAAGGGCTAAACGGCTTGCACCAAGGTGCAACCATCAAAACGATGAGTTTGATAAAAAAAATTTCAAATAATAACAATGGGTATACATTATAGGAGGCAAATTTGGTATTGATAAGTATGATAGTCCATTTGCGTGTGGCCATTTTTATAAAAAACAATAATTGTGAAGAATTATATATTTCTGACCTGAAAATACCATATTTATTCAAAAGTCATGGTTGTTAATGATAATATTCCTATTTCACCTATTCAATGTTTTCAAAATATTTTAATTACCATTATATTCATTTTTGGCAAAGTAAATAAATATAGGGCTCACACAAGGATCAACTTTATTTGCAATATTTTCATATTTAGTGATGTTTTGAAAAAATATAAGGTTAAACACAATTTTATTTGTTAAATGTTTAACAAAATAAACAGAGTGTGTTTATTTCATTGTTTTGACTGAAAAATCGCAATTCATTGCTCTTCCTCTTAGAACAGCAGGGGATATACAAGTACATAAACAGTCTTAAAAAACGTTGATCCTTGTGTAAGCCCTACACTTATTTACTTTGCCAGAAACTGATATAATAGTTATTCGGTGGTATGAAAATCATTTCAGAGGTAAAATAGGAAGAATGTCTTTGAACTTGGAATAAAAAGCATTATATGGTTAGAAATATCCAATTTTTACCATAATTGTTTTTAATAATATAACCATACCCTCATGGACTATCTTTACATTTCAATAACCAATGTGCATTATATTTTGCATGCTTTACTGCAATTATTTGCAAAAATATTTTTAAATCTTACATTTTTGACTGGAAAGTGAAGAGACAATACTCATATTATTGGTCACATTTGGTTATTTCACCCAAACAGATTCGGGATTTTTTAGTCCAGGCATATGAAGAAACTAGTGTGAATTAAATGGTCATATTATACAATACAATACAATACTGATCCAATTCAGAATTACTAGAGAAAGTAACTCTCGTGGCTGTTGATTACTGATTGCAGTCATTAAACTAATGACCTCATATTTGGATGTCCTCTCTCCTGATATGATTTTACAATTCACTTCAAATAGGCAAAGGACCAGGTATAGTATGGCAAGTGATATCTGATCGTCATATATTTTACCATGACTACTTTCTCAATATAAATATGACATTTCTCAAAAACGCAATATGTTATCTTTCAAGAAAATTCAATTCTCAATGATTATAAAAATATCATTCAAACAATCTAAAAAACTATGAATGGGGAACCCATCTCAACATTTTTTGAAATTATTTACTCAACAGAGGTTCTTCTTTTTTATTTGAATTGCATGAAAATATTATTCAACAAGTGGTCTAAAACTTTTTCATTAGTAGAATTGTAATGAAAGTCTAGTTTTGGAGATATCAATTTTCAATGACCACGATTATGTTGAAAACAATGGATAGTTTGAGCTTTTCCAATGGAAAATAACATGGAACTTGTGGTTTTTAACTTTATCGCATTTCAATACCCGTCCCCTTTTCAGAATTTGTTAATTCATTAGCGTAGAAGAACTTTTGATATATTCGAATTAAGAAAAAATACTTTAGAAAATAAGCCTAATATTTAATATCAATAATATTTCAGATATATTTTCAAATATTTATATTTTCAATTTCAATTTATTGATACATTCAAGCATTATGTTTACGAATGTTATTAATAACAAGTGGCACCACATTTGATGCTTATACCCGTACATATAGTAGTAAAATCATGTAGTGTATCATTAAGTTGTCAAGGAATCAAACCAGAATGAAATCATAAAAAATAAGTTGAAAAATAAAGGTTGAGGGGGATTCATGATGTTTTTTCTTTTCAAGTGAAGAAGTTGGATGATATCATTTTTATCACAGGGACTTTACATAAGAAAAATCATATTGTTTTCACAAAAACACGTTCAGCCCCAAAACGCCAAATACTAATTAGATATTGGGCTATCACCTTGAAATGATCTTGATCCATAAACATTGACTTATCGATCTCTGGTCATTTTATCATTGGTCATTAAATAGGACTGTAGCCCTACATTTGCCAACTACTTAGATATTGAACTTGAAATGACCTTGACACCAGGTCACCTAATCATTGGTCGCCAAAGGTCACAATTGTTCTCAATTGCCTTTAAACTCCAAATTGCGAGATATTGACCTTGGAAGTCACCCTATCATGAGTCGCTAGGGGCCACAGCAGATACCAGGGCCTTAATACACCAAATACTTAGATACTGATATTTGACCTTGAAATAACCTTGACCTCAGGTCACACATTCATGATTCACAAAGGGTAACCTCAGCCCAAAAATGCAAAAATGCCAAATATTTAGATATTGATGACCTTGAAATGATCTTGACCTATAGACCTTGACCCTGACAACAGGTCACCTAATAATCGGTTGTCAAGGGTCAGAATTGTTCTCAATTGCCTTAAAACACCTAATTGCTAGATATTGACCTTGAAATTACCTACACCCATTCAGTTGATATTTACCTCAGGTCACATAATCATCGGTTGTGAAGGGTCACACCATCGGCAAAATGTCTTAAAATGCCAACTATCCTAGATATTGATATTTTAAACTTGAAATTACCCTGACTTTTGACCTATGTTGAATACACATTTTATGAACAAAACATAGTACGAAGTTGAAAACTGATCTTTTTGAAATGAAATTGCTGCTAATGTTTCAAAACTAAGGTATCTTTATTGCAAAAGTACTATTCAAATTGAATAAACCAAAAGAGATAGATTATCTAATCTTCCATCAGATTTAGTAAAATTATAACTCTTAAGTAAATGTTGCAATGAATGCTCACACATATCTTGTTGTATATCAATCTAGTGCAACTGCTACAAGTATCACTCTGACACGTATCTGTGAACAAATCAAACTTCTTTGATGTTGATGTAATGCAAATTGGTATCTTTTAATATGACGTCCGTAAGATAAACCATCAATACTAGGATTGTCAAAACTTGCATTAATAAAATCAATTCCCGTCTCATCACTGTCACACCCATTACTACAAGATGATGCCTCTTAGATCACTGTCTGCAAGCTATAAACTAAGTGATGCACTATATGCTCGTAATACTTTTTTATTCAAAATCAAAAGTCAATGATGCTTTTCCTATTTTACCTATTAAATGATTTTTATATATCCGAATAACCATTATATACGTTTTTGACAAAGTAAATAATTGTAGGGCTCACACAAGGATCAACATTTTGAAGACTTTTTCGTACTGGTGTAGACTCTCCTGCTTGCGAAGCAACGGCGATGAATTGAGATTTTTCAGTCGAAACAAGAAAACAAACATATAATTGTTTTTTCTTCAACAAATAAAAAATAAAATTCAGTTTACCTTCGTATTTTTTCAAAACATCACTTAATATGAAAATGCTATGAACAAAGTTGATCCTTGTGTGAGCCCTATAATTATTTACTTTGTCAAAAACTAATGAAATGGTTATTGGTATATTTAAAAAACACTGACTATATAAAATAGCAATAATATCCTTGACAACAGTAACTTTTTAATTGAAATCGCATTTTAAGGTCATAAATATCCAATTTTTTACCATAATTGTTTTTCATAAAATTACCACACCCGAATGGACTATCATTACACATCAATATCAAATTTGCATCTTATTTTGTATACTTACAAGTATTATTTTAAAAAAATTTATATTTTTCAAACTCATCTTTTTGACGGTCGCACCTTGGTGCAAGCCGTTTAGCCCTTTCGTGTCACTATTTTGACTGCAGACAAGTAAAAATGAATAGATAATAGATCAATCTAAAATGACTATGGGTCAATTCATAGTAAGCTACCACAACATAGGTTTAGCCTAACTAAGCCACTTAGAAAGCAATTTGGCACACACTATATAGTAGATAATGAAATAATAACGCTTGAGACAACAAAATACATATCGTTAAGAAAACAAACTGTGACACATCAAAAAATGATACAGCAAAAAGGTCCTGATTTTCGTCTATCCCACATCACTTGAGACTAAACGCTATCTATTTTCTTTTGACAGGTTTTTACAGTTAGAGTTTGCTTTTCTTGCTAGTAGCTAGGTTTCTTTACAGTTTTTGGTCATTTTCCTTGCATTTGTGCCCATATATTCCTACCATTTCTAGTTTTAAACATTTTATCAGATAATCCGCAGCTGAATATGAAATCCTCAAACTACTGGAAGTCAGCAACAGCGATCTTGCCAACTGGAACATCTGCCATCGAGTTTCATGTCACTCTACCAGATGATAAGAAGTTCTGGTCTTCAGATATTGCGATTGATGAGATCCTCGTTACCAAAGGTACGTCTTTTACAATTTATCTTATACGTAATCTAGAATCTATTTGAATGAATATCTGATGAAATAAGATGATATATTGGTAATATTCAGTACCTTATATGTCAATAATATAAGGCCATCATTTAATGTCTATTTAGAAGTTGATATCACAACCATTCCACCTCCAACCACAGCTGCCATGGCAACAACAACAACAACACCAACCATAACTTCTAGTACCTCATCTGGAAATGAAGTTACAAAAGAGTCTATTGGTAAATATTTATCTAACTTAACTTAATACTATTATACCTATACAATTAATCAAAAAATCATAAATTGATAGTATTGACCTTTATTAAACGTTTGACCTAAACATCGAAACTCACAAGACAAAAGACAAAAAGACAAACAATATCACAAAACGGTAATAAATTGAAACATTTAAAAGTATAAATAGGAAACAAATAACCAATATGCCGAAAAATACCCAACTTACAAAGAAACAAAAATCTCTTAAGAGAGCCAAAGTGACATTTTTGTTCCTAGCATATTCAATGTATACTGTATTCAATATTTATTATATCTTGCAAGACAGATTGCATTTACTGATTTTTTCTCAACCAATGAAAAGGTGAAGATGATTCACTTCCTGTTCTTTGGTATTGCACCTTTGAGAGACCTGGATGGGAGAATCCATCAGACGGAGATGGGTGTGGTGATGGACAGAGTGGCATGATACAGCTCTTGGGGGATGATTTCAATTTTACAAGAACGAATAAGAAAACACCTTCAAGCCATACTGGACCTTCTAGTGGAAGTGATGGAGGTATGAAACCATACGAATGGTAATAAAGGACCATTATTCCACAAAACCAAGAAACATTCCGTTTGACCATGGGCTTTCAACTAGATCTAATTGAAAGCCCATGGTATGACTTGCCACTCCTTTCAATTCATTTAATTTATCATTTTATCATATTTCATTAAATTATCTTTGAAGTACAAGTGTCTATTTTTACATATCTTCTAGATTCAAATATGCATTATCAATTGCAATTTGTTTTATAGGTTACTTTGTGTACACAGAATCATCGCCATCAAACAGTATCCGTGACAGGAGAAACAAAATGGCCAAGTTAAAGACTCCATATTTGTCGAGTGTCTTAACTAAGTACTTATCATTTAGGTATCATACACTGGGGATATTAATAGGAAGATTCGCGGTGCATGCATTATCTGTTGATGGCTCCATTCTCCAATTTGGTTAGTTTTAATGGATTTCTTTTTTCTATCATACTGTTAAACCAGTGTATTCCTTCAGTCATATGTAATACCATGATGGGTCTCCGGGTTAGGTCAAGATGCTTTTTATCATCTTCGGTTTAAATTAATGACATGGATATTTTAGGGCTACACTAAATCAAAATACCATATATTAGTTAATGCTTTGTTCACATTTATGCTGTTTTGCGTATCATATGTTATATTATATGATATGTTTCATTTAATTAAAGATATGGAGCCATTATCAATGGAATCATTGGACAGATGGAAGATTGTGGAAAATATACGGTTACCTGCTGGGACAGCGGCTGTTGAATTTGTTGTTGTCCTCCCAAATGATGACACATTTTGGTCATCAGATATAGCGCTTGATGAAATATTTATCAGATACAGTGCAGGTAAAACAATAAATATTGTCATCCTCTTCACGATTTCATCTTCAAATAAAGTTCTTATTGAGGAATAAGGTCGCCTCCAATCGCCAAAATGACACAGTACAGTGTTGAATATGACACAAAACTTTTAAGAAAATCAAGTCAGCGACGTCTTGCAACAAGTTTTAAGTTTATGTCCGTTTATGTGTTTCTTATGTCCAAAATTCCCACGAATTTCATCTAAATCTAATAATTGTTCATAGGTCATTCAAAGACACCACTTGGACAGACATCTTTCTCGTGCGACTTTGACACAAGCATGTGTGAACTCCTCCACGACAAGACTGGGGACTTCAACTGGATTAGGAACTCGGGCAACACGGCTAGTAGTTCTACAGGGCCATCAGGGGATCATACTTCTGGAAATGGCAAGTTAACTACAGTACTAGTACCGTACATAATGGACAGGGACTTATCATCTAACGTGGTTGATCTCAAATGATGAATCTCTCCATGCCACACCAGTTTCGACCTCTGGTTTATACTCACTTTACGTCTTTTTAAGTTACGTCTACCATGATGTATGTAAACACAATGTTAGATAGTAATTTATTAATTAAAACTAAAAATTACATTCCCTTTATTCCAGTTAACAGGTATATTAAAATATATTATATACGATTCTACATTCCTATTATATTTTTCAGGATATTATATGTATTTAGAGTCATCTACGCCAGCTAAAAAGGGAGATAAAGCCCGATCCAGGACCCCATTAATGGATATATTAGAACCCACATGTTTTATTATGTTCTACCACATGTATGGTCGGGACGTTTCTAAGCTTAGTATCATACTATCTGGTACACAACAAAAATTATGGGAACAATCAGGTATATGAAATATGGTATATTGTGTATAAGAGTTTCAATAAATGCGCCCAACTTGTGCTGTATTTATCTAATCTTTCTTATGTATCACTCTGCTCCAAATTCAGCTTATATTAACTATACATTATTTATCACATTCAGACTAACTGCGCAAATGTTTTATTACATAACATCTATCTGGACCTAATATATTGAAATGCCAATGACCTTATAATTCGTAATGATTGGTTTGTGAAACATAGGTAATAAAGGAGACGAGTGGCTTAAAGTGCAGATTCAACTGCCACTTGGATCATACGTCATCGATATACAGGGTGAAATTGGAGATGGTTACCAAGGAGATATAGCGTTTGATGATGTTGACATCAAGCCTGGGACATGTGAAGGGAATCATGGTATTGTATCATCCATTTTTGTTAAATAAGCTAAATATTCAGATAAAAAGTTGAATCTTAGGGAAACAGAAACTCTGATCTGAGTGTTGTAGCCCATGGACTCAATAGCATCGTTCGAAAAACAAATTGGCACACCGAATTATACAATCATCATATTCGAACAGTACTATTATTGGTCGAAATATTGTTTATATGTACCATATAAATAACATTATTAGACTTTTTATAATCGTAAGTGAATATCCAATATAGTTCCAGAAATAACTTTGGTTCAATCTCCAACTTTACCAAACACTATGGCAACTACAACAGAGGACTCTTCCCCCATGCTTACAACAACATCAAACCCAACAACAACCGAACCTTCAACTACTTTATCGTATGGTATGTATTAACAGTAAATCAGTTTTCAATACATTGGCCTTATCCCCTACAGCAAATCACTAACATTAATTTTTGAATTAAAATTTAACATTGAAATATTTGAAAGTATTCGGAATTAACCAAGCATTTTCGAGACTGCAAAATGCAGGTTACTGAAATATTAAACTACTATATATTAATTTAGATGAAGAAGCAAGACCCGTTTTATGGTATTGCACATTTGAGAAGTCAGGTTGGGATAATCCATTAGATAGACATGGGTGTGGTGAAGGCCAAGATGGGATGTTTCAACTTGATGGGGATGACTTTGATTTTTCGAGAACCAACAAAGATACTCCAAGCAGGCACACTGGACCTTCCAGCGGTAGTGATGGAGGTATAGTAGTTTAACTTCTGCCATGTAAATAACTAGTATAAGTAGAGATGACATCAAGTTTTAACTTCGAATTGCCGATACTAATAAAGCCAACAAAAAGATAGTGAAGTGCAGTTATAATGGACTCAACTGAAAATGTGTAGAAATGATGATTAACAAACACCAAAACCCAAATATGTTCTTGTCACTGGGTTTAACTATGTTTCTAGGATATTACATATATACAGAATCTTCACCTGATGGCAATTTAGATAGAAGCAACGAAAAGGCAACAATTCGTACACCAACTCTTTATGGTGATAAGACAAAATATCTATCCTTTAAGTACCACACACGGGGACAATTGATTGGTGGTTTAACAGTAGCTACAATATCGGCAGATTTGATAATCAGTTCATTCTGTAAGTGATGTGCTAGTGCATCCTAAAGACTAAATCGTTAATTTTCCCCAATGATATAATTTCTAGAATTGCACATTGTCTGTATTACTGCTTACAAATTAGGTGATATACATTGAATAATTTGGAGACTTTTTAATAATTGTAAATAATATCTGAAAATAACATATACATATTACTCACATTCCAATGCTTTAGCAATACCTGGTATATCTATGATGCCATCACTGATATGGAAGACGATTAAAGGAGTTCAACTTCCACATGGAACAATCGCCGTTGAGTTAAGTGTCACCCTCCCCAACGATCCATCTCATTTTTGGTCGTCAGATATTGGAATTGATGAAATATACATATCTTATGATCAAGGTATGTTTACATATGTTATTACGTGGTTTATTTTTTGGAAATTAGAGGGTTAGCTTCAAAAATATATTTGATATGCTGTACCCGGCAGCTCCAGCATATTTGGTTGCTGTATAAAAGGCAATGTAACATGTACATTTACCGATAGTATTGAACTAATATCTTATGATCAAGGTATGTTTACATGTGTTATTATATGGTTTAAATTTAGCTAGGAAATAAGAGGGGTACAAAAATCTATTTGATATAAAGTACCTGGCAGCTTCACCGTATTTGGTTGCTGTATAATTTGCAATGTAATATATGAAAATGAATTAAAGTATGATTATAGCAACGAGTGAATAAATTTCTCATATGAGAGTCAAAATATTTTACCAGCCACAAAAAGGTAACAAAGTTGGTTCTCTGTGGACCAGAAACGCCAGTTCAAATCCATACAAGTGAACACAAATAATATAGAGATGAGTGTCCTTAACTTTTCAGATACATCTGTACCAATTACTGTACCAACTAGTATATCAACAACTGAACCAACTACTACATCAACAACAACAGTGCCTTCTACAACACCAACTGTCAGAACCACTACAATTGGTAGGAAGGATTTCCATTCATTGTAAATTGTTATATTGTGTGCATTGGTTTAGATGTGTGTATCTTTTTCATGCCTCCAGTGTTAAGAGAACACTTTTGTTGGTGACATATTGTTACAGTCTCCAATTTTTGTGAGTGGCGTTGAAATATTTAACCAAGGATCATATAATATTAATTCAGAAGAAGAAGCAAGACCCGTTTTATGGTATTGCACATTTGAGACGCCAGGATGGGACAATCCGCTAGATAATAATGGATGTGGCAATGGCCAAGATGGGATGTTTCAGCTTGATGGGGATGACTTTGATTTTTCGAGAACCAACAAAGATACTACAAGCTTTCACACTGGACCTTCTAGGGGCAGTGATGGAGGTATAGTAGTTTAACTTCTGCCATATAAATAACTAGTATAGTCTTAGTAAAGATGACATCAAGTTTTAACTTCAGATGATACTAATAATTCACTAGCCAACAAAAAGACTGTGAAATGCTGTTATAATGACCTCACTTGAAAATGAGTAGAAATGATTGCTAAAAGCAGAATGATGATTAACAAATACCTAAAACCCAAATATGTTCGTGTCACTGGATTTAACTATGTTTCTAGGGTACTACATATATACAGAATCTTCACCTGATGGCAATTCAGATAGAAGCAATGAAAAGGCAACGATTCGTACACCAACTCTTTACGGTGATGTGACCAAATATCTATCCTTTGAATACCATACATTTGGACACGTGATTGGTGATTTAACAGTGGCTACTATATCGGCAGATTTGACAATTAGTTCATTCCGTAAGTGTTTTTGTTTAGTACATCCTAAAAGGCCATATAGCTAATCTTTTACAATACTTTCATTTCTAGAAGTGCATGCATCTTATAATAACCAGTGTTTAATATTACTGCTTATATATTTGCTAATATACACTTTATAATTTGGAGAGTTTTTAATGATTTTAAATGAACAGGATCTTAAGAGGTTCTGGACAAATCATTTGATTCTGGACTTGACATATTTTTTTTTCAACGAAATCACATCCAAGGGTTGTATTTTTATTGGATATTTAGAGAGCGAGTCCTGTATTGATTTCAATAAAAAGGTTAAAATAGAACGCTATTTGAGAGTTAATCTTATACTTTCATTACATTGATAAATTAAGGCAAATTCTGAAAAATTTTAAAGTGCATTTTTTATGAAATATTATCCAAGTATTTAGATGAAACGGTCTTATTTAAATACAAATCATAACATGATGATATTTTTTCATAAAATATTTCTTTAAGAAATTCAATTGAAGGCTCAAGATAAAACGAGCTAATTTAGGTGAAAACCCTTACATGATGATGTGTTTTCATGACTTCTTTCATAAAATTCCATCAAGGGGTGAAAATAAAATGATCGAATTTAAGTGATTTAAGGATCACGAGGATAGGTTTTCTTGGATATTTTCTATGAAATCCCATCCAGTGGTCAAGGTAAAAATTTTATTTGGTATATTTGGTCACGTGTTCGAACCCATAGAACCATATAGGAACGTCATTTTGAATGTTACGTGATAAATCCATATAAGGCTTTTAGAACAATGTGGGGAAAGATGAGGGGAAACCCCTGACACCTGTTCACGATTTTATCCGAACGTTCATCGGATCATTTCGGTTTTTATGCACTTCATTATTTTACCGAAGTTTGCCGATTCGATTCGTCGTATTTCGGAATATTGGGGACAATTTTATACTCCATTGGGAGTATTTTTAATCTACTTCTTATTACGAAGATTCCCGAACCTTGTTCGGATTAATCCGGATTTTCTGACCTACTTCATCTACCGAGATTTAACGAGTTTACATTCGGCTCATTTCGGAATCCTGGTGACAATTTTATACTCCATTGGAGTATTTTTGATCTACTTCTTATGACGAAGATTTCCGAACCTTGTTCGGATTAATCCGGATTTTCTGACCTACTTCATCTACCGAGATTTAACGAGTTTACATTCGTCTCATTTCGGAATCCTGGTGACAATTTTATACTCCATTGGAGTATTTTTGATCTACTTTTTCTGGATTTTGCCCTACTTATTATATCTTTACAACAAGCAAATCAAAAAATTCGCCATGAACGGGTCTCGATCGACTAACCTAGAGCATGGAAGCTAGGCACGTTAGCCATGAGGCTAACGTGCAACCGATACGAAAGGATAAAAGTATTATATATTTATACCGAGCGTCAATTCAAAATGATCTTCACTTTTGACTGCACGTAAATACAACTCGTCAGTTGTATCCAGAATAGATGAACGCCTATGGTACTAGTGAATAACCAAGTCCCAGGCGAGTGGTTCGCACCCCACCGTGATATGTTATTTTTGCTTTTTTAATACGACAGAAAGGAGCAAGGTCACTGGCATGTAGCGGTCCTGATATCGATACATTCTACACGCAATAAAACCAGATACCTGCGTGTGATTAAAACTACATGTTAGAGCGTCGATATCCTACAAATCCTATTTTTTCATAAAAATATTTTTTCATGAAATCCAATCGAAGGGTGAAGATAAAACGATCTTTTAGGTAAAACAGCTTTACATGATCTGGTGATGTGTTTTCATAACTTTTTTCATAAAAGACCATTCTCGGTTTGGAGAACAAAGTTCGTCACTCTAATTGAGCGTTATCCCTGCTTCGGACAAATTTGATTTTTTTACATAATATAGATTTGAATGTCTTCTTTTGAATAGTCATAGTTTAATTTGGGTAATATTTCTAGATTTTTCAGATAAAAATTACTAGTGAAACACCCAACGTCGCTTTTATGATTCGTACCACTTTTTTAACTTGGTGTATTGCATATTTCCGTGGGTTGATTTGAAAAAAAGACAAACAACGTATACATGAATATGTCATAAGCATATAGTGAGATAATTGTTAGATTAGGTTTGCTATAAGTGACTTTAAAACAAAAAAATAAAAAACATTAGTTCACGTGTTAAAGTCCCATTGACCACGACATCAAGGAAAATTGAGCTTTTTGTCATCAGACATCTTTATAGATGGAACTAGCTATGTACTACATTTTTAAATACACTCACATTGTACATGTAGCTGTAATATCTAAGATGTTATTTTTATTGATGAAAAGATTCTTACATACTAAAGTTACATTAAAATATCAATTGCAATAGCCACCTGTTTTTAACATCCCTTTGTCACTCATCCCTTAATTATCTCTGTGTATCTTAAACGTGTGTGTGTTCGATGTTGATAGCACCCGAGTGCAACCTAAGGAGCACATACAATACATTTTGTGTATGCCCAGTCTGGCCGCCTTATATCTGCCTGCACCGAGAAATGGGCGCAGCTTTGACAATTAACGAATGATATAACGATATCACGGATTTCACCGAATGTTATTCATCCCTAAATAGCTTTTTTATTTAGTCTTATGATCCGACTGATGTTTCAATTTTTTGCAGTGACTCTGAAATTGCTGCGCCAGATATGACATCACAGCGACTCATTTTCCTACATTTAAATCACTAAACTAAATCAATTGAAACATAATCATTAAAGAATGAGGACCTTGTATTTTACTTTGGACGAGGGTAGTGGCCATGTCTTGGCATGGCTAGTTGTGCATTAACGTTTGATACTGTTGTGCGGATAAAAATAATGAATATATGTTAAAGTAGCACTAAACAGATACTTTTAAAGTTAAAAGAATATAGTTACATTTAAAGAATGGGCCAAACGAATAGATATTGAATATAGGACTCGTTTGATGAAACGTTCGTTCTTTTAATTCTAATAAACCTAGAAATCAATCAACGATTAAGTAAATTGACAAGACTTCATGTTCAAGTTGGCTGAATTTCGTGTAACTTAACTCTGTTATGTTTCTAGATTTTACATATGGAGAACAGAATTCGAAATCATAATCACAATCGTATTTTAAGGCAAATAGGCCATGAATATGCTTTTAGTTACACGGGTGATGATCAAATTAACACATTTTGGATGTTGAATTTCATTTCAAGTTCATTCGAATTTACGCATTATCGTGGGAAAGCCCATGGCATTATCCAATAAAATTGATATATATACTGTCTAGGCTGAGACTAACATATATAATGTTATTTAATGTATTTAATATACAGGATATACACTGGCGGATTAGGGGGGGGGGCCTGGGGGCCCGGGCCCCCCCCCCCCTTGGGTGGGCCCAGAAAAAAATATTGGGCCCAAAATTTTTTTTGGGCCAAACAAGGCCTTCAGGCCCCAAAAAGTCGGCCTTTTTGGTCATTACTGGGCCTTTTAAGGCCTTATTTTTTAATCTCAGGCCAAATTTTAGAGAAAATGGGCCTCAAAATTACAAAATTTTGGCCCACTTTTGGATTTTAGGGGCCCAAAATTTTTTTCCGCGCAAGCGCGGACGTTTTTTTCTATGACCTGAAATTTGGGCCCCCCCCCTTGTTGGTTCCTGGATCCGCCCCTGATATATCTGAGAAAGTTATGCAATATATCTACACGAGAAATAGTAGGGACCGAGGGTTGATATATTACCTTTACCTGTCGAAAATCGAGTATAAACTATGAGGATTAGATACGCATTGAATGTAATGGAACCGTCATGTAATAATTAGAAATGATAATCACAATCAAATCATTAATATTTTATCTAGATTTAAAGTGCTTAAGATTTATTTTTAAAACTCAACCGAACTATTAACATTTAAAAGCACCGAACGAATTTTCTGGGGATTGCTGATGAGCGGGTGGGATGGGATGGGAGGGATAAAATGAAATACTAGATAAAATATTGATACCTTTACGCATGTCAATCTCAAATTAGAATGCATATATCATTATCTCTTTTATTCTTCTGTATTGTAATACGATAGTCTGATTATTGTCAATATCCTATACATGAAATAATGTACAACGTGTATTCTACATTGAATAACAAACGAAATAAAACTCATCTTTGTACGAATTTATTTTTCATATGACACAAAGTAACATAACATTGTTATATGTTGCATTTACGACTACTACAGCAAATCAGAAAATTCGTACAATATCAAACGTAAGAGTTGTTCACAAATACATTGGTATTTTGATATGAGTATCATGTAGTATTAAAATATTAAAATCATATGATCAGCAAGTTTATAAGCTTAATATTGTATTGTTTTTTATTTAAGTGTCGCATGCTTAATTTCATACATATACATCTGTGCAATCATCCAAAAAGCCTCGAGCCACCAATGGCTTATGAGACACTGCTAATCAAAATAAATCATATAATATTATATAATAAGATGCATAATATGAGTCAGTTGCAGAAATAGGATTATGAACAAAGCAAAGTTCATGACCTCTATTACGAACATTGTTTGATGAACTCGATCACTCAGTCAGTTGTTGAACATATGCAAATGTGGTCAGGTTATAAATATAAGTACAATTTAAGTCCATGATATTTTCACATATTGAACATAACACTCAGTTCACAAAGAGATGTATACAAATCTAATCCACAAGTAGAAATGATTGTTTCATGCTGTTTATGCATTGTGTATAAACTGTAATCCAAAACATGAATAAAGTGGGCAAGAGGTGGTTGTATGATGGCCCATAAAATTACATTATGTAACACCGGCACCCTGGTTCAATATAGTGCAGTGGCCCATGTTTGATATACGTACATCAAAACTCATGTTTTTTCAAGGAAAGAAGCTAGATTAGTGATATATTGAAAAATCAAACTACTATACCCCAATACTGTAGCCCGTATTTCTTTAAAAGGAATACAGGCTACAGTGAAGTTGCAAATGGAGGACCTTTGTTTATTTCCATAGTTCTGGAGGAATACTAGATTTTACATTGTATAGATTCATCGAGCAGTTTGCAACGCACTATCACCAGAAAAGTCCTATGGAAAAGGACAAAGAATACCCGCTCTATTTGCAACTTAACTGTACCCTGTATTCTTTTTAAATGTGTTCACGTGGTAGGGTAGTGTGATACTCCCTCTGCCTATGCCTACATCGTTCAATCTTTTTTTCATAGTATAACGCCTTATTAATACAACAGTTATTGAGCTGTTAAGAAAACATACTAACAAACAAACCACCGAGTTTAGAGTAAGACATATACATGTATTGTTCTATTATCAAATCATATATTGTGTCCCAATTCTAAAACGTTAACAGTTTATGGTGTACAATAAAACTATTACTATTAACCACTTTAATATATTTAGACATAAAATATCAAGTTACTCATCAGCCAACAAATCTCAAAATATCGAAAAATGAAAAATACGAGGTACTTGTTCACTCAAATCTAGGAGTCAATTGGTAATGTGTACCTATAGATAGTTCTCAAAGTAAATGAGCAAAAGCGTAACATTTGTATGTAGCATGCTTCATAAAACACTAAACTTAGCCCAAAAAGTAAGCGTGCATTTTGTTCCTGGCACTGATTGGTTAATAAGTGAATACAATTCGTTGAATGCACGATGCACTCAAAAGATTAGCAGCTGGGAAAGGCTATTGAACAAAAAGTACGCTTTCGTACTCAAAAAAGGATTACCCTTTTACAACTTTGACAACTTTGAAGCATGAACTTCGGAAGATCTAACGAAATGTACTTACTGTTACCCTGTGGATCCCAGGGTTTTGATATGTTCTACAAAGACATGCAAAAACAGACCATATATGCACTAAAAATATCTGTGACACTTGTATGATATGTATTCCACTTTGAACCACCATCTATTTCAATATTGTGAAAATATATATTTCCCAAATTATGAAATAAAGGAGCTTGTATTCGCGAATGCCGCTAACGCCTGTCGGCTACCGGATAAACCTACTTTACTATTTTATGGGCAATTCATTAAAATATTAATGGAATATTGTCAGGTTCTTTTCATATTTAAATGAGTCGCCCATAGAATGGTTGGTTAATCCGGAAGCTGAAATCTTCCATTCCCAAATCATAGTCTTAGCTTGTATTCGCAAATGCAACTAACGCCTGTCGGCTACCGGATTAACCTATTATTTTACTGGAAACTCATGTCAATACGAATAGTACCTGCCACTATTCCATTCATATTTAAATGACTTGGTCATATTATACTGGGTTAATCAGGTAGCCGGAAGGCGTTAGTTGCATTCGCGAATATAAGGTTAGCTTGTATTCAATAATGCAAGAAACGCCTGTCGGCTACCGGATTAAACTACCTCTGGAGACATCGGGATTTTAAAGCGGCGTGCAAAGCGTAATCGGGTACACCCCAGTTCTCCGAAACCCAGTTGTCCGAAACCCATTACTCCGAAAAATAAAGTCATAATTTACCAGAGAAAGCGGGGGGCGTAGCTTACTTAAACTTACGTCAGTTTCATGCCATGTATTTGGCCAAATTAATGGCATGGACGCATTCTGTTATTCATAGATCTCTCTCTCACTTTGAATTGCATCCATTGCATGGCGTTACCAGAATGGCAGGAACGGGAGATTTATTTTACATTGTGATTCTAAAAAAAAGGTTATTAAAACACAATATATATTACGGAACAGTTTATCTTATCTTCTTCAATCTCTTTTATATAGGCAAAATAAAATGAAACATTTTGAAACAGATAAAATAATTTATCGCATAGAACTTTAAGAATAAAACAGTATACAAATTACGTTGTCAAAATATTTCGTCGCATTTAATTTCTTAGTCTCGGTCTCTTATCAAATCGTAAAAGAATAAAACATTCTATACTTAATCACTTGGGATTTATGTTTCGGCATTCGTTTCAGGCATTTGTTTTTTATGTTCTTCTCCTGAAATGTATTTGTTTGACAATAATCAGAGAAAGTGCGTATACGTATAAATATGCCACGCAAACAAACGGGTGTGACTTCAATTTCTTGTCTGTCTGAGGACGTATTGGGAACGAGGTAGAATTAAAGAATTCTTATGAACGAGTCATGCAAGATACTAGAACTAGTAAAGTAATGTAAATGGATAAGTTAATTTCTGATGGATCTGGATATAATATATTTCAAAACTTTGTAAACACTAGCTAACTTCATTTAGGCAGATATAGTATCTTGATATATTTGGCTATCATGCGTTTAAAATACGTTCCTAAAACTATGAAGACGTTAGGTGAGAAATATTGCTATTGTACGTTCGAAAAGTATTTGGTTGTATTTTGTAGTTCTCAAGTTACCCATGAACTTTCGTGGGCTAATTAACGTCTTGACTTAGCATATTTAGCCTAATTTTGCAATGATGTCAACGTGATTCAAATGTTATGCTGTCGTGATTCGCAGAGGTTGCGACAAGATTCGTTTTACAACAGATGTAACTATGAGAACATGAAAGCTCATAATCCTGATTATGCAACCTTATACAATCGTTATCTTTGGGACAAGAGCCCAAAAACAAGGTACTCGTGAACGAGAGTTGAATTTGCTCCGTGAACGATAGGATACGCTGTTCCCCACCAACAAAATACAGACATATGCTTCAGTGTCCTCAACGCAGATTGTAGAGAACAAGAGAAAAAATGAAATATACTTTGCCATAACAGAATACTGTTAAAGTATTGTTTATTAAGTTTATTAAGTTTCACAAATAACTTTTAAATGCCTTCTTTACCGTCAACGGACACTCAAATAAATACACAATACAATGCAATGCAATGTAATACAACGCATTACAATACAAACTAAATTAGAGTATTTGTGCATAGCATTTTCCCCTTTTGTTTGAAGGATATTTTAAGAATAATTCCAGCGTTCGTACACACCTGGAAATGTCAGGGTTTTGATTTAATTTTCCAAGTGCCTGAAATGTCAGAGAATTTTAAAATAAGGTCAAAAAGGGCCAAAGAGTCCGGGAATTTTGAAACTGTAGACATGTCATGGAAATGTCAGGGAAATTTGTATCAGTGTTGAAAAAATGATGTTCCAGAAAAATAAATTTTAGGACTATGACAGGATCTCAATGAAATCCAAAATGTAACATTTAGTTGATTCCACACGGGGCGTGTACATTGTCTAACATATATCTAAAAGGTTTACACTGTCTTGATTAATGAACTTCTTAGATCTAGTCGCGCTTCAGAAGTGGAAATCCTTCAATTATCAGAGGTTAATGTTTCTAAAACTGTATTGAAATAAACGTACGTCTTGTTTTCAAACCTACACCTTGCTCCTTTCTGTCGTATTAATAAAGCAAAAATAACATATCACGGTGGGATACGAACCACTCGCCTGGGATTTGGTTATTCACTAACACCATAGGCGTTCACCTATTCTGGATACAACTGACGAGTTGTATCTAAGTGGAGTCAAAAGCGAAGATCATTCTAAATTGACGCTCGGTATAAATATATGATACTTTTATCATCTCACACAGGTGAACGTTAGCCTCATGGCTAGCGTGTTTAGCTTCCACTCTCTAGGTTAGTCGATCGAAACCCGTTCATGGCGAACTTTTTGATTTGCTTGCTGTCAACTTATAATAAGTAGGGCAAAATCCAGAAAAAGTAGATCAAAAATACTCCAATGGAGTATAAAATTGTCACCAGGATTCCGAAATGAGACGAATGTTAACTCGTTAAATCTCGGTAGATGAAGTAGGTCAGAAAATCCGGATTAATCCGAACTGATTCGGGAATCTTCGTCATAAGAAGTAGATCAAAAATCCAGAGAAGTAGATCAAAAATACTCCAATGGAGTATAAAATTGTCACCAGGATTCCGAAATGAGCCGAATGTAAACTCGTTAAATCTCGGTAGATGAAGTAGGTCAGAAAATCCGGATTAATCCGAACAAGGTTCGGGAATCTTCGTAATAAGAAGTAGATTAAAAATACTCCCAATGGAGTATAAAATTGTCCCCAATATTCCGAAATACGACGAATCGAATCGGCAAACTTCGGTAAAATAATGAAGTGCATAAAAACCGAAATGATCCGATGAACGTTCGGATAAAATCGTGAACAGGTGTCAGGGGTTTCCCCTCATCTTTCCCCACATTGTTCTAAAAGCCTTATATGGATTTATCACGTAACATTCAAAATGACGTTCCTATATGGTTCTATGGGTTCGAACACGTGACCAAATATACCAAATAAAATTTTTACCTTGACCACTGGATGGGATTTCATAGAAAATATCCAAGAAAACCTATCCTCGTGATCCTTAAATCACTTAAATTCGATCATTTTATTTTCACCCCTTGATGGAATTTTATGAAAGAAGTCATGAAAACACATCATCATGTAAGGGTTTTCACCTAAATTAGCTCGTTTTATCTTGAGCCTTCAATTGAATTTCTTGAAGAAATATTTTATGAAAAAATATCATCATGTTATGATTTGTATTTAAATAAGACCGTTTCATCTAAATACTTGGATAATATTTCATAAAAAATGCACTTTAAAATTTTTCAGAATTTGCCTTTATTTATCAATGTAATGAAAGTATAAGATTAACTCTCAAATAGCGTTCTATTTTAACCTTTTTATTGAAATCAATACAGGACTCGCTCTCTAAATATCCAATAAAAATTCAACCCTTGGATGTGATTTCGTTGGAAAAAAAATATGTCAAGTCCAGAATCAAATGATTTGTCCAGAACCTCTTAAGATCCTGTTAATGATATCTGAAAATAAGATATACATATAACTCTTATTCCAATGCTTTAGCTATACCTGGTATATCTATGATACCATCAAGGGAATGGAAGACAATTAAAGGAGTTCAACTTCCACATGGAACAATCGCCGTTGAGATAAGTGTCACCCTCCCCAACGATCCATCTCACTTTTGGTCGTCAGATATTGGAATTGATGAAATATACATATCTTATGATCAAGGTATGTTTACATGTGTTATTACGTGGCTTATTTTTGGGAAATTAGAGGGGTAGCCTTAAAAAATCTATTTGATATGCTGTACCCGGCAGCTCCAGCATATTTGGTTGCTGTATAATAGGCATGTAACATGTACATTTGTAGGATAGTATTGAACTAATCGTATAAATAATTCAACAGCCGCAAAAGTAACACAGTTAGTCTCTTAGGACCAGAAACGCCAGTTCAAATCCATACAAGTGAACACAAAAATGTAGGGATGTGTCTGCTTAACATTTCAGTCGCTTCTGATCCAATTACTGTACCAACTACTATATCAGCAACTGTAACAACTACCATGCCTACAACTGAATCTGAGTCGACTTCAACAGCACCAATAACAACTACAACAATGTCTTCTACAACACAAACAGTCAAAATCACTGGAATTGGTAGGAAGGATTTCAATTCATTGTAAATTGTTATATTGTATGCATTGATTTAGATGTGTGTATGTTTTTCATGCCTTCAGTGTTACAAGACCAATTCTGGTGGAGACATTTATTGTTATAGTCCCCATTTTTGTGGATGGTGTTTGGCGGTTGATGTTCGGTGTATGTATTATGGTGACATGTCGTATGTCAAGGCCTTGTTTGTTAAGTCATCCAATCATTGATAGCCATTGATCGTGTTTTTGTTGAGTAACATTACCAAAAAACTGGTTATTCAACGGAGCTAACTAAAGTATTTCCAGGTGATACCAATTTAATGTCTAGTCTATGGTATTGCACGTTCGAGTCACCAGGATGGGACAATCCGTTAGACAGTAATGGGTGTGGCGATGGCCAAGCTGGGATGTTTCAACTTGAAACAGATGACTTTGATTTTTCAAGAACCAACAAAGATACTCCAAGCAGTCATACTGGACCTTCAAGCGGCAGTGATGGAGGTATACAGTAGTAGTTTAACTTCTGCAACAAAAAAAAGACTGCGAAGTGCAGTAATAATGGCCTAAACTGAAAATATGTAGAAATAATTGTGGAAAGCAAAATGCATGATTCACAAATACCTAAAACCCTAGACAAATGTACTCTTGTGACTGGGTTTAATCATGTTTCTAGGATACTACATATATACAGAATCTTCACCTGATGGCAATTTAGATAGAAGCAATGGAAAGGCAACAATTCGTACACCAACTCTTTATGGTGATATGACCAAATATCTATCCTTTAAGTACCACACATGGGGACAATTGATTGGTGGTTTAACAGTTGCTACAATATCGGCAGATTTGACAATCAGTTCATTCTGTAAGTCATTCGTTAATGCATCCTAAAAGGCCAAATCACTAATTTTTCCCTAATGATATCATTTCTAGAATTGCATCAATCTTATAATAAACATTGTCTTATATTACTGCTTACAAATTAGCTGATATACATTGAATAATTTAGAGACTTTTTAATAATTGTAAATAATATCTGAAAATAACATATACATATTACTCTCCTTCCAATGCTTTAGCTATACCTGGTTTATCTATGGCGTCATCAAACGTATGGAAGACGATTAAAGGACTTCAACTTCCACATGGAACAATCGCCGTTGAGTTAAGTGTCACCCTTCCCAACGATCCATCGCACTTTTGGTCGTCAGATATTGGAATTGATGAAATATACATTTCTTTTGATCAAGGTATATTTACATGTATTATTACTTGGTTTAGGTTTTGGAAAATAGAGGGGACCTCAAAAATCTATTTGATATGCTGTGCCCGGCAGCGCTCCGCCATTAAGGGTTACTATATAATAGTACTGAACTCTCAGTTTGCACTTTATACTAATATAATTAAATATGAAGTAACGACTGAATAAATTTCCGATATTAGGTCAAAATAATTTAACAGCCACAAAATTAAAAGTAACATAATTAGTCTCTAAGGACCAGAAACGCAAGTTCAAATCCATACAAGTGAACACAAAAATATAGATAGGGATGTGTGCGCTTAACATTTTAGTCACATCTGTACCAATTAATGTACCATCTACTACACCAACAACTGTACCATTTACTACACCAACAACTATACCATCTACCATGCCTACAACTATAGCTGAGTCGACTTCAACAGCACCAATAACAACTACAACGATGCCTTCTACAACACAAACAGTCACAACCACTGGGATTGGTAGGAAGGATTTCAATTCATCGTAAATTGTTGTGGTGTAGATGTGTGAATGTTTTTTATGATTTCTGTGTTATTTCTTAACCAATTTGATCATTGATAGCCATTGATCGAAAGTACTATGTTTTTGGTCGAGCAACATATCTAAACAATTTGTCATCAACTGAACTAACGATTGTATTTTCAGGTGATAACCATTTAATGTATAGTTTTTGGTATTGCACGTTCGAGTCACCAGGATGGGACAATCCGTTGGATAGTGATGGCTGTGGTGATGGTCAAAGTGGAATGGTTCAACTTGATGATGATGACTTCAATTTTACTAGAACCAACACAAAAACTCCTTCAAATCTCCACACTGGACCAAACAACGGTAGCGATGGAGGTATCTAAATTTAAGTTGTCGACCATCGTAAATAAGCGCAATTTATCTTATTTTAAAAATAATGGTTAAAATTGTAGGTTAATCAAAATATGTATGATTATTGTCGTAAAAACTTTTTATAAGTTTCCTGAGTGTATGCTTTACTTACTGTACGACCCATATGAAATTCACTATCAATATATGATTTCGTCGGACTAGTTTACAGAATAGCTTTTGAGAATTTTAGGAAGTTGTTTTTTGGCCATGAAATTGCAGTAACAAATATGAACAAACATGTCTCTCATATTTCCAGGGTACTACATTTACACTGAATCTTCACCGACATCAAAATTCGATAGAAGTAACGAAGTAGCAAGAATCCGAACACCAGTTTTCAGAAGCACAACTCCGAAATATTTGTCTTTCAGCTACCACACGAGAGGACGATTGATTGGAACGTTACAGATAAAAGCCTTGTCACTAGAATTGTTCACACTTCCGATTGGTAAGTATAATTCCACTTCAGTTTGGTAAGCATATTTCCACATTCCATATTTCTGTTTAAAAAGCATATTTTTAAAGAAAAACTTGGGTTCAAAAAAGACAGTCAGTTACAAATCAACACATTTTGTTTTACCACAAATCTTCCGGCGAATCTTGTCATGTTATGAGAAAGTTGAATAGTCATGAGTAAGAATCAACTTTTAAGCACCTCTTATGATAATAAATCTTTTTTGATACAGCTATGCCGATATTGTCAATGGAGTCATCGGACCAATGGAAAAGGGTACAAAGCATTGAACTACCCATTGGAACAGCCGCTGTTGAATTTAGCGTCACTCTTCCCAATAATCCAAACAAATTCTGGTCATCAGACATTGGAATTGATGAGATAAATATTGGCTATTATGGAACAGAACATACGACTGAAACTATACCAACTCCAGGTAAATGAACGTATATTACTACTTGAAACGGAACCGCCAATAAAATTTGATTCCAAAGCCGTCAGTCGTGTAGTTATAATTCATAAACGCTCTTCATTTTCTGTCTTTGAAAATGGCATCCTTTAACTGATAATACCTGCCATTTAATGATTTTTGTACTTTTGCAATAATAATGTCCAAATGCTCTAGATATGATATTGATGTTAACTCCTTGCAGGTGCATGCACTAATTACAGTTCAATGGTGTCTCTCAAGGGAAGTTTTACGACAACACTATCACAGTCGCCTGCTGTCTGTGAAGCTTTGTATCAAAAATATATAAAAGACAATTTTGTACTTATCGTACCTTTTTATGAAATTGATGCATGTCCGAGTCCCGTATTCACTCTTGAGATTGTTGATGTGCACATATCTTTGAATGATAAAATGGTAAATATATTATGTCATTGATCACCATTGCAATCTAGTCAAAACAAAACATGGGGCTTTGGGGGTTGACAGATATGCTATATATCAAAATCAAAAAAAAATTCATTGTAAAAAAACATTAAGGTCATTTTAATAAATTTAACATTTTTGTATGATATGTATTTACTTTTCAAATCCCTTACACGTACTTTTAAATCAATGCAGATATTATACACTAGTCGCCAAACAGATATTTGAAATATAGAAAATTATTATTTCGTTTCAGATCATCGCAGTTGTGAATATAGGCATAACAGTCAACAATGTTCCAGAGACCGTTACTCTGAAAGAATGTATAAACTCCCTTCTTGAGCTGAACCAATTTGCTTCTTTCCTTGAATTCTTCTCTTTGGTACTTTTACCAGAGATTGAAGACTGCACAGGAGGTCCCATCACCCCATCGTATTTTATGAATAATGGAGTCATTAAGGAATGCCAAGGTAACTTAACACAGTGGCTGATTTATCATATACGATCAAAAGGTTCCTTATTTAATTAATGGATAAAGTGTGTCCTAGCATACGTGTGTCGAACACCAACAACTTCAAGGAACAGTTAATGCCATAATTGCAATAGATCATGAGCAATTTAATCCATGCTGAAGTCCTTGTAATATCCTAAATCCACCCTCAAAGCTTAGATGAAAAGAACCAAGTTTGTTGTTACATAATGTTCTTGCATTTGTAGATGAAAAGACTCATACACCATTGAACGTAACTCTTCAGAGAATAGAATGTGATTTTGAACTTGGTGTGTGTAATCTAGAGTCTAGTAATGGTGCTAACTTCAACTGGACAAGGCATATTGGAAGCACACCAAGTGCCTTCACGGGGCCTTTGGGTGACACGACTTACCGTTGTGGTAATGTAGTTTTGTAATTATCTATTATGAAATCTGAGAAAATATATTTAAAAATAAAAATGAAATTATACATCTACTTCCGGCGGAAACTGATAAAACAGCCTCTTTATGCATCTGCCTGTTATAAATAAATTGGATGATAGATCAAAACATGACAACTTGGTTTCATAAATATGCATATTCGCTCGTAGGTCACTACATGTATATTGAAGCCTCGTCGCCAAGACAACAGAGAGATATAGCCGTCCTACAAACTCCAGAGGTACAGGTGACCTCATATTCTCCTGTTTGCTTATGGCTGTCCTACCATATGTATGGATCTGATATAGGAAAACTGGCCATCAGAAGACTTGATACTGGACAGGAAATTTGGTCGGAATCAGGTAAGACATTTCATTGGAGACAACTGCTTTAAAGTAAAACATGAAATCATGGATTAACACATACTCATAAAAGTAATCTAAGTGACGCCGCAATCAAACAATTCCGTTTTGGTTGGCGTTATAGTAAATAAGATATGAAATGAATACACGAATGACACATGCCTTTTTCCTGTTGTACGTTTTTATGGTAAATACGTCCATCTAAAACAAACCCGAATCCAACTTTGATTTACATAAATATCTTTTGACATGATTTGTAGGAGTTGTTTTAAACGCATTTCCTTTTACATATTTTTAATGTCAGTATGTTATACATATCAGGAAATAAAGGGGAGTCCTGGCAACAGTTAACACAACAGTTACCCATTGGTAACTATGGTGTATCTATAGAAGGTGAGGTTGGAGGAGGTTACCTTGATGATATTGCAATAGATGACTTGCTGATCTCATCTGGTCTATGCGATCGCAGAAATGGTAGGTTCCCAAGACTTAAAGGGAATTGAACAGAATAAAACAAGAGAAGTGAAAAGAGAACTGTGAAAAAGAAAACGGAAACAAAAAAACTTCGGAAATAGAAAAAACAAGCAAAATGAAGAAAAAATAACTCATTATAATATGGCTTTGGATTCAAGATCGAATTTTCAATATAAACTGCAAATTTTATTTTCCGGTATTTTGATACAGTTTGTAAGTTTTGTTGCATCCTAATTTTAACTTGATCTACGACTAGAAACTTTTTTATCGTTAAGTCCAAAATTGAAGCATCAATATCCCCTTAATATTCTACTCGTGGGTATTTTTTTGTATCTGCTGCGGAGGGTAATCCATTTTTATCATTTTATTTTAGATTCGATTTTGCAATCCAAAAACGCTACATCTGAAAAGCTTCAACCAACCATTTACTTCCTGTGCAGTTTTGAATTATCATTTTGTGAATTTACAAATTCATCAACCAGTGTAATGTGGTTTAGGAACAGATCGGTCGAGGATAACCCTCGAATTCCAAAAGAAGATCACACACTCGGGAACTCCAATGGTAAAGTATTGATAACTAATTCAAGCAATGACATTAATGTACAGTAAAACGAATCATTTATTCATTTATTGTTTTTTAGAGATGCACTCACATGATCATTTAGTTATTTGACTTAAAATAAGGTTTTCATTTTAGGTTACTTTCTGTACTACCGCGGTGGGTACCAAAGTGTTAATAGTAGTATCATATCACCGATAATCAGTCCTAATCAACCAAATTGCATTTCTTTCTACCTCTACTATAGCGATAGCTACACAGGGAAAGGATTCAAAGTAAAAAGAGTCGAGGATGGAATGAAAGAAACGATACTGACAATAGAACCAGGTCAGTGGTAACCATGGTAACCTACATAGCAACCAATAATGCGAAAAACAAATATAATTTTAATCAATTAGTACGTTTTTGTCTTTACCTTTATGCTGAGGCTAACGGAAAACTTGTACTGGGAAGTTTTTTGTTTTGTAAAATATTCAACAGATAGCTTACAATTGCAACATGAAAATTATTCATATTACTTTATGATCGTTTATATTAAGGATCTGAAGAGGGCAAACGTAAATGGAAAAAACATGAGATTCACAATATTGAGAGGGGCAATTATCAAATCGAATTCGAAGTGGCGTTTGACTCATATGATTCGTATGCGACGTATTTCGCGCTTGATGATATTATGGTGTATCGGTGTGGCGGTTCTGGTAAGTAAATTCTCTACTAGTCAATTAATATTCCAACAAAATGCCCTGATGTTTAACTAAAGACATTTAACCCCAAGAGATTTCAAACTAACATTGGTATGGCTATTTTAATAAAAGAAATCACCCCAAGAGGTTACAAAATGTTATATAAATTTAATCTACATATCACAAGAAATCCAGCCCTGACTTAATGTGTGATCACAGTTGACTGTCTCGTCTATATGCCGCTATGTCTGTTAAATTAGAAGATATGGAATCCCGTATGGAACCACGTGTAGCTGACCAGGACACACTCTTTAATTGTGGATTTGAAGAAGAGAATACTGATTGTGAGCAACTTGATGTTACGATGGACCAAGTAAGAGGCTCCACCTATTGGCGAATTGGTTCGGGTGATATGGGATTCAAACTAACTGGGCCAACTCGAGACAGCACGTTAGAAACGTGTTTAGGTAAATAGACGGCGTGTGTTTTACAACATAAATTTTTGTGAGTTAAATCTACTGTTTTCTAGGAAACCATTAATTGATGATTTCCCTCTACATGATTCTTGTCTGCTATCACTAATTGATACGATTCTGTCATTCTAGGGCGCTATGTGTACACAGACACGATGAGTGGTATTTTCTTTAACCTCTCCCTCCCTGTGTTCAATGAGAGCACATATCTTCAGTTCAGTTATCATATGTACGGGTCGCATATTGGAACTATCGGTGTCAAATCCGTTGAGTTTGACACATTGTTGTGGGAGAGATCAGGTAAATATGCATGTTGTACGTATACAGTGTGTCTCAAAAAAAATGTTACACTTACAAAAAGTTCAATATCTTTCATAATTTTGACTTTTCCCTAAAATATACTTTGGAAATCAAAAGACAAATCTTTCTCAAATAATTTGACACCATCAGATTCAAAATCTGTCCTTGATTGACTGCACAGGACAGCTTTTAGTGTCCCATGGTAAAATCTGACTTGCGCCAACTTCTAAGTGATTGGATGGACCAAATGACAAAAGAGGAACAGTTTCTTTAACATTTAACTTTCTTCTGAGTTGAAGCTTGACCTTTAACTGAGTCATTGTGTTATTTTCCTATTTGTCTTACATATGATCATTGGGTCTATCCACATAAACATGTGGTCCCCTCAACATGTTCTCCAAAGCAAATCTGAGGTACCCTTGCCCATGCGCACATGCATTGTAATATCACACTGATTCCATCAATTCTTTTGGCAGAAGTTCATTTAGATCAGTTTGTGATGTTGTAAAGCGCTTTCAGAAGCCCTTCAAAAAATCAAGGGTGTAAAGTGGCATGACAACGGGACCAATCATTTGGGTAATTCAATGCTATCCTCTGATTTCGAAAGAGTTCTACCAAACGATCTGCCATAGGTATTTGCACAATCCTGTTGCCATCAAACGTAACAAAATTGAATACCTGGTACCTGATAATGGAATCTTGTATTACTATCCAGGAAAAAACAACTGGATCATTGATCATATTAAGATATCACTGTCCACAGGGTTCACACCAAAAAAGAATTGATCACTACATGTCCAATCACTGAGAAGTTGGCGCAAATCAGATTTCATATGCGTCTGTAAAATCTGACCTGTGCAGCCAATCATGGACGGATTTTGAATCTGATAGTGTGGATTTATTTGAAAAAGACTGGTCTTTTGGTATCTAAGTATATTTTAGGGGAAAAGTCAAAATCATGAAAGATATTGAACTTTTTGTAAGTGTAACATTTTTTTGAGACACACTGTAGTATGGTTATTATTAATGTTTCATTTCACCCAAAACTGCCTAACTCCCTATTTCTCACAGTTATAATTTCAAGAAACAAAATAAATACAAATCGGCTTTTGGGTATCACATCCTTATAATGGCTGTTTTGTTTGATATTACAGGAGACCATGGCAACGTGTGGGAACAAACAGCCATCTTTATTCCCGCTAATGTTCAAGTTAGCATAGTTGCTGAAACATCATGGGAGAAGTTTGGAGAAATAGCAATAGACGATATAATTATCAAAAGTGTGTAGATTGTTTTTGAAATACGTATTCAATAGGCAAATTCAAATAAAGACATATCTCTATGATATAATGTGAGTTGTGTGATATAGCTAAGCTAAAATGTAACGTTAAATTAAGACATGTTTCTCACCAAAAACTGCCACATTGCATGTATAGTCAGTAGCTGTAGAACTAGTTATGATTGAAACACATGACTTCATTATATTACTGTCATATTTCACTTTTCATATTGCATTAATTTAACTAGACATTATTTTGGCATCCACACCTTTGTTCATTCAACAAGTCATGTTCATCAATTGTGTTTTGCTTTCATATAGACATTAAAATATAATGTATTTACAGTTGCAAGAAAATCATCTCTAACAACCTCTGCGGCTTCCTCATCAACAATAACAGCATCCCCACTGACTTCATTGTCACGGACAACATCCTCATCAGCAACAACTGCAGCAATAACTAACGCCATAACAGAAATAACAACAATGTCAATAACATTAACTGCTGCATCGCAACCATCAACCCTAACGAATACAACTCTAATGACAAATACAACTCTAATGACAAATACAACTTTAATGACAAATACAACTACAACTTTAATGACAAATACAACTCTAATGACAAATACAACAACTTTAGACGCTTTCCACATGAATTGCCTTGATCAACATAATACCAAACGTGCTCTCCATCAGAACACCCCACCATTGGCGTACAGCACCGTTTTGGCTGTCACTGCACAACGATGGGCTGATAACCTGGCTGCTCGACATGCTTTCGAGCACAGTAATGAAGACAACGACACGTTCAGGACTCCTGCAGCTGGGGAAAATTTTTTTACGATACCCAGCCTAGGTGACACGTTCCCTGACACAGCTGATCTATGTAATGTCGTTGAAGTTTGGTAGGAACTATTTCATAATTAGATGCTTGTAAATTTTAGAAATTTGTTTTTGTCAATATATAAAACGGAATTATACTTACCTAAGTAAAAGACCCACGTAAGGCCCAACAGGACCTCTGGTGTACTTTAATCCACAGAAAGTTCCTTTACAACAATTTCTGTCATGCTATGAGCTAAACTCTGATCTACTATTTTTACTGTTTCATTCTTAGGTACTATGAAATCAAATTTTATTCTTATGACACAGCACGTACAACCAAGGAAAAACAGGCAGTCGGACATTTCACTCAAGTAAGTTATTTGTCACTAATGTTAACCAAACAAATCAGTCTTCACTGTTGCATCAGCACAACTTGTTCCTTGACACGCATTTTTAAAGATGATCCATGTACATGTAGAAGCTTTAATGTCGTCTTAATAGAAATAAACTATATTGACATATTGTGAGTCAATGATATTTGTCATTCATTTTAGCTTGTTTGGAAGGACACAACTGAGGTTGGGTGTGGGGTTGCTCAAGTTGATGGGATCATATGGTTCAATACAACAGTTGTAGAAACATATATTGTATGTCAGTACCTGCCAAGTGGCAACACTGTTAATGTGAGAGTTGGGGACGATTATGAGGAAGCGAGATTACGAAATTATGGAGCAAATGTTTTGCCTCTAAAAGTGCCCCAATAGAAGGTGAAGAACCATATTGAATGAATAGATCATTCATTTACGAATTACTATTAAATTCTAATTCATTCACTGCACCCCAACAGTTGATCTTGATCTTACTAAAGTTTCAACAATTATCTTCAAAACAACAACATCCGGGCAGATATGGGCAGACGACAGGATTCCTTAGCTTATTATTCACAATATTCCCGAGCCCATAACCCGAACAGGTACAGAGAGACCTTCAAAAGAGACGAGAACTATACTAACAAGGTGCCTACTCAGCAATTGTAAGATACAACCTACGTTCTATTTCAACAACTCTTCTCTGCTCGGATTGTTAGAGTTTGGTAGACGATAGACATTGAATTTTTATTTTCGTTGAGAACATTAAATTTTTGGCCTGAGATACAGTTTATAAATGTAAAAATCAAACTCAACACCAACACTGGGAAAAATACACATTAGAGCATGTCATCTAAAATGCAACCATGATTTCCATTTCATTTGGGTACATTTTCTTGGGACACCTGGTACACTCTCTTACATGGGTTGGGAATTTCTTATGTATGGGAAACCATTTCGAGCCTGAACATGCCTGTATATTCTGCAACTCTGCGATTCTGCGAATATTCTTTTAGTATTACATTAAATATCATTAAAACAACATTGAGCTATTCTATCACAAATATTGTTACACACTTCAAATGGCACATAAATAATATAAAATATGGATTTTGTTGAAGAATCCTAGTTAGTACCAACGACACGATCCAACATGTTTTTAACTGCTGCCATTTGTGGTCCAACTCTCACATCTGAAAATGTAATTAACCAAGCAAAAATAAAATCATAACTGAACATATAACTGACCAGTCTCTTTCTGAGTGTAGAGACGTGGTCCCGGGCGTGGTCCATAGCTATGGATCTTTGTTAATGGGACATAATATAATATGAGGATAGCTCCAGCTAAAGAGAGTAACAAGAACAGGTTCCCCTTGAAAAATGAAAAAATCTAATGGTCATCACATCGTTCTGTTTTAAAACTAACAATTAATGAAAATACCTAAATGATTGCTCACGAAACAATACTCCAAGTGACATAATAGCTGAGCTAAATTAAAGCGATTTGTCTGGTTTCACACCAGAGAAGTGTAAATGCTGGCAATAAGACGTACGATATTCCAGCGCTATGAACGCGTTGTCCTCATAACCCCACCAATCCCAGCATCCATTAGGGTTGCCTAGCAACACACTTGATCTGACTTGTGGGTAGAGAACTATGATGTTATTGGACTCTGCTACCTCGTTGTAGCCAGCATTTCTAGCGTATACGTCACCAATTGCCTCCCTATTGTACTATATTACTTAGAACACTATTTGAGGTAACATTTAATTTCTCGATACATATGTTGAGCGTATGCACCGTTCCACAACTAGTTACTTTGACGGAACGTCTCAGTTTAAATCGAGAAAACAAAAACTCGTATCCAGGAAGTTCAGCCATCTTGTTACATTGACGTTCCGTTGAGTTGTGGAACAGTGGTATGGTTATATATATTTTTTACTCTAGTAGCTCATGCTGGTTGAGTATGCACTTCTATGTCCAGAGATTTTCTCTTCAGAAATCATCTATGTGAAGGTCATTGATCAGTTTTGGCTTGGTAACATATTTGCCACTGAAGGCGAAATAGGTCAAATGGCCATGCCCTTTTTATGCGAATACTCCCCCCCCCCCATTTTTTTATCTCCGGAACTGTTGGACATAGAAGGTTGTGTGACCACTCAAAATGTCCGGAATGGCCATATTATAGGGGGTCAATAATACATATGTATTTAAAAAAGTCAATGGTTCTCAAGATATTTGCCAAAAACTGATTTTAGTATGTTACGCACAACAGTTTTCATCTATCCTGCATCATTTCAGACTGAATCCGCAGCCTCTATCTAGTCAGATCAGCGAAGGAAACAAACTGTTTTGGTTGTTGAGTTGGCCAAGAGGTGAATGGGTACCCTAAACCATGAGGTTGCGAGTTTGAGACACGTGTGCTCCATATGTTCATTCTTTTATGAGTACCATATCTAGTATCTACAAGGAATGCTGATGTATTATGAGTATTGAATAGCGATTCGTTGAGTTTAATTATAAACCACGAGGTTGTGAGTTTGAGACACATGTGCTCCTTGTGTTCATTCTTTAATGAGTACTATGTCTAGTATCTACAACTAGTTATCACTAGTTTTCATGTTATGTGTGGCTATCAATTGAGTTTATTTATGCGGATTTCTACACTTTGTGCCTTTACTACATCCACAAAACACAACACATTTTATGTCCATTGCTCTGCAGGTGCATGTCTTGGAACTAATGCAGGATGTTGGGCATTTGCATGGAGGAGGTAGGTCATCAGGCCTGCATGGAACTGGTAGTATTACAGGTGTAATACCATCATCTGTTGCTTTATAGCCATACTGGCATGGATCTGGTGTGATGACTTCAGGAATTGGAGCTTGTAACCACATCTTGCACTGCAGATATGCCCGCTTTATGTGTTCCTGTAGAGTTGATGAGCAGCACACAAGTTGGTTAAAATCAATGTCTTTCTTTGAGTTTTTTTTATTTTTTTTTATTTTATTTATTTATATATTTATACAAAGAATACAGTAAACAAGTGCACATGTGCTTGTGGCTGGGCATCAGCATTATCAGCCACGTTATATGATGAAAATCAATTAACAGTATTCAATCAATTATTAAAATAGGGGTTGTATTTGTGGAGGGTTACAGTGGTGGGGGTGACCTAGACATTTTTACATCGTTCAAAAAAGATGGCACTACATTTGAGGATATTTAAGTTTACAGCTTTAGGTAGCCTTTTATCGCCATTGAGGATAAGGGAGAGTTTGTCTCGTTGTGATCTATATTAAGTAGAATATTCTATGTTCATATTTTTTAATTCATTTTCAAATTCTGTCCAAAATGTTGATCTTAGATTACAGTGAAAAATTACGTGATTGGTTGTTTCACCATCCATTCCACACTGGCAAATGGGGGAGTTTATATTAGTGAAATTGTGAGCGTAAAGGTGAGCCTTAAAAATGAGATCACAGCGCACTCTATTGAAAATTATTTCTTGTTTTCTTGAAACGGAGAGTTCTGATGAATTTGTAACATCGTCGTTGAATAGATCTATTTTAAGTCTGGATTTGAATATACTAAGGGTAGGTAAATTTCTTATTTCAGGTGAAAGCTTATTCCATTCAGTCAGTGTTTTTGATATGCAAGATCTATTAGAAAATGAGGATTTATTAGGAATTGTGTAGCTCAGTTGATTTCTTAGACCATAAGCATGGTTTCTTTTGAGAGGCTCAAATATGTTAAGAACATAAGAGGGCTGCATATTATTATGTGCCCTATACATGAAAATGCTTCTGTGATATTGACGCCTCTTTGTTAATGTTGGCCAATTTAAATTATTCAACACTTTAATTGTCGAAGTCCCATGTAGAGTACCTGAACAAATGCAAGCGGCTTTATAGTAAAGTCGATCTAATAACTGAGTTGTGGTACTGTTCCCACCGATATTCATCAAATGTGGAACAGTCTGTCTTCTTCAAACTGGATACAAGGAACTTCTCTGCATTCTTAATCATTTCTGGTGTAAGTTCCTCGACACCAAACCCTTCCATGATATGGCTGATTTCATACCAGATAGTTTTGGACCAACTTTGCTGGTACTGTCAAACAAAAACGAATTCAAGTTTACATCCAGTTTACACTCAGTTTACACTTAATTTACACCAGACCTTGGTACATGTATTTACTTCGATGTTAACTTTACCTCAAGTAAATAGGTATTTACTAGCAGAAAGTAAACACTGATTTACTAGGTGTAAACTTGACTTTGAATTTGCTAAAATTGAAAACTGGATGTAAATTAGACTCAGAAAAAATCAAATATTGGTCAAAGTGTAAACTAAGTGTATACTTGACTGAATCCTAATTCCAAAACGAGGCTCATGCAGCCTCTCTTTCAATCAAAGCTGGCTTAGCCATTTTGGTTTGGTAAGTCTTCAAAAAATCCTATAACATCGGCCCTCATACAGTTTTACTTTATTTGATTTTGGTGTCAACTTTACCATTAGATATTAGTTGTGCATTTGTTCCAGTTTCATCATCATTGTTCATTTAGTTATCCATTTTCTTAAGCTTCAAATTTCTTTTCAATATATATATCCATTGAATCTTTCTACCTTTTGTGCTTGCCTGTTTGTTTTGATCTTTTCACCTAGAATTCATTCTAATCTGCATCATGATGGCATTATATCCTGGGCTGTAATTCAATATGGGTCAGTTTATTTGTATAGGTTATTTAGACATACATTCATTAACTCCTTGAAGACTGGCAACTTTTTGGAAAAATGACGAAAATGAAAAAGTTATTTGTAAAAGAATCTAGAAGCAAGAGAACGAAGCAAGACCCAATAAATTATATAGACCCATATTTTATGTTTTTCTTTCTTGAAAAAATTGAATATGCAAAAGAGTGTCATTGTGACATCATAATTCAAGATGGCGGATTTGGACTTTTTACAAAACAGAATTATTTTAGCAATTTTTGTTTAAAACTTCAATTTAGAAATCTGAGCAGAATTACTTGTATAGATCTTTAATGCTGATCATTCTGTGATATCTGTACTATAGCATAACTCCTACAAATACTTTTAAAACACTGAAAAATTCCAGGAAAATCCCTATGGCGATTTAACATGGGATTTTTGTTTTTGCATTTCGCAATTTGTTACGCTTAGAACCCCCTGTATCTTCATTAATATTATTCTCTGATCACAGTGCCTCAAAATTCAGAATATCTTTACATTCTCTCCCCCTACGATAAGCATTTAGCATTTCGCCAATTAGGGATTAGGTGAACTATGTGAACTAACTGTAAATTAAGTTTAAAATCTGACCAATCAGAATGTGCTCTTGATGTAAATTGGATGTATACTAAAGTGTAAATTAAGTGTAAACTATGGTGTAAATTAGCTCATTTGCATGTGAAATTGGTCCCCTATTTACTGGTTGTAAATTTAGTGTAAACTGGGTGTAAACTTAAGTGAAAACTAATTGCGAACTGGATGTAAAGTAGATGTAAACTTAAGTGTAAAGTGGGTGTATACTAAGGTGTAAACTGAGCGTAAATTAAAGTGTAAATTAGCTCATTTGCATATGAAATTGGTCACCTATTTACTGGGTGTAAAGTAAGTATAAACTGAGTGTAAATTGTAGGTATAAAGCCTTTGTAAATTTTGATATGGGTTGTCCCAATTATAAGATAAATTGAAATTCAAAAATTTGAAAATCAAAATGTCTGACTTTTGAAGTAGCAAAAAACCTTTCATATCATAAACTTTACACTGGATGAAAAGACATATCAAATTTCATACTTTACCAAGGAGAAAATAGAATAGTAGAGTTTTCATTCTAAAATCAGTTTTTGGCAAATATCTTGAGAACCATTGACTTTTTTAAATACATATGTATTATTGACCCCCTATAATGTGGCCATTCCGGACATTTTGAGTGGTCACACAACCTTCTATGTCCAACGGTTCCGGAGATACAAAAATGGGGGGGGGGTATTCGCATAAAAAAGGGCGTGGCCATTTGACCTATTTCGCCTTCAGTGGCAAATATGTTACCAAGCCAAAATTGATCAATGACCTTCACATAGATGATTTCTGAAGAGAAAATCTCTGGACATAGAAGTGCATACTCAACCAGCATGAGCTACTAGAGTATTTGCAAGTAGTCAACGATAATATGTAAAATAAATGACACTATTGCGCACTGGTATGTCTTTATCTATAAGAATATACTATCCAAATATTGTAAAAACATAGTCGGCCATTAGTTGGCCGTTTTGTATGTAATTCTTTATTGTAAATTTGACAAAATGTCAAAGCATTTTTAATGCATATTTATATAGTCATGGCTTATAAACTGTAACCACTGTAAATGATATATTACCTGGATGCACTTAATTTTGGTGTGCGACTGTTATAAAAGTAATTCCAAAAAAATAAAAAGTAAATTAAATATGCAAATAACAGATTTCATCATAAAGTGACATTACCTTCCTTGGGAGCAACCATGGAGTGCAATGTGCAGCTTACAAGCTAAAATACACAGAACGCCCAGACAGAATAAGTGATGTCATTTTCCGAATTTAAAATAATATAGTGCCGAATATTAGTTATACGAACTATATTAGTGGTATCTGTATATCGACCAAAAACAGTCTTACCTGTTGTTTTGTTCACGCAGCGAGATGGTACATACATATAACCTGCATCCTCGAAACTAATCGCACCATCGACAAATTCAGTTTGTTGGAACTCTTGGAACTAATATAAAGTAATACTATAGTAAAATCGTCTCTTGAAAAAAGAACGTTTCCCTGCAAGTTTCCTTTTATTATGTCCCCACCACATAGTGTGGGGCCATATTGTCGGCCTAGGCGCGTCCGTCTGTCCGTCCGTACGTCCGTCCGTCCGTCCGTACGTCCGGGAGTTTTCTCCAAAACCGCTACAGATATCACCTTCAAATTTTCAGGGATAACTTATGAGTGCATACAGATGTGGATGAAAAAATTTTAACTCGATACCTACTTCCTGTCGGCCATTTTGAAGTCAAATGCTAAAATCCTTGTCTGCAAACTTTAAGAAAAACGGCTTCACAGTTGCTTTTAAAACTTTAACATCTTGTTCAGCTCACTTCATTCTAGATCTGATTAGGTTTTGGACCTGTTAGCTCAGTCATGTCAGCCATTTTGAATGTCTTAAGAAAAGTTACCGCACGATAATACTTTGTATCATATTGAATGGTGTTTTTGAGTTTTCATACTTTAACTATTTAGTAGCTTTATAAATAATTTCAGATCTACTTTGTTGTAAAAGCCTATCTTATTGTTAACAGTAGTAATATGTGATAATTTTGTAAGAAGAAATCAGCAAAAACACATAATCACTTTTTTATTGTCGGCCATTTTGGATTTTTCCGTCCTAAAATCTTGTCTGTGAAGTCTTGTCTACGTGTTTTCAGGTGAACCGTTTGGTGGATCAATTTCAAATTTTCAGGGATGATTCTTAGTATAAAAATCTAGATCTGATTTGTTTTTTGGCATTCTGGGTAAATGTCAAGGCAGCCATTTTGGATTTTCCGTCCTAAAATCTTGTCTGTAAAGTCTTGTCTACGCGTTTTCAGGTGAACCGTTTGGTAGATCAATTTCAAATTTTCAGAGATGATTCTTAGTATGAAAATGTAGAACTGATTAGTTTTTTGGCATTCTGGGCAAATGTCAAGGCAGCCATTTTGGATTTTCTGTCCTAAAATCTTGTCTGTAAAGTCTTGTCTATGCATTTCCAGGTGAACCGTTCTGTAGATCAATTTCAAATTTTTAGGGATGATTCTTAGTATGAAAATCTAGATCTGATTAGATTTTTGGCATTCTGGATAAATGTCAAGGCAGCCATTTTGGATTTTCCGTCTTAAAATCTTGCCTGTAAAGTCTTGTCTACGCGTTTTTAGGTGAACCGTTTGGTAGATCAATTTCAAATTTTCAGGGATGATTCTTAGTGTGAAAACCTACATCTGATTAGTTTTTTGGCATTCTGTGTTAATGTCATGGCAGCCATTTTGGATTTTCTGTCCTAAAATCTTGTCTGTAAAGTCTTGTCTACGCGTTTTCAGGTGAACCATTTGGTAGATCAATGTCATATTTTCAGGCATGATTCTTAGTATGAAAATCTAGGAACAGATTAGTTTTTTCACATTCTGGGTAAATGTCAAGGCAGCCATTTTGGATTTTCCATCCTAAAATCTTGTCTGTAAAGTCTTGTTTACATGTTTTCTAGTTAACTGTGTGACGGATCAATTAAAATTGTGTTGGTAAAGTTTTGTCTACTCATTTTCAGGATAACCATTTCATGGGATCACCCATTGGTGGGGACATTTTGTACACATTTTTTTTTATTCCAATGAATTCGGAGATTTTTACTCTCTTGAAAGTCCATCTTAACGTCTAAACTAATTAGATAATTGTTTTTCAAAATGTAAACAAATGATTGTAAAGAAAACATTGGCATGCTCTTTGAAGAAATCTTCCGATATCACACTCTATCCCTCCTTCTTTGAATTCTAATGTACATGTACCTACCACCCCACTTGGTGTTACACTGGGAGCTTGTATGTCTTCGTGGATATGATCAAGACACTCGAACGCTCCATTGAGCCCACAGTTGTTGATAAAGGGTGAGCTAGACGAGCCACATGCGTTACCATAGTTATCTGTTGGCTACCAATATAGAAACAACATGAATTGGTTTTAATGTTGATATCACTTTCCAAATAACACGTACAATTTGTCTATGTATTTCCTTTACTATTTTCTCGATAACGATCTCTTTTCTTACAACGATTTCTGGTTGAACAACAATGACGTTTCTTTACGGTGCGTACTTTGCAAAAGGAATTATTATTCAGCCAACCATGACCCAAGTAAAAAACACACATCATTGTAAAAGAAGAAGCGTGGGTGTAAGGTACATAAAATGAAATAGAAGCAGAGATCACTGGTTTTGAAGTTTTACGATTTCTTTGTTTGTTGAAAAATTAATCATTTAGGCCTAATCAGTAATATTTACCATTCCATGTCCGCCATCAGTGATAATCTGGACCCTGGAACTTCCACCAAATTCGATATAAAAGTCCTGTAGCATGTCGACAGCGTCTAGATTGATTTAGATAAACTAATTAATAAAACTATAGTGTACATATCAATGATTGCTATGCATGTATGAACGTTTATTAGAACTTTTACGAGCCTAATTATTACAACCTAATCTAAATGATATCGGTGACATGAAAGTATTTGAAAAGCCTGAAAGAATCTAAGCGAAGGGGTAAATGAATTACCTGGGAGAATAACCGTATCCTCCCCACCGTGGTACATAAACATTCCGTCCTCCGACATTCCGACCAGGTTGTCTATACGACCACTACTAGAGGCGTTATTAACCTCTGCGATTAACTCTGGCACACTGATGTTCTGCGGGGCCCCCATACATATGTTGATAGCGTTCAATTCATTTCCCTTGGCGCAGAAATACGGCACTGAAATAAAAATGTAGTGTTAATAGATCGGGTTAAATCCAAGTTATGGAAAAAAGTCTGGAAGAATCCGATAGAGCCACTGATACACTCAGAATGTCACAATAATTTATAAGACCTATCACAAGCGAATGTCCCTACACCACAGAATGTTTGAGAGAAGACGACGGGCGCTGGACTGCCATCGCTGCCCCGGAGAGCTACGAATAACTCTGATATGCTTAAGAGAATGCATTAGAGCCATCAATACATACCACCGGCGAATGTCCCTACACCCCGGAAAGTCTGAGAGAAGGCGACATGTAACTGGACGGCCATAGCAGCCCCAGCGGCCATCCCTGATACCGAAATGTGGTTCCTGTCGATATTGTACTGCTCTGAAACGTCATGTCGTAATGTATAACCTATATCTATATCTTCGATGAAATGATCTACTGTTAGAACAGGGGTTTATCCCATGACTCAAAGACAGCGGCAAGGTCACTTAGATTTCTACATTTCCTTAAAAATAATTCATCGATGTGCCTCGCCCATTTTGATGTATACAAATTTGAATTTGAGACAACAATATCCAAATAAACTCATTATAGTTCCCTAAAATGAAAATAATTGTTAAAAGTGTACTACTTATATTTGCCCTTACCAAGTCTGACAGGTTGCGAGTTTGATAGACGGAACATCAGTGCATAAATCAACAGTCCAAAAATCTTCATCTTTGAGGAAATAAGTTGGTTAATGATTGCAAGTTACAGAATGATTATGTTTTTCTTCTACTTATTTGCACTTTTGATGTAGTTTTATACTCATAACTATATGTAGGGCGCATTCACGTATGTACTAATTTGCCCTTTTTAACATGTGTTTTTTATTTTATTTTCTCAAATTTTATCTAAGCACAGCATGGCAAATAACATGATTTTCGTTTTTAGATTCAACTAGTGGTCTTCAAGAGTCCCCCTACAAAATGAGTTCTTTTGATATCCTAGACAGTGAACTTGAAAGTGAAACTAACTATGCAGAAAACATCAATTTGCTCAAATTTCATCACCCTCGTGTTGTACTTTACCCTGCGCGTTCAACTGTCACGCTTATAATAGATTGGAGTAGAAATAATCTTGATTTACTTCATTAAATATTCAAAATTCAGTTCAAGGGATATCATTTAAAGTCTACATGTAATATCTAGAAATGTGGTTTAAAAAGTATATACTTTTGAAAATTTAATCTTCTTTGAAAATGTGACTGGAAAGCGGACTGGACTATGGCTTAATTATAGGATCATGAGTATTCACACTTTTCTGTTTTCAAAAATATCAATATGTCTTATAGAAAGGTACGGTACATATGGAAGGCTATGATCTCTCCCGATGGATCCACGGGAAGTCACCCCTCCTGACTTGTCTGGATGGGTCATAGGAGCTGATGGAAACTTATCAAAACATACACGCATCTTCGAACCCTATTGTTTATTCGTTAATAGAATACAGTAATAAATTGAAGATAGCCCCGTTATATCTATCCCTCCACCAAACAATATATTTTGTACGTATATGTACAATTTGACCCATATTTCTAGTTTGTTCCAACTACACGATCCAACATGTTCTTAACTGCAGCCATTTGTGGTCCAACTCTAACATCTGAAAACATTCGCAATTTGTTATTGAATAAATGACATAAAGTCAAAAACAATTTGTCAAAGATAAAGGGAGCGATAGAAAATAAGTTTACGTAAAGATGGCAGAGTGATTAATCTGTATGACAATAAAATTATGTATCTCATAATTGAGTGGGTTTGGGGTAGATATCACCCAGGAACATATATCTGAGACATATATCTGAGATGCGGGCAGGATATATTGTATATGTCCCGCTCCAGGCCAAATGCGGGCAGGTATAATATATCCATCTCGCTCCCGGGAATCTTAAAAAAAAGCTTAAAAATTATAAATTTCAAATTATTTGGGGTAGATATATCTGAGACATATATCTGAGATGCGGGCAGGATATATTGTATATGTCCCGCTCCAGGCCGTATTCCTTTACTCGTATAGCAAAAAATAAATTAAGGTATAGGCCTTTTGAAAAAGGTGGAAAAGGTTATATCAACCCCAAACCCACCAGTTATGTAAGGTCGGTTTTGGATATAGGGTAAATCCCTCGGGAAATATTTATGTCTCCCCGTGGTCCCTTGGGTCCCTTTGGGAGATATAAATATATCCCTTAGGATATACCCTATATCCTAAACCTTCCAGTACATAACCCTTATATCTCTACCGCCATCTTTATCATTGTTCTAAAACCTACGGATTTACTAAAAAGAAATGACCATGCGCTATACTCACGATATTCTAAGGGAAAGAAAGCGTTGTCCTCGTAACCCCACCAATCCCAGCATCCATTGGGGTTACCTAGCAACGTATCTGCCCTGAGTTGTGGGTAGAGCACTATGATGTCATTAGATTCTGCTACCTCGTTGTAGCCAGCGTTTCTAGCGTAAACGTCACCCACTTCCTCTCTAATCATTAATTGATAAAATTAACTATTAAAAAACACAATTGCCAATGCATCTATTTAATTGCATCATGTTACAGTATGTTAGGTTTAAGACCGATGATCCGTAAATGGCGAGACTTACCAGTGGCGTAGCCAGGATTTGGTGACCGGGGGTTCTATTTTTATGCTATTCAAAAATCCCCCTTCATTAGGGTTCCTCAAATAATGCAGTTTGTACAGCTACACCCCCTCCAAAAGTTTGGCAATTTTAACTAACCCATTGGATTACGTATTAAAGCATTTTTAAATTTGAATTCTTATTTGTAAAGAAAAAACTATTTTTGGAGGGGAAATATAATTCATGTTCATTCCTTCATTAAGTTAAATAGACAATTGAATTCGAATTTTATTTAATAAAAATGATGCCTTTATTTACGTCAAGCAAAGTCTGAAAGAATAGGCTTTATTAAGAAATCTCTCCCATTGAAATAACAAAGGACGTAAAAATGATTTTCAAAAATGACCTTGTAGCTTTGTAACTTTAATGTTCACAAGTAAAATAAACAGGCAAACGCGCAAAAAATCTGATTTGCCGAGAATCCAACATTATTTCGTCTGATTTCAAGAAAACCCTGATGCAAGATTTGTTTCCAAGGAATATCAACTAGCCTATTTTGCACAATTTATTCTCTAACTTAAGCTACTTCATCTAGGACAAAATTCCGAAAGGTCGTTCTACTATACTTTTCACAACGTTTACACGAAGGCATTTTAAACTATCCGGGATAGATTTATCACTGATGAAAATATCTATTATTCAAATAAGTGGGTCTCAGTTATGCTTTGTTTTAGAGAGTTATTAATGTTTCTTTGGACGTCCCTGGAGCTCAGTGGTAAGTCCCCCGGAGCAGATCAACTGCAATTGATAATAAAAACGTTTTGGTGGACATACTATTGAAATCATGTATAAATACAAGCGACTGTTCGAATATAAAACGTATTTTGTTAAGTTCAAAAAGCTTGATAACAAATTAGGCCTTCATTATTTAAAGATTAATACCATATGATTTTTCAATCTTTCTTTATTATGTATTTATTCGCTTAACATATCATGACATTAACATGAAAATGGAGAGCAAGTAAACTGGAACGATAACAATTTGAATTCTATACAATCTCTTAGATGACTGGAGTGTATCTGAAAAAACAAAATCATTTTTTGCAATGATTGATTTTTCTTTGGAAAAGTGATGACGTTTTTAATTATTTAACGCAATTTCTTTCGGGGACTTAACAGCCCCAGGGACGTCCCAAGAGATATTTTAAATTTCAATTGAAATAAAACAAAACAGAGATGTAAGGAAACATGGGGCAAAACGGCCCTGTTGGGCAAAATGGCCCATCGAAATATCTTTTGAACTATAAAAAGGTGGTTCTTCAAAAGTCACATAATCGAATTTTGAAATTTCCGCCACCTTGTCGACCGCCCATTTTTAACCTAGCAGTGTCTCGCTATACGTAAGAGGTAATTCTACTTTTCACTCTCTATTTTGCAAATCACCCATCCCACGAGAATCTTTAAAAATCCGGCAACAATACAATATCGTTCTGATTTAACATTTTACATAGGGTATGGATATTTATTCGTTATTTGTAAACATTTTGAGCTTCAAATATTAGGCAAATTAAAACGACTATTTGAAAATTCACATGTCTTTGGGGCAAAACGGCCCACAAAGGTTATAACATACAAAAATCGTAATACAAGAACAATTGATTTGCCACACTCTCGACAGAACTGGCTTAAAACAAAATTCCTACAAAGGACTGATTCAGCCATTGCCCAAGATGGGTTATTTTGTCCGAGAAAAAGCAGCTTTTAAGTTAATTGTGCGAAATTATTGATATTTCTAAATGTAAAATCTCATGCTTTGGGGTCTTCCCAAAATTAAATCTCACCCCGTGCCTAAGGTTGCCAAACGTTTTGAGGGAAGTGTAACTTCACTATGACATGTTTTTAACAAGATAAGGCTCTCGTGTTCACCATAACAAATATCAATTCATTTACTGCTCATATAATATAATATTATGTAGTTTTCAAATAGCACAGTAATTTAATGTTTCTGGTTATATGCATTTTCTGCAAAATGATATTTTGGGAAATCCTGACCGGGGGTTCGTTCGAACCCACCGAACCCCCGCTGCCTACGGCTATGCTTACGTCAAAAGAAATATTACCTTCCTTGAAGACAGCCGTGGAGGGCAATATGCAGTTTACAGGCTAAAACATATAAAATAAATGAACAATCGCGTTATTCCTACTTTAAACGATGGTAGTAAATGTCGAATTCGAAGTTTAATGGTAATAAACAATAATGATACACGAACTGTCATAGTTATATGAATCCACCCCATGCAGACAGAACGCCTAAAATTACATTCGTATGATGTGAGACTCGACATTCACCAGGAAAGTAGAAACATTTTGTCACCCATGATGCTTAATAAATGATGAATGACAGTCATATTAAGTTCTATAAATATGAGAATAGCATACTTTACGATACCTCTTGTTTGGTCCACACAACGTGATGGCACATACATAAAACCTGCAGACTCAAAACTATCTGTACCGGGAGCAAATTCAGTCTGTTGGTACTCTTGGAACTGAAATAAATGGAAATATTACTCCTCTGATGACTAATCGATCTTTCGAAACGCAGGTTCACCCATTGACACTCTTATTTCTGTTCATTTGTACATGAGATCAATTTTGGGATTCTGGGGATTTGCTTCCTTATTTTATTAATCAGTCAATGATTTAGTTATCATCTTTAATATTTCTTTTATTTATTCTAAATGTTCCTTTTCTATCTGAGTATTTCAATGTATAAGTTTTAATCTTAATTAACCCTCGTGCTCATGTGCTTTCCTATGCACGTGTGATTTGGCAATGTTTGGTGCCAGATTTTCCCTCAAAATTTGAAATCATGAACTGCGTTTTTTCAGATTTTAACATCTGAAAATTGAATAATCCGTATACATACCACTCCGTTGAGCGTTGCACTTGGGGCTTGTATGTTGCCATGAATATGGTTGAGACACTCGAACGCTCCATTGACTCCACAGTTGTTGATATAGGGGGAGCTAGAGGAGCTACATGAGTTGCCATAGTTATCCGTTGGCTTTGAATATACGAATAACATGGATTAGTTTACGATAACATTTGCTGCATTTCAATATTACAGTTTTGTTGTTCGTTTCCAATCTGTTTTTAATCGGGGTGATAACAAAGCGTTGGGCTTTACGAAATCCCCTAAATAAGGCTCTTTTTGACGGAAATATGAGGCTCTTTTTAAAAGGCAATTTTCTCAAAAGGCCAATATGAAAACGAGACAGGGCACTTTTAAACCAAAAGCTTTAAAAACCTGAATTGACCTCGAGGGAGTTCGTAGCCCACCCTGTCCCTGGCTACGTAGCTACAGCCCTGGAAGGTTAAATGCATTTGGACACGTTTCTTCATTAACAATCGCTTTAACAGAAAGACGATAACAATGCTCAACAACATGGCAGTGATACTGTACTACTAAAAGCAATTGAAATAAGTAAGTTACCATTCCATGTCCGCCATCAGTGATTAATTGAACTCTTGTATTTCCACCATAATTATTATAGAACTCCTGGACTTTTTCAACAGCCGCTAAATGCATAAAACGGTTAAGATAGAATTGCTACCTTTTGGTTTATCTTCAAACGATATCAAATGTATCCGTATGTTTTGGAGCTTACAAAATCCGTTCAAAAGAAAGAACAAAACGTGTATGTGATTAAACTATTTGCCCTCTTTAATGATGAATATAATGAGGCAATTTTTGACGCCTTTGAATAGGCCTAAAACCAAAAGGGATTCAAAGCTGCGTAGTGTTTTATTACTGTCGGTCAGATACACTCCCCTCTTGAGGAGGAGGAGGAGGGGGTTGTACATCTATTTTTACCTGGGAGGACAACGTCATCTACAGCACCGTGGTACATATACACCCTGTCCTGTAGGAGGCCATTGGTGCTGTCTATACGCCCATTGTTGGCCGCATCACTTGCCTCGGTGATCAGTTCTCCTACGTTGATGCTCTGTGGTGCATCCATACATACGTTGATTGCGTCCAGTGCACTCCCCTGGGCGCAGAAGTAAGGAACTGAAATGAGGTGATTTGAAAATCTTTGAATTAAACGTGCAGGGTAATCCAGAAGTAAGGTCAATGAAGATGTCATTTTCAGGATTGATACCCCAAGAAAATATTCATGAATGTTACTAAAAACGACATGATTGTATTATAAGGGGAAACAAATAAGAATTCTGCAAAACACTAGGTTTAGGGAAACGGGGTGTTCTTAAAAGCCTATCAGTGTTGTCAAAGAAAAAACAACTTTAAAACAAATGGTTATGATTTAACTTCAGTTCATTGTGCCCTTCTCTAATCTAGCTCCCCGAGAGAACATTTAGGGGTATGGGAGTTCAGAGGCTTAACGCGATGAGATGTATGAGAAAGGGGATTATAGACCCATCGTCAATACCTACCACCGGCGAATGTCCCTACTCCCCGGAATGTATGAGAGAAGGCCACGTGGAGCTGGACGGCCATGGCTGCCCCTGATGAGATCCCGGAAACAGAAATGTGGTTCCTGTCAACATTGTATCGCTCTGAAACATCATGGTGTTAATAGTGCATCCTATGCTATACGAAAACAAGCGGTGTGGATATCATGTGCGCAAGGTGCGGATATTAACGGTCATTTTTGAATTTACTCAATTACAATCAACCATTTGTAAGAAGATACCTGATAAAAGGGAAATTTTGTCTAAAGTTGTATTCTTCATTCTTTAACGACGCACTAAGCATTCATCCTTGCTCCATAGCAAAGAATTTGAAATTGCTGTTTTATTACACAATTTACAGCCTTCATTCAGTATTGGTGATCGAGATGACCAATTGATAAAAATTATATTTGCATTTTGAAAGCTATAAACTTCTGTGTGAATTAAAAAAAAATTGAAAACATTTATCGGATATGTGCTACTTCGAAACAAGCGGTGCAGATATCGTCACTTTTCGGATATCAGCGGATATCCGCACCACTTGTTTAGAGGTAGCACACTTTTGTTTAATGTTTCCCATTTTGTATAAAATCACACAGATACCTTTCAACATTCAAAATGCAAATATAATTTGTATTGATAGGTCACCTCGATCACCAATATTAAATGAACTGTTTAGGCTGTAAAACAGCTGTAATTTAAAATTATTTGCTTTAAAGAGAGTATTATAGAGAACCTGTACACATGTATGAATATAATTTAGTACCAAGCATGCCTTAGTCGGTGAAATATCACGAAATCAAATTCAAAAATGACCGTTAATATCCGCACCTTGCTCACATGATATCCACACCGCTTGTTTTCGTATAGCACAGTCTGCATAGAGTGATAGTGTCGTAAGAAGGTTAACTTCTATCACAGCGATTTTTCGTTGAATACACCATTTTGCGATTTTACTTGAAATAGTGTCAGTCCGTTTTCATCAATGGCCGCGTTGCTTTTGGATTCATACGTTTTATTTCAGCTACCGATATTCTTTTGATAGGGTTTGATGCTAAATTAGAAGTTCTATGAGACATATTGAAAACGATGACTACAAATGACATGCATGCCCAATGACGCCCAAACCGATGGACTAATCACCGTAGATTACTTAAAATTTGGAAATCGTCTATGGAAACGATGTCTTGAGTCTTCTGTTGAATCATGCAAATGTTTTGGTCTTACCTAGTCTCACAGGTTGAGAGTTAGCAAAACGAAGCACCAAGCCGACTAGCACCAGTCCGAGGATCTTCATTTTAGGGGGTTGGAGAAATAGTGAGAATTTGATTCGTTATATGTGAGTAAAAAGTATGTTGCTCATACCATATAAGGCACAACTGGACCTGCGTACACTTAAGAACAGATGCCTTTTTCTTGTTTCATATTTTTATTTTATCACATTTTATCATTGCCAAATGTTTCGTTTTCGTTTTTAGACTTGCATAAATAAAGGAAGTTGAAGGTGAAGACCAATCAAGTAACCTTAAACAGGGTAACATAGAAAAACTTAATCTTCTAAATTTTGAAATAACTTTCAATTATGGCAGAATCTTCTTGATATTTTAATATGGAGTGCTCAATATGTGAAACAGTGGTATGCATATGAAGCATTTACGATTTGCAATCTAGAGAAGTTTTCATCTTAGGCGTCATGTCAGGCGATATGACTTTGAGTCACCCTGTATATAGGTTGTACACTGTGTACAGTAGTTTTTTTATTATACAAGAAATTAACATGACAAAGTGTTGCCACCTAGTTGCTCACAATATGATTAGTTCAATCTTAAGTCAGGTTTGAATTTCTGAAAACTTGTAGATGATTTTGAAAAAATGAATTGGTCAATTTGAAGCAAGTTAAAAAAGGACCTTTATTACCCTTAGAAGGTCATTGAAGGTAAAATCTCACATCTAAGGGCAGATGTGAACTTCTGAGAACTTGTAGATGATTTTGAAGGAAATGAAAAATACCTTTTTGACCTTGAGAAGGTCATTGAAGGTCACATCTTTTTTGACCTTGAGAATTTCATTGATGTGAACTTGTTGATGATTTTGAAAAAAAATGGTCAATTTGAAGCAAGTTTGGCCAATTTGAAGCAAGTTGAAAAGACCCTTTTGACCTTGAAAGGGTCACTGATGGTCGAAACTTAAATATAAAGTCAGATTTGAACTTCTGAAAACTTGTAGATGATTTTGAAGTATTTAAGTTTATAGAAGTTGAAAGAAATTGTTACAGACGCTCACTCCCCCAATATTATTTAGGCGTGGGGACTAGTTCAACTTGAATGAGATAATTCTTATCCCCCTCACCTTTATCAGGGAGAAAGTGGGTAAGGTAAAAATTACACTCACTCCTCAATACACTTACATCATAGTCGATACAAAAGAAATCAAATTTTACTATATAAAATTGGATCATTTATCTATCATAAGTGTAAGTGTGGGGTTTAAGTCAGATAAACCATTTGTACTGGGTTTTATGATAACTAATAGAATTAGACAGATCCAAGACCATGATCTATTATTTCTCATAAAACCCAGTAATCATAGTTTATCAGTTACATTGAAATCTTCATTTAAGATCCAGTCTTGCTTCAAGTCTGATTTAGTGCTTTTTCATCAGAATTTTGAGTCATAATAGGTTACAAAAGGAATAACAAACAACATTCATATTTCCAACAATTTTCTTCTAATACCATTAACATCCTAGATTACCTATCTAAATCTTACCTCCATATAAATTTTACTCTAATGCTACATTAAACACAACCTGCCAAAATTGTATTCACAAGTAGAGATAAGGAAATCCATAATAAAATAGAGACTGTCTGATTAGACAGATATTATAAAAACATAGATACTTTTAAATGAAAACAAAAAATGAAGAATATCTTACTGTTCTATAAATAGGCTAGTAAAGATTTATATCATTCTCCTAAAAGACAAAATATTGCAACAATTTTTGATCAAAAATAGCTAAAATTCAAATACAGTAACACCTTAATAGAGGTTGTGTACAAAAATCTATAGTTCTGGATTAATGGAAATATTTTTAAAAAATGAAACAAAGTCTGGAATAATAGGAACAGTTTTTTACACAAAGGCACAAACAATTATTCTTTGCAATCAACCAATCAAGCGATCAATCAATCAATCAATTTATTCGATACAATTGTCAAGTTAGAGACCATGCCAAAACATTCCTGGTTTTTACAAAACTAATTTATTAAATCTTTCTAATATTGAAGATGCATTATTAATCTTTTCCTAAACAATATGCAATAAAACTTCTGGCAATAAAACTTGACTTTTAGCCCTCCCCATCTTGTACCTGGCCTCTGTTGCACAAGTTGAATATAGCATTGAAAGGAGAAATTCTGTTTCGAAATATACGAGGGTCAATCGTTAAGTTATGATAATATAAACCTTTAACACCAAACATTTATATTAAAGACCCCATATAATTTTTTTGTATTCAGTGAAATTCTTTAGTGCATGCGTCAGTTAATTTTGGAATAATGGCTGTTAGTAATAATATCATAAATAAAATTAGAGTTATTTTTTTGTCAACCCTCGTATGAATTGATTGATTGATTTCAATATATGGAGATATTAGAAGTCATAGACTAACATTAGTACATAAGATATCCATGTAGAGATTACATGTAAATTACATAAATACATATATAACAAAATACATACATACACAATATAAATGTACATTCTAACATGTATAAATAAATACATTATACATATGCTGTTTTTAAAATGATCACATGATGAATGAGATGCTTGGTGTAGAAAAATAATGCACTTTGATTGAGTTTAAAATTGAGGCCTAGAATTTAATCGTAAACTAGCAATTCTGGAACTTTTGTGGAATCTTTCAGTCCACAAGTCAAAAATGTGCTACATGGACATCAATATTACATTTCTAATGCCTTGGTCACATTCTCTAGGCTCTTCAACACAGGCGACAGGCCGATGAGTATTTTGATCAAAACTGAATGTAATTTTGAACAAAATACTCATCGGCTGGGCAACGATACTTAAAATAGGAAGAAATGTGACCATGGCATTGTATAGATATGCAACAGAAGCCAACTGCATGTCAACTGTGTTCAGTTTGGCAAATGATCTAATTGCAATAAGCCCAACAAAATAGACAATATTTATGTCTCATTTTGATTTAACAACCATATATGGGCATAGGGTTATTGCACAAACACTGATCTATCTACCATTGATAGTATCTATCCATTTGCACAATAAAGAGATGTAAGATCATGTAAAAAACAGACTTCCAAACATTGACATATGGTATCATTAATACGTTATCTGAATGTATGGATGAATCTGAATATTAATATTGTATACAAAAAACTAGGATGTCATTTCACAAATATACCGTTCTACTTAAGTGAAACGAAAAAGATATTATTGCACAAATATGCCATTCTATTTAAGTGAAGTGAAACGAAATAGATATTATTTCACAAATATGCCATTCTATTTAAGTGAAGTGAAACGAAACAGATATTATTTCACAAATATGCTGTTCTATTTAAGTGAAATGAAACATGAACACATTCGCAGAAAGTAGAATGGTATTTTTGATTCATTATTGATTTGTTTTTCAATCAAATGGAACATAAATAGCAACATATAAAATGAAATATTTAGTGATAAAATGCATCCAGTAAATAAACTTTCTATCTGGAACTTTCTAACCAAGAATCCAATAAGAAATTTGCAATCTGGGTATCAATCAGATCAATCATGATCTTTCTGATCATGTGATCAGTTATTAGCCAATGAGAGAGTGTGAAACATTCAAATGTTATAACAAACAGTACTATGTACATTTTATACAGAACTTTTTCATGCTATGATTCCCTTGTATATCAATAAAAATACAATAAAACCTGTGTTTATTCAAATCTTACGCAATGCTAACTATATAGAGGAAAACAGTGACACCAAAGGACAAAATGACAATAACTTTTCTTGTGAAAACTGATTTGACAATAACTTTTCTTGTGAAAACTGATTACAGGAAGGCTCAGATCATTTATACAAACAAATGATGTGAGTCAAATGGATGTTAAAGGAAGAAAGTTGCTCATGAAGATTTTTAAGACTTTGTTCAAATTCACAGGTTTTACTGTATGCTCAATAGAAATTGACACAAAAAATAATATGTGGTTTTGATACATGTTTAAAATATCATAAGGCCCCTATATGTTAATTATCTCTTTGGTAAATGTAAAATTGTAAAAATCCAAAAATGTAGAAATTGGTTTGACAGACAAGGAAACATTTATTGCCAAAATATAGGCATTGTATGTCTCAGTCTATTAAACCTTTTGATTTAAAAAGTAGTTATGGTTTGATATAACTGGCTAGGAACCACTAAACAGACATTTAAATTATAAGGGCCTTATATTAATCTCAGAATGATCATATACTTTTCTAATAATTATTAAATCAACTTTTATAACAATATATACAACAATATACCATATATAAATATGGTAACTAAAAATATAAAATAAAATTGATAAACATCAGCTGTCCTACTAGCCTGAGGGCCATTAACAGAAACATTGTATTTTAAGAATTCCTAAATCAATTCTTGTAACCATGGATATCATGATGTCATCGTAATAGAACAATGGATTTTAAGAATTCTTAACTACAGTAAAATATGAAGATTCTGTTAATTATCCCAACAGCTTATAACCTTAAAATAGTATAAAAACCAAGATCACTAACTAGTGCTAATGCTACTAACTCTATACCTATTTCAAAATACTACTATGTTAAGACCTAAATCTACGTAAATATTCCCAATGTATTTACATCAACATGTTAACCTTATATGGTAGGTTCCAAATTGAAGGAAGATACTAATAAAAAAAAACTTAAATGATGAATTTCAATTTTTACAGTAAAAAATATTTCTCATGTTATTCAATTTTAGTTCATTTATACTACTGAAAATACAGATATGTAAATGAATAAAGAGTAAAAAGTAGACTGGTTAAGGTGGGTTCACTTTGAGTCGTGTTTGTTTGTGTCTGTTTTGTAGCCAGCCTACCTTAAGCAAGAATACTCATTCCAATCTGCCTACCTGAATGGACCAACCAAGTGTATAACACCATTTATAGGTATGATGTCATACTAATAATATATGGCATTTTCCAATTTTCAAAAAAGTTCTTTATATTTACAAACACAGCTGCATGGAAAGTATGACATTATAGATCCCATCAGTATACACCGGTTTCCTTGGTTACCAAAAGGGATCAGAATTTATTTATTGAAAAGTCTATTTGCTAAATTACTCATTCTAGACTGCCAGGCCCGTAGCCAGGGGGATTCGCAGGCCAAAAATTCTTTCAAAATCATGCAGTTTTTCACCATTTTGAGCACTTCTCAAGTGATTTTAGCCATATTTGAGTTAAAATTGTCAAATGTGTACCCCCCTGGAAATTTTTGAAAACTGAACCCCCCCTTGGCATATCCTGGCTACGGGCTTGACTGCTGAACATTTGGATGCAATAAAAAGCAGAGAGTGTATTGTAAAATGTGATGTACAAAGCAAGCTAAATACCATTTGATAACATTGATAATAGCAGATAATATTAGTTAACAATCTGTGACTCTAAAAAACAAACAAATTATCAGCTTTTATAAACAGATAGGGATGCGGTGTTAATTCTCCCCAGGATTTTTTCAAGTGATTGCAAAAATTCTCATTTATCTCAAAATATTCAATTTTTCATTTCACAATTTTGACCAAAAATGGTCAATCAAAAAATGGTACAGTAAAGTGATGTACAGTACAGTAAAGTACTGTAAAGTACAGTTGAGTGTTGTACAGTACAGTAAAGTGCTGTACAGTACCGTGCAGTACAGTAAAGTGCTGTACAGTTCAGCACAGTGTAGTAGATTTTACTACAAAAGCGAAGCTAAAAGCTGTCTCACACTCGTTCCTAAGTATTAGACCTAAATTCTATATCAATGTGATAATTAAAATTAAATGAGGTAGATGGATAGAAATATATAATCTTTTAAATATAGAAAGACAATTAGTTCAATTAAATCACAGTAGTCCTAATCTCATGTGAAATGATAATCTTATAACAAAGAAAAGACTTAGGTTGATCCTTATATGTGAAGCAATAATTTAAAATGAAAAGACTTGAGTCAATCCTTATATTTGAAGCAATAATTTAACATAGAAAAGACTTAAGTCAATCCTTATATGTGAAGCAATAATTTAACATTGAAAAGACTTCAGTTGATCCTTATATGTTAAGCAATAAATTTAACATTGAAAAGACTTAAGCCAATCCTTATATGTGAAGCAATAATTCAAATTGAAAAGACTTAAGTCAATCCTTATATGTGAAGCAATAATTTAAAATGAAAAGATTTAAGTCAATCCTTATATGTGAAGCAATAATTTAACATTGAAAAGACTTAATTCAATCCTTATATGTGAAGCTATAATTTAACATTGAAAAGACTTCGGTTGATCCTTATAAAGAAAACTGACCAATAAATGTTAGACAAATGATAGATTTTGTTTGATTGGGGGAGTCAAATAGCACTTCATCATGTGACCTCACTGAATTTGTGCAATATAGAACTCAAACTTTTTTCGTCAACATTTCAACTACTCTAATACTAAAGAAAATTATGGGTAATTATGGTCCAACCCTTAATGAAACCCATTCTATATACCATGGACTATATGATATAAAAACTTTATGAGTTTCTAGATTTTCATCTGGAGATAAAATTGAGAATTTTTGGTTTAATAACATGAAACAAAGGAGTTAAAATTTCAATTTCAATTCAAATAAATAGTGAACCCAAAAAGAAACATTTGCAATAAAGAATAAAATCAGAAAGAATTTGTGAATTTAACATTTTAGTTAAACCATAACCATCCTTCTTAGCATACATCTTCCATATATGGAATCATGTACCTTATATAACATCCGTTGCAGTCTGCTTTGCACACAAATATATAACATGAAGCATACAATTACACTAACCAGCCTGTAAAAGAGTCCCACTTCTCAAATGTAAACTGCATTACCATTCACCATAAATCACATTAAAATAAGCTCTTCATATACATCCAGGAATAATATAATCTGGTTTTAAAATGTTGCGTAACCAGATTTTTCATCGTCATCATCATCAATATTCTTATTGCTGCTTCTCTGGAATTAGTGTTCCAAATGGATAGTCCCAAAGTTTACTTGATATGCCAAATCCTGGAAAGAAATATGTACTTGTTTATTTTGCACTAGTTGGCATGACAATAATAAGGTCTGATATATGAAAGTTTCATGAATAATGTAGCAGTTGAACAAAAAGTTCACAAGAGAAAAACAACAATTCAAGTGAGTAGCAAATCCCACTGAAGAAAACATAATTCATCAAATCAGTCCTCATTTTTAACTTTTCATGACAGAAAAACAAAGCAGAAGTGTCTCTTTTTGGCAGAATCATATACATGTGGGCATCTTTTATTTAAGGGAGAACCTTATAACAGAAGAATTTGGGGTATCTTGACTTGAACAGTTAGTTTTAATAAATACAGTATTTAAATGACAAAGAAGTATACAGTTATACTATATTTCATATTACTTAAATGGAAATTTATGTGGATGAGATATACACTTATGTAAACATACCTAGTCGTTGATGTTCGAAATGATGTCTTACATGGTAGTTCTTCAAGCGCTTGAAATAGTCAAACTTAATGGAACCATGGTGTAAATAGTAATGTGTCAAGTCATAAGACACATAACCTGAAAAATATTACAATGCATAATGTATAATACATGGTAGTTCTACAAGCGCTTGAAATAGTCAAACTTAATGGAACCATGGTGTAAATAGTAATGTGTCAAGTCATAAGACACATAACCTGAAAACATTGCAATACATAATATATAATATATACCTATATTGTATATAATTGCAGTACAAGTAGCTCAGGCAAAATACCAGGCTTGCTTTATATGTGCATTGGACAAACAAAACAATTAAAGACCTTTCAATTCTGTTAAAACAGTTCCATCCTTATGCTGTGCCATTATATAATTAACATATTATTCAGCACTAAACAGTGCTAGGCCTATTTCTTATTGGCAGTTTAAGAGATGCTTTTGAACTACAAATTTTGAAATATTCAGAATTCAATTTAATTATTCAGTTTTCCAATATACTGATATGATTTACTTGAGTGATTAATGTTTATGCTTAACATTATTTCAGAGTTTTTCTCTTATATCTTAACTTAAATCAAGTAAATTACAATAAAACTCATCACTAAATAAATAAATAACACATTTATATGTAATATGCCAGAATATGTCAAAATAATTGAGTGTCTACCAAGCAGCATATCTATTATATTATATAGCCTAAAGCAGGGTAATCTGCTTTCATAAATATACAGATCAAGAACGTCATCATTCAATAATTAACAGTCACTTTAGTCTTATAACAAACTGTTAATCATTAATCTTGATATTGCATAAGGGCTACTAAGACGTCACAATCTTGTTCAGCGCTTAGATTCAAACATGGTTGTCATAATTTTTTAACATATTGGCATTTGGTCCATTGCTAAATTGGCAACACATTTTCCAAGTTCACCAAATGTTTTCTCAAATATTTTTTGAAATATATCATGCTAGAAATAAGAGAGTAGTAATGTCTATAAACAATACCGAAGATATGAACTTTTAACAAAAATGGCGGCCATTTTGAATTAATTGAGCGGCCTTGCTAACATTTCTTCATGAGTAGAAGCCATAATATATGTTTGTAAGGTCTCAGCATATAACATATTATCCAAATCAAAAAAAAAATTGTTAGATGGGGTAATACAGAGAGAGCAAGAATTTGAACAAAAAATAATTACCTCACACAGAACAATAATAATCATATTTGGCTTTTGAAATTAATCACACAAATCTTGGATTTGGGTTTTACTTACCTAGGATGGTTCCTGCTAAAACTGCCATTTTGATGGAATATGGAAATAGAAACGTGTAGATGACGTTGAAGAGGCAGGCGAATATCACACCTGGCACAATCGGAAACACCAGTCTTTCACGATCAAATGGAGACTGGAATAGGAACACAATATTAATCATTATAGGTGTATACATGTACAGTATTATGATTTTGTATGGAACGCTTTGTCAATTTATAATTGATAACTGTACAGTACACAAATTTTGGAGTAATGATGAATATTTCTTATATCATACTACATGTAGTACGAAAATTAAGAAATTCAGAATTAATCATAATTTTTGTGCGGATGTTTTACACTTCTTTTTATAGCCTTAAATTATAGCTTTTTCTCTTTCAAATTAGTTTTTACTATTCTACTGTTATTGCTCTTTCAAAAGGCGCTTTACTGCCATTGTCTTGTCCCTATAGGCATATATATACAGGAGTGTAGGCATGTGGGGGGCACCAGATATATCTTGTTTTTCTAGGTTTTCCCCCTATGTAAGTGTAATGTACCATACCTTGTGATGTTGACCATGTAGTATAAAATGGAGGGTGATTAAGAAAGGCGATTTCTCATCGGGAATCATATGGAACAGCCACCTGTGGACAACATACTCCAGGAACGTCCAGAACAAAGCCCCAAATGCAAAGAAAACTGGAATACTATAAGCATTGAAACTGAATCCTGGAAAAAAATATTAAAGTGTATGAGTTATTTGTAAAATCTGTTCATTGTCACATGTACAGTAGATTCACATATTGACACCAAGAAGTATTTTCAGTTTAGCAGCCTTGGGTATTTTAAGCAAGGGGGGGCTTCAAAATTTTATTGTTTAATACTGGCACAACCTTTATACATGTCTAATAAAAAATGCCTGTTATTAACTCCTCCTTTACAAATAACAAATAATATTATTATCAGAAATATGATGTCAATATTCAATTTAATGTTAGTATACATCATTTTGAGCATTAGTGTTTTTTTAACATTAAGCTAGTTTCAACTCAAATACTAAAACATAATTCAATCATAATGTCCAAACCTCCAAACAGCACTATTGGCCACTGTTCGCTTCCCCCTTGGAATTCACTGTAAGATTTGTAAAGGAACATGCTCATAACCGGCAGCCAGAACATGGGAATCAAATACCACGCAGTCTTGGAGAAATATTCACAAAAATCAGATTTGAAGAGTCGAATGCATGTCTCTTGAGGGGTATGGACCCATTGTTCATAGTGACGGCCCAGTTTGTGAACCTGCCAAAGAATGGGCTTGTCCCAGTCAATGAAGTCTTTCTGAAATCACACATATAAATATATTTATTCCATAGTTATTCTTGAAATCACACACATCAATATATTTATCCCATTGGTATTCTTGAAATCATACACATCAATATATTTATCCAATAGTTTTTCTTGAAATCACACACATCAATATATTTATCCCATAGTTTTTCTTGAAATCACACACATCAATATATTTATCCAATAGTTTTTCTTGAAATCACACACATCAATATATTTATCCAATAGTTTTTCTTGAAATCACACACATCAATATATTTATCCCATAGTTATTTTTGAAATCACACACATCAATATATTTATCCCATAGTTATTCTTGAAATCACACACATTGATATATTTATCCCAGGGTTATTTTTGAAATCACACACATCAATATATTTATCCCATAGTTATTCTTGAAATCACACACATCAATATATTTATCCCATAGTTATTTTTGAAATCACACACATCAATATATTTATCCCATAATTATTCTTTAAATCACAATCATCAATATATTTATGTCATAGTTATTCTTGAAATCACAAACATCAATATATTTACCCCATAGTTATTCTTGAAATCACACACATCAATACATTTATCCCATAATTATTCCTGGAAAGGTATCACAGACATTCCCATGTGGGATATTATTTTGAGGTACAAAAGGCACTTTAACTGGTTTAATTATATGTCAAAAAAGCTGGAACAGAATATGGGTTCAATCATTGGGTACAAGCATTGAGACAGGGTGCCAGCCACTGGGTCAATGTGGTCGGATGAATTAACATGTACATAAAAGCTGTTATAAATAAATGATCATAGGGGAAAATTACCCGACAACTGGTTTGTAATCGTATTAGTTAACGAGTAACTGTAACTCTCGTTAATGCATCTGCTACCATAAATTCCTGTATAGTATATCAGAGTACAAAGACTGGGCTTCAAGCAATCATTTCTTATTCTATTACATCATATCACAAGTCAGAAATACCTTTAATATTTTCTTTATAGATTCAAGCAGTCAATATGTATCATAGGTTTTCTAGAGGCCTATTCAACGGTATGATGATTGTATTGATCTATGATTATTAAACACAATTTATTTGACTCATGAATAAAAAGATCAAATCCTATCATATTAGCCTCTGAGAATTACAGATGATTGTAAATGATCTCAAACGAATATTCTATGGGGATTCAATTTAAACGTGAAATGAGTATTAGCAACTGACTGACAAAAAAAGTCATGATTTAGTTTTTTTAATCAATAGGACATACATGTACATTGAATAAACAGGGTTGGGGCAAATCGTCTTCAGTGTAATCATAATTTTCTGACAGAACAGGTATATTTTGATCTCAATTGGCTTGAGTGTGGAAATACTTGTTACTTTATTAAAGAGAGTTACACTAAAGCTTTTAGAAAACTCACCTCTATGAAATCAAACTGATTTTCTTTGTTCTCATGGATACCATTATTTGTTGCCCCGTTACCATTAGCAGCCATTTTCTTGGGTTCATCTTTCGTAGAAATGCGTTTTTGAGCATTCTGAAAATAAATTTCAATTCAATATAATTTTGTTTCTATGGTTACTGGAAAGCATTAAGTCTCGGATTATTAAACGTGGTGATGATATCCATAGCTTTAATTTTAAAAATGTGAAATCAAATTATCACACCCTGTTGCAAATCTGTTCAATACCATGTCAAAAGATGAAATATTGAGATGTCTAACCTGATTAGGAAAAATTCATATCAATAAACAATGCCTTTTACAAACATTGAGGAGTAGAATTATATTCAGAATAACATACGGAACTACTTTGTGAGGAGAAAATTTTTCAGTCTTTTAACCCAATGATTTAATTATAATAAAACATTTAAAGTTGAACACCTCCTATTGAAGTAGAACATTTTTAAGGAAAATCAATAGTGTTCTTCTAACAAAGGTCTTACTGTGTGTTTAATGAAATCAAGCTAAAAGGATCATCCATTAGTATCAGGTATATTATTAAGACTATCTAATATAATTACTAAATATTAAATTCACTCTTAATGTCACAGGGATACTCGCATAGAAGTTTTCTTATTGCCGTGTATATTTTGTTTTGTTTATTTCTGCCAAAATTCATGAACAACCAATTATATGTTGGGACATTTTGCTTTTGACACCACACATTTTTGCTTATACTCATTTTTCTTCCTAGTATTGTCTAGTATTGTCTATTAATATTTGACTCCCATACAATTTGAAGGGTCATTAATATTTATTTTGATATTTGAATATATAAAGCCATTGATTCCAAAAAAGTTTTCGACCCAATACCTCAAGGACAATTAATATTTTGAACTAATTCCTCTAATTTTTTGAAAAACATTTTGAGATAACCCCATAGAATAGTTGATATTAGTTTTCTTAGAACTGCAATATTTAGCTTAATGCCATAAGCTGTAAGAGACTGCAGAAATAGATATCACGTTTATAGGTGTTCAATGTCACATTGATTTATTTCATACGACTTTCCGATAATAAAATAAAACAAGATATCTCTGGGAGTGTAGCACTTAAAGGCCAGAATGAGGCTCAACCAAAGAGAAATGTAATTTATCTTAGACTCTTAAACAAATATCTAGCATTCTAGTAAACAAATAAAGAATCAAAGTTTTTGTTTAATTTGTTCTGTGCATGCTCAATGAGGAGGTATATTTTAGATATGGAGGATTACTTATTTACTTCAACAAGTTCATAAGTTTACTTTAGTTAATAGAGCTTCCCACAAGCGACCATACTGGACAGTCGCTATGGCTACTTTTAACAACCAATACATGAGACATATATTCCAACAGAATCAATGATTTAGTGCTTCTATGACTCTTAAGATCTATATCTTACACAGAAAACACTCAATATAATTGCCAGATTTACAAAGAATACACATTCTGATGCTTCGACATATCAATAATTCACGAACAAAAAAATACAAAAATGTCAATGCCAGGTTTACACGGAATAAGATGTTTCACAACTTAGCGAAGATCTAATCAATATTTCATTATCATGATCTGTGGCGCCTGGTACAAAAACCACCTGCTTTCTATTCTATTATGTACAGAAGTAATCCCTCGATTATTGCTGGAACATGAGCATTATTATAAATAAACCATGAGGTAATTGGCAAAAATATAGGTATCTTTGAAAACATTTCCCCATCAAAAGTTATCAAAAAATCTTCTGAATAATTTCCGAATGCCCTTGGGAGCCCAAGACCCTGGATGTTTCCTGTTCCTGTCATTAACTCAGCAGGCGATACCCTGACATTTCTTTGACTTATTAATGTCAGATTTAATTACATATTCTATATGTGACTAGAAACCAAAGTTTCAAAATCCACACAGAAGTTCTTAATGTTACGAAACGTGGGCATGTCCGTCAGGGAGCTGTAGTGTACCGAGCCAGATACTAGACTCGAAAGGTAGTGTGCTAAATTCAAATGCAACGTACGGGAATAGAACCCAGGACCTTCCGCTCTCGAGTCAGACGCTCTACCCCTGAGCCATAAAGGCTAGCCACTACAGCTGAGACTGTAATAGAGACTTGCTATAAAATGTCATTACATTATGAACTCTCACGACTCACGGTATTACAAAAAGCAGCAGTTAATATTTTACATATGATTTCACAGTTGATTTAATGTTTATTATGCATGCTTTTTCCAGTTTTGCATCTCTGTTCCATATTCATGATAGCTTCTGACAGTGAAAGAGACCCTGACATAATTTTCATCATCGATAAAGATGTGAACAATCTCAAGAGAATCAATATGACATAAACCTCAAAATGAGTTAGAATTTGCGAGATCTCATTGAGGTATTATTATGCAATGCGTGTGAAACGATGTATTGATAGCATTACTAATTAGTATAGGTGGTTGCATCAAATGTTTCTTATGATCAACGAACTATTCATTCTAGAATAAATGTCATTTTCAAATCAAATCACTCAAATACATACTATATTAAACTTTGATTTCTGAATTTAACTAAACAAATAAAAAATGTCAGATGGCGTAAACATCATATCGGATGAGCAGATCACATGTGTGTCTAGGTTCACAAAAAAATTGATACCACCAAAGTGATCACGACCAATAATCATGATAATTTTCTCTCAAAAATAGTTTTTAATGACCTTTCGTACACTTGTTAATTATGATTTGATGTGATGTATATTGAGATCAGAATCTCGCCACTTATGTCTATAAATATATGAATTATGACAATTATCTATGTTTATAAATAAATAATTAAGATATTTATATCAGAACACGTATTGCTTACGTCCCATGACATGTGCTGCATTTATTCTTACAAAACGCCTCATTTTCAAATCATGAATCAGGATTTCATCCAGCAAAATGAAATTTTTCTTCCAGGTATTATTTTACAACAGCACATTTTCACTGAGATTTAGGAATATTATCTCAAAAAATTCTAGACTTCAAAAACTATCCCAGAACTTATCTTAGGAATTTTAAAATGATCTCAAATTTCTGATGATATCTATGATAGCTGGACTACTTTTGCTGATTTAAAAGAGAGTTTCGTGAACCTAATGTACTAGGCTTTGACCCTCAGGGTATTACTAACCAGACCCCTTGATTAATATTTTACATGATAATCCATTGAAATCACAAATTGGGGTTTAACTCATGATAACTACTGAGGAATAATAAATACTTAATATTTATAAAATATTAAGTATTATATGTATTTACAAAATATCATGAAAAAATCTCAATAAATCAAGCAAACCAAGCTCTTTCATCTAGAAAGTTATATGAAAACTGATCAATAGACCAATAAACACTAACAAAAATAAAAAAAGAAAGTACATGTAATTTCTTTTTGGGTCTACCCCTCATCTCCCTCAACTGGTAATCAAAGATATATTCAGTTGCACTTTCACTAAAATAATATGTTTTCATGTTATCTTATATTTTTATTATTAATCAATATACTGTTTATGCGATCCATAATGCAGCTGTAAAATATGGGTGATTTTGTGGAAAAATACAGACTTTTATGTATTAGAAGGATGTCTGGTATGTTAACTTAGAGTGTATATTCACGTTAGATAACCTGCTTCATTGAATTCCACATTTTTCATAATATCAGAAATCTGGAAGCCTGCCTGATAACTAATCTGTCTGTTTTACAGGTAGAAAATTACAACACAGGTTTTCTTAATATAGCCAGGTGATGGGATACTGAATGTTTCTAACTAAAATTACTAGCTTACTCAAATTATTAGATTTCAATCATATCTGAGGTGAATTCACAAATGACAGTAAAATCTATTTTGGTGAACACAAAGAGCTCTCTAGTTCATTCATACAATAGCACCATTTTTTGGGACATTGACTTCTGTACATTGTATCTGTATGAAACACTTTCTGAAAATAAAACCTTTTTATGGCTTCAAAACTCTTCCCAGGATGATAGAAGTGTTTAGTACACAAACTTTTGAAAGACTGCTTGAAATTCACTTACACAAATTTTCCTATTCTAGTACAAATAAATTTTCTAATATGATACAAAGACGTTTACATGTAATTATAAGGAAGCTAAATTTTGTTAAATGTCTAAACAAATTCAATAAAATATCAACCGTAAGCAGAAATGACTGAGTTTGCATTCAGTTGCTTCCTTGCCTCTTGAGGTAGAGGAATCCAATAAGAAGCAGGAGTCAAAAACCAGACACTTATATCATCCTAGTATTTCTGAGAATTATGTAAGGCAGTGTGGTCTAACCTGAAGCTATTAGAGATCATCATAGTCTAGTCATATCATATGTCTATCATACAGTAAAACATGTTTGATTGCAGTCAGGTGTTTTTTTTAATATTCGCTATAATCTGTTTCTTGAATTATACAATTCACAAATTGATAATTTCATATATGTTATCAATAGAAAAAATCTATAATCGTGAAAGCTTACAAAAACTTAATGCACGGATATTCTAGTTTTATAAAACTATACCTTTGTGAATATAACATGTTTTATGTATAATAAAAAGGATGAAGAGGCCCAGCTGCAAATGCCACAGGGGTCCTATTACATAACACAGAGTTCTATCTTCATATAACCAGATGTTTTATTTTCAGATTCATGGATTACTTTATCTACAGCAGAGAGCCTATTGTCCTTGTAAGGAATCATGTTTTATAGTCTTCAATACTTTGATTTTGCAAGATGTTACACAGATATACATGAAATACATGTGCATTCTTTAATTTAGAGATAACCCTTCATCTTAGCCTTTCCTAATCAGGTCAGAATACTGCGAACAGCTAGTTCTATTTTCCAACCACCTAATCAGTATTTCAGTCACAAAATGTCCATTTTTCCTATAAGGCCCTTAGACAGCCATCAGAAATATATCTATTTAGCATTTCATGTTTGAAAACCAATTAACGAGACAACAACTTTTTTGAGATAATTAGATCTTCTCAGCATCAAACTGTATACATTTCAATTTTTATCATACA